CTGTAGTAGTGCAGTCTATAGTAGTGCAGTCTATAGTAGTTGTGCAGTCTATAGTAGTGCAGTCTGTAGTAGTGCAGTCTGTAGTAGTGCAGTCTATAGTTGTGCAGTCTATAGTAGTGCAGTCTATAGTAGTGCAGTCTGTAGTAGTGCAGTCTGTAGTAGTGCAGTCTATAGTAGTGCAGTCTACAGTAGTTGTGCAGTCTATAGTAGTGCAGTCTATAGTTGTGCAGTCTATAATAGTAGTGCAGTCTATAATAGCTCTATAATCGCAGGCAGGAGGGGGGTTGAAAAAAATTGTAGTGCGTTTGGGGTGCGACCCGCTTTAACCGGGGATGACTTTGCTTCAGAATAGCCGAGTAGCACAAAAAGGTTTAAAGGGTTTCCCCAAAACGCTTACAACATAACAAGAACACGCAGCATCCAACATACGGTTAATACTCGTGATAAGAGTACAGAACGGATTGATACTTCGTCGATCGCAAACCCAAATGTTAGTAAGTTCTTTCGACAGTGTTAAACGAGCTATCTACAGTGTTAAACGAGCTATCTACAGTGTTAAACACAGGATTTTAAAACCTGAAGGGTAGCATCTTTCTTCCTCTAGCTCTTTCTTCGTCTAGTTCTTCTAAATCTAAGGATTTATCTAGATCAAGTCGCAATTTTTGACTATATTGACGCCAAGAGCGGAATTCGAAGCAAATTAGCTTTTCACAATGTAACTTTCTGGTATTTTGTTTTTAAAAGAATCGGAGCAGAGGCTGATATGAGTGTAATAAATTCTATTTTAAAGCCAATTTGATCTCAAGCTTTAAAGCTTGAGTGCTCAAGCTCAAGACAATCTCAAGCGTAGCCCGTTTTTCCAAAATCTCTACCTCAAATCGAAATCCTTTGGCCATCAAAAAAAGCCCGAAATCAGTTTTCCCAGTTTCCCAAAAGTTCCCTAGTTTTTGCTGTTTTTTTTTTGCTTTCCCCAATGCTCAGTCCATTCACAATTAAACCCATCTCTTTTCCCTCTTTCAATTATTTTGATCGAACAACAACCTAGATCTCTCTTCATCTTTATCTCTTTATTTGTATGTCTAAGTTTCTAGAACTTTAGCTCTATCTAAGCCAAAACAAAATGAGAGCCAGCCGTTTGTGTGGGCGTCTTTTCGTCTTTTGATGAAACTCAATGAATAGAGGGGAATGGTGGGGAGAATGAGGTGGAGATTGAGAAACGATTGAGAGAACGGGGAACAAGAAAGGGAACAAGAAAGGGAACAAGAAAGAAAGAGAACAAATCGTTAAGGAAAGGATCGCTTTAGAGAAAAAGGTAGAGATTTGAGGAAACTCAAAGGAATCGAGGCATAGAGCTGTGAAAGAGTTGAGTTGTTTTGTTTGAGCGTGAAAGAATTTGGAAAAAGATCACGAAGACGAGGATAAGATGAGAGACATGGAAAGATAAGATGCGAGGCATAGGTCAGAGTACAACAGTCTAGAGAAAGCTTATGATTTGATTGAAAGAAACAGCATGAAACTTATTGTAGAGAAAAAAAGATAGAAAATGAGAACCCTAACGAATTTAGGACCTTGAGATAGCTCTAAATAGATACCGTATTTCCTCTAATAAACGCCCCCCTCGACCAACTTTAGACGTCTCGCTCTCAGTTCCATGTTGAGATATTTTTATGTTTAATATGTCAAAAGATAGCCCTTGATGTCTTCTATCTTTTGGTATATTAAACATAACAATATCTCAAAATGGGGCTGAGCACGAGGCGTCTAAAAGTCCCTTCGTCTAAAATCCCCTTGACCAACTTTAGACGTCTCGTGCTCAGCCCCATTTTGAGATATTTTTATGTTTAATATACCAAAAGATAGAAAACATTAAGGGCTATCTTTTGGTATATTAAACATCAAAATCTCTTAAAATAAGGCTGAGAACAAGGCGTTGAAAGTTGGTCGAGGGCGCTCGACCTCCCTCGACCTCCGCCCCTTCGACCCCCCCGCCGCCCCCACCAACCTTAGACATTTCGTTCTCAGCCCCATTTTGAGATATTTTTATGTTTAATATACCAAAAGATAGAAAACATTAAGGGCTATCTTTTGGTATATTAAACATCAAAATCTCTTAAAATAAGGCTGAGAACGAGACGTCTAAAGTTGGTCGAGGGGGGCAGGCGTTTATTAGAAGAAATACGGTAATACTAAAAGTTCTCTAGAGAAAGATCTGAAGAAAGGTGGATAGAGAAAGATAAATCAAGAGTTTAAAAGCTAAAAAAAGCAAGCCGCCATAATGCAATTAGTTACAAAATGCTAAAAATTGCTACAAAAGAGAAACAAAAAGCTGAACAGATCAATCAAGGACCGAACAAAGCTCCCGTGGGATCCATCAAGGACCGAACAAAGCTCCCGTGGGCGGAAGTCTAATGCGTATCCACTAAGCCACCAATGTAGCTGTTCTCTGCTAGGATTTCTCTGCATTCGTTTTCGATTTTCCGTGAAAGCATCTTCGATTGAAGTTTTACAAATCTCGAAAGTCATTTGGCTGTTTTTGATTTCAGTTTCAGTTTCCTCATACCCGATTCTATAAACCTTTTAGATGTCCAGGCACTAGATATTTAGCCAAAAGCTCACCGTGTCTTTCCTTAGTAAGCTTTAAAAGATCGATAAAAGAGTGAAGAATAGATCTCCTAGAGTTAGAGAAGCTGGTGATAGAGGGAAGATAGATAGTTGAAAGGCAAGAGATCAAAATTGATCAAAACATAGATCTCAGAGAGTGCAGGTGATAGAGAAAGAGAACAAAATCAAGAGGATCAAGGAAGTGTATAACGGAAAGAGGGGAGAGGAGGGGAAGAGGAGGGGAAGAGGAGGGGAAGAGGAGGGGAAGAGGAGGGGGAAGAGGAGGGGAAGAGGAGGAAGAGGAGGGGAAGAGGAGAGTCCTGCTCATGGCTCGAGCAAGGGGTCCCTTTCCTTCATCCGTTGTAAACCTTAGAACATCTCAAGAAAGGAGGAGGCTCTGGTTTGGAGGAGTGATGACGGGTCCTTCCCCCACATCCCTATCTCTCCTCTTTCCCATTCCACTCTTTCTCATTGCCATTCTCATCCCCTATTCTCCTTTCCTTGATCAACGCCTCCTCCTTTCAGGTGTTTTGGCCAAATCACAGCTCTTTACCTGTGGATTACTGAATTCTGTGATTAGTCATTGGTTTCAGCTTTCATTGGATTTTAGCTTTCATTGGATTTCAACTTTCATTGCTTTCAACTTTCCTTACTTTCCTTGCTTTCCTTGCTTCCCCCTTACTTCCCTTACTTCCCTTACTCTCCTTACTTCCGTTAATTCCCTTACTTTCCTTGCTTTCTTTACTTTCCTTGCTTCCCCCTTACTCTCCTTACTTCCCTTCCTTCCCTTACTTCCAACTTTCATTACTCTCCTTACTAGCATCGCCATTTATCTCCTGTTTTCTTCTTTCACTTATTTCACTTCTTTTAAGCCTTTTAGTTGTACTTTGTGCTCTTTTTTAATCTTCTTTTTTAACTTTTCTAATGAGTTTCTTTCATTTCTCACGATATTAATCATTATTCATCATTAAATACAAAAACGAGTACACTAGAAAGGGTGTGTTTACAATACCCAAAGCCTACCTCAATCCTCGACTAGTTTTTTGAAGTTTTTTGAAGTCAAACAGTTTTTGAAACAGATAAAAAGCCTCTCAAAAACCCTAAATTGAGTTTTTTCGCTAGTTTTACCGTAACTCTCAACTTTGTAAAGTCATAAAAAGATTTTAGATGCATCAATTAGTTAGAAAATTGGCTTGGCTACAGGAGAAATACTCAAAAATCACCGCCAAAAATTTCATACGGATTCATTGAGTTCTTGCTGAGCTAGACACTCAGAAGTGAGTCGCTATCATTCGCGGTCACTCTGTACAATGTTCTTGCCCAGCTTCCAGCTGTAAGCATGTTAGCAGTAAGCTGTAAGCATGTTCTTTCCAACTGTAATCATTTCCTTTTCGAATTTTCTAAACAAATCCTTTCATGGCACTTTTTGCTGAGCAGAAAGTCAAGCAGAAAGTCAAGCTGAAAGTCCAGCTGAAAGTCTAACTGAAAGTCTAGCTGAAAGGCAAGCAGAAAGTCCAGCTGAAAGTCCAGCAGAAAGTCCAGCTGAAAGTCCAGCAGAAAGTCCAGCTGAAAGTCCAGCAGAAAGTCAAGCTGAAAGTCCAGCTGAAAGGCAAGCAGAAAGTCAAGCAGAAAGTCAAGCAGAAAGTCAAGCAGAAAGTCAAGCTGAAAGACAAGCTGAAAGTCCAGCTGAAAGTCAAGCAGAAAGTCCAGCTGAAAATCAAAACATATATTTGAAGTCTATCATTTAATCTTTTCAAAGATTTTTGCTATTTTTTATTTTGATTTATATAGTAGTATTTATAGATTAAAATTAGTGTTTAATTATAGATCTTATTCGATTTCAATTCGGTTCGAATTCGGTAGAATTTGGTTGTCATTGGGTCCCAATTTGGTTTCCAACTTGGTTTCCACTTGGTTCCTATTTGGTTCCCAATTCGGTTGTCATTGGATTCCAATTCAGTTCCAATTCGGTTGTCATTGGATTCCAATGTGGTTCCCACTTGGTTCCTATTTGGTTCCCAATTCGGTTCTCAATCTGTTCTCAATCGGTTCCAATTTGGTTCTCAATCGGTTGTCAATGGATTCCAATTTGTTTCCCATTTGGTTCCTATTTGGTTCCCAATTCGGTTCTCAATCGGTTCCTATTTGGTCCCCAATCGGTTCCCATTCAATTCCAATTCAGTTCCAATTCGGTTGTCATTGATTCCAATTTGGTTTCCAATCGGTTCCCAATCAGTTCCCATTCAATTCCAATTCGATTCCTTTTCGATTCCTTTTCGATTCCTTTTCGTGAAATTTTGATCTACAATTAAATACTAATTATAGATCTATTATAGATCTATAATTAGTACTATAATTAATATAATTAAATACTAAAAGATTTTTTTTATAGGTGAACCATGCCGCCGGCAGCCGAGGAAGTTGAGGAGGTCGAGGAGGAGCGTGAGTTTTTTGAGAGGAAAATTCTTGAACATAAACTAAACATAAACTAGACATAAACTAAACATAAACTAAACATAAACTTTTCCGTGTTCTTTGTGCTTTGTAAAGCCACCATTCTGGTGCACTGAGCTCTTGATAAGAAAGATGAAAACGAAGAGTTGATCGAGGAAAACGGAGAATTGCAGTGGAGGGGTATTTTTTAGATTTTTTGGAAAATTCGAGCGCAAAGTACACGGAAAATTTTTGCTTCAGAATACGGATATTGATGGGAGTGAGACAAATGCCCCCTTTTTTTTGCGTACCCGGACATTTGCGCACCTTTTTTTCCGCACCCTGCCCATTAGCGCACCTTTTTTCGCGTTTTAAAAAGCTCTAAAAAGCTCTAAAAAGCTAATATTAACCAATTTCTATTCTAAAAGTTATTTTTCTATTTTTCTAGGTAATTTTAGGGCGTAGAATCGAAATTTTGACATATCAGACCTTTTGGAAACAAACGGACGGAGTTATACAAAGAGAAAAATCGACAATTTTCTGTAATCGCATAGTCTAAGTTTACTCTCAAACAAACGCTCATATCTCGACACCAGTACGTTTGTTTCTGCGCACTTTAGTATCAAATTAAAGTAGAGAAAATGGGTAATTTTTTGAGATATAACACATATTTTTAGCGTTAACGAGCGCTTAGAAAAAAATGATTGAAAAATGATGCAAAATTCGCGCTTTTTTGTCACTTTCTCTTTTCCAGACGCTTCAGCGCCAAACGTCGGAAACTACCGTAACCCGACGCCATAAAAGGACCCCGCCACAAATCTAGCCGTTTTGTCTTTCAAATTGGTTCCACACGCTCTGTTATGTCAAAATTTCGATTCTACGCCCTAAAATTACCTAGAAAAACAACTTTTGGAATAGAAATTGGTTAATATTAGCTTTTTAGGGCTTTCTTAGCTTTTTAAGCTTTTTTAAAACGCGAAAAAAGTGCGCTAATGGGCAAGGTGCGGAAAAAAAGGTGCGCAAATGTCCGGGTGCGCAAAAAAAAAGGGGGCATTTGTCCCACTCCCATATTGATCTTTATTTATATTAATTCTCTCTTAAACTATGAAATTAAAAGATATTCAGTTTAGAATTGATGAAAATAGAAAGGTGAAATTGATTTAAAGTCGATAAAGTCGATCTAAAGTCGATTCATTTAAAAATCAAATTTTTCTTTATGAATGGTCTTTTTTTTTTTTGTTCACTGTTGTTCACTGTTCACTGTGCATGTTAAATGTGAGTTTTGAGTTGATTTTGAGCTGATTTTGATCTGCTTTGATCTGCTTTGAGCTGATTTTGCTTTTGATTTGATTTGATTCAATTTAAATAAAAATAAAACAAACTTTTAACATTTTAGCGTTCTTTTCAAAGGAATTTGTGCTAGATTTTGTTGAAAAAAAAGCTCTAATCCGACTTGTAAACTTTCTCCTTTACAAACAGATTAAAAAAAGCTTTTCGATCTTTCAATTCTTTCAATTCTTCGAAAAAACTTTTCAATTTTAGTCTTTAAAGTAAATTTTTCGAAAAAAAAATGAGAGAATTAGAAAAAAACGAAGTAGAAAAAGAGAAAAAAGAGAAAAAAACAGAAAAAAGAAAGTAATTAGCTTTGAAACAAAAAAAGTTCGGTTTAGTTTAGTTTAGTGAGGTTTCGAATGGAATTTCCGTTGGCTTTTTGCTTGATTGTGTATTTTTATTGAGAAAACTCCCCTCTTAAAAGATCTCTTCAAAATTTGAACCTTTTTTTTGGCTCTTCCGAATATTTTGAAAAAATTCGCGTCTTTTCAAAGAAAGGCAGGTCTTTTGAACGGGCTATCACACTTTGAAGGCCTATAACTTTGTCTAGAGACAATCTTATAGTTAACTTTGTATATCATTGGACAGAGGACATTTCAGGCTTTCAAATCATACCAAATAGAGCTAGATTGGATAATCCAGTCCAAAAAAATCAGAGCCAACTCTGGCGAATAAGGCTTTTCCAACTCGGGTGTCGTGTCGCCAGAGTTGGCTCTGATTTTTTTGGACTCGATTATCCAATCAAGCTCTATTTGGTATCATTTGAAAGCCTGAAATGTCCTCTATCGAATGATATAAAAAGTTAATTATAATATTGTCTCTAGACAAAGTTATAGGCCTCCAAAGTGTTGTAGCCCGTTCAGAAGACCCGAAGTTACGAAAAATTAAGTTTCAGCAGGTTTTTCGCAAAATTTCCAACAAGTTAAGCCTACTAAAACTTTTGTGAAGGTTTAGGGTAATAAAGCGGAAGTCTTTTCCAATGGCCCTCATGGCCGACTGGCTAAGAACCCTGTATCCTAGTCGAGAGATCAAGGGTTCAATCCCGTTCGTTAGTTCCTTGGTTCTCTTTTTCCATATATTGTAATGTCCCCCCTTAAGCCCCATCCCTTAACCCCTATCCCTTAAGCCCCATCCCTAAGCCCTATCCCTAAGCCCCATCCCTTAAGTCCTATCCCTTAAGTCCTATCCCTTAAGCCCTATCCCTTAAGCCCTATCCCTTAAGCCCCATCCCTAAGCCCTATCACTTAAGCCCTATCACTTAAGCCCTATCCCTTAAGCCCTATCCCTTAAGCCCCATCCCTTAAGCCCTATCCCTTAAGCCCCATCCCTTAAGCCCTATCCCTTAAGCCCCATCCCTTAAGCCCTATCCCTTAAGCCCCATCCCTTAAGCCCTATCCCTTAAGCCCCATCCCTTAAGCCCTATCCCTTAAGCCCCATCCCTTAAGCCCTATCCCTTAAGCCCCATCCCTTAAGCCCTATCCCTTAAGCCCTATCACTTTTGATAGGCCCTTGTTTCTGAACTTTTGTTGTTTTAAAAGATCTGTTATAACTTTCGTTAGACCTATCTAGTAATTCTGTAACTGGAATATTCCAAATCATCACTCGTCTCAAACTCTCCGAATCGTAGGGTCAATATCCCTCCTTATCTCTCTCCAATATCCCTCTCTCACTCCCAAAATCCCCCCATTTTGACAGCTCCGACACGCTCAGCTTCCACAAATTTCATTCAAATTTCCCTTTTTGATTGTACAATTTGTTAAACGTAAAGGAAAATTACGATATCTTTATATGCTTTTAGATTTAAAGAAAGCTTTAGATTTAATGAAAGCTTTAGATCTAAAGAAAGCCTTAGATTTAAAGAAAGCTTTAGATTTAAAGAAAGCCTTAGATTTAAAGAAAGCTTTAGATTTAAAGAAAGCTTTAGAACTTAAGTAAACCTTCTAGAGCTTAAGTAAACCTTTAGATCTACAGTAAACCTTCTAGAGCTTAAGTAAACCTTTTAGATCTAAAGTTAATCTTTAGAACTTCAGTAACCTTTAGATCTAAATTAAACCTTCTAGATCTTAAGTAAGCCTTCTAGGTCTTAATTAAACCTTTTAGATCTAAAGTAAACCTTGTAGATCTTAAGTAAGCCTTTAGATCTACAGTAAACCTTGTAGATCTACAGTAAACCTTGTAGATCTTAAGTAAACCTTTAGATCTTAAGTAAATCTATCTAGTAAATCGATCTTGTACTCGGCTATTCTGAAGCAAAGTCATCCCCGATGATAAGGTTAAAGCTGATCGTGTAGTGAGTTTAAGTTTATCTTAAGTAAACCTTGTAGCTCTAAAGTAAATCTATCTAGTAAATCTATCTAGTAAATCGATCTTGCAATCTTTAGATCTTTAGATCCTTAGATCCTTAGATCTTTAGATCTATCTATCGTACTACCAATATCTACTCTAGTAGCTTTTTATTTTCTACTTTTTCTCCACTTGTAAACGAATCTCTTCTAGCGCACTGGATTTGCAGCAACGAGAGATGTTTTCTCGAGTTACCGAAGAATTCAATGCTCCAGAAAGATGCGTTTATGTGAGCACAAAGTAAACCTATAATATGATCTCTGGGCAAAGTTATAGGCCTTCAAAGTGTGATAGCCCGTTCAAAAGACCGGAAGAAATCAAGCCATAAATGAATTTTGGATAAAATTTCAAATTATAGACTAATTTCAATTCAATTTTAATTCAATTTCAATTCAATTTCAATTCAATCTCAATTCAATCTCAATTCAATGATTGAAATGATATATAAACTATTGTTTATCAAGATTAAAAGCTCAATTTCTCTTTTTCTCTTTTTCTCTTTTCATTTAACTCTTTCTCTTTCATTTAACTCTTTCTCTTCAGCTTTTTTTTAATCCAAAAACTCATCCTCTATTTACTGTCAATTCTAGGGTTTCCCAATTGACAATTGAATGGATTTAAGAGTGTAAAAAAAGATAAAGAAAAGATAATAAGATCGAGAAAAGATTTTGATGATCTCTTTGATTCAAAAAAAGATTCAAAAAGATTATCCAAATCGTCTTTTACCCCTCACAAACACTCAAAGTTTTTTTTTTCTCTTTTTCTTTTTGAGAAAAAGAGAACTCAAATGTTTGTACAAGTGAGGCTTTTGAAGCTTTTTTTTATGAGGACACTAGACTTTTTAAAGTTAACTAAAATTCTAGAAATTAACTGAATATCTTTAGATCTTTAGATCTATTCTTTTGATATCTTTAAATCTTCTTTTAAAGATCTTCTTTTAAAGATCTCCTTTTAAACATCTATTTTTAAACATCTTCTTTTAAACATCTCCTTTCTGTACTTTGTGCTTTCAAGTAAACGCACCCTTCTAGTACATTGGAATTCTATAAATTTCTACCCTAAACGGCTCATTACTGTAGGAAAAATGAGGAATTGCGTGCACTAGAAAGGGCGGGGGGGGTCGAGGGGGATGAGGGAGGCGCGGGTCAAGGAGGGCGCAGATCGAGGAGGCGCTGGTCGAGGGTGGCGCCGGTCGAGGAGTCGAGGAGGGCGCTGGTCGAGGGTGGCGCGGGTCAAGGAGGGCGCGGATCGAGGAGGCGCCGGTCGAGGGGGGCGAGGAGGAGACGAGGAGGGCGCGGGGAAGGGAGGCGAGGGGGTCGAGGCGGCGGGGCGTTCTTGCCATTGACCAACTTGCATCTCATTTTTAAACACCTTAAACTCATCAGATCAGGAAGTTTTAATAAGATTTAGATAGCTTAGAACGTCAACTTTTAGAAACTATTTGTTTTATCAAAAGTTATTAACAAAAAGGTATCTAAAATCGGGCTGCAAAATGGCCCCCTTCCCTGATAATCGCTCGATCACCCCGCTCCGATAACCGTAAAGCACACCCGCTCCCACACGCTTTCTAGCACACTTAATTCTCATTCTTCTTGAAGAAACCATGAGAAATGAAGAATTCGAGTGCGCTAGAAAGGATGCGTTTACAAATGAGTAGCCAAGAAGAGATCTTGGTTAGAATCGAATCTCTGCCTTCGAAAACTCTTCGAATCTCTGCCTTGTTGTTGATCTTTTTCCTCTATTTTCCCATCATTTTCTCTTCTTTTCCATTTCTCTTTCTCGAATTCGAAAATCGCCTCGTTGTCTACACAAACATAACCATTTTTTTTCTCTCTTTTCATTTCATTGTTCATTCCCAACTTTTTTCTAATGAAACAACGAGGATTTTTCTTGTAAAAGTTACAAAATGTAATTACTTATTTAATTTTAAACTTTTAAACTTAAACTTTAAACTAAATTGCTTTAGATTTGATAACTTTTTACGTTTCCGCCACGTTGAAACACGGTATCCCGTCCGATCTTTAGCCTAAGCCTAAGCCAAGCCAAAGCCAGCCAAAGCCAGCCTAAGCCAAGCCTAAGATTAAGCGTAATCGCCAAGCGGCTGTCCCTTAGCTCCGAGAACTGGCTGAGATCCAGAAAATGGGGGTTCAGCCCAAACCTAAATAGATTGAGTGCTAGGCGCTAGCCTTCGCACTAAGCCTAAGCCTAAGCCTAAGCCAAGCCTAAGCCAGCCAAAGCCAGCCAAAGCCAGCCAAAGCCAGCCAAAGCCAGCCAAAGCCAGCCTAAGCCAGCCTAAGCCAGCCAAAGCCAGCCAAAGCCAGCCAAGCCAGCCCAAGCTAAGCCAAAACCAGCCAAAGCCAGCCAAAGCCAGCCAAAGCCTAAGCAACGTTGAGCTCGCTTAGTCGCAGGTTCGGAGTTATCCCAAGCGCAGAGCAATGTAACGCACTGTGCCCGTTGAAATTAAACTACGGGGCGACTTGCACATAAACTGCAGCCATTAAAATCGGTTATTTTCTTTCATTGACCAGCATCGTCACTCCACAAAATAATGACTTTCAAGAGTTATGCTTAAGTCTTAAGAATTTGAAGTCCTGTTATGGCATTAGGTAGTTTAGTTTAGGTTTGGATTTGAATAAGATTTGTTTCTGTCGATCTGTGGATTTCAATAGGATTTGTTTCTGATTGATTGCTTGTATTGGTTGAATAAACCAGTATATACTCTTTCATCAAAGTTTTTCCAAATTCTCGTACTTTCTCGTACTTTTTTTCGGGTTTTTTCATTGTTTCATGATTTCTAAAAGAGTTAAATCTTTGATATCTTTGAATATTCAATATTCTAAAGCTATATTCCATTTCTAAATCTCAATTCCATTTCTATCCAATATCCAAGCTCTCTATTTCTCTAAAACTCAAAAATCAAAGACTCCAAACCTTTTTTTCTGTGCACTTGAACGGGTGGAGAACCCATCTGATGGGTATAATCGCAATTCCCAACAAAAACTAAGAAAAGAAAGAAAAGAGAAAGAAAAGAGAAAGAAAAGAGAAAGAAAAGCGAAAGAAAAGCCTTTCACTTCACTCATTTCATTTTTTTTCTTCTCTATTTGTTAATGGGGTGGGCGGGTAGTTTCTTGAATAGAGGAGCTCGATTCAGGTGCTTTCCTACCCTCCCTGTTCCCCCTTTCTGTTTGGCCGAACCCCGCGAATCCTCCCTTCTCCTACACGAACTCCTTCAAATTCCGATCGAAACTTGTATGTACTGTTATGTAGTTTTTGAGTCATCGTCATCTTTTGAGTTATCGTAAAAACTCTAATAGAAGCCCTTACTTTCGATTAGAAGCCAATTCAAAAGAAAAAAAGTTCTTTGGTTGGTACTATGCGGGCTCGAACCCGGACCACCCGGGACTGTGAACAAGCCCCCTCCCGACTGCGCCACGACGTCCCTTGAAGTGGCAGACCAGAAAATCGCATAGATAGAGAGCGAGTATGTTTTGGAAAGTTTGGAGGTTTGAAAAAATGGCTTCGCCGCGATATGACCGAGAATTTCTCCCTATCAGAAAATGGCCGGATAGTCCAGTGGATAGTGTGCTCGCTCCTCGCGCGGGTTATCGCTGGTTCGAATCCCCTCACTGTCCAAACATTTTTGTTTTTTTTGTTAAAGCAATGAAATCGATTAGTCAATCAATTAACAAGCAATTAGTCAATCAATTAATAGTAATGAGCTAAATTGACAAATGAAAATGCCTATTTATCCCCTGGAAATGGAAATAGATAGCTCTACAGGCCTTTGAATGTAAATTCAAGAATTTCGCGTTTCTGCTAGTATCTGCTGGTGCTAGTTTCCATCTCCCAAATCGCTAGTGCTAGTTTCCATCTCCCAAATCGATGCTAAATTCGAGCAGTTCTCTCGTAAGGCCAGTTCCAATAGAATTTTCAAATCTTTCATCTTTATTTCATTCACCGAATTTCAGAGAAGCAAAAAATCGCAAAAAATGCTTGGTCTTTCCTATGAACAGCGGTCGAATTTCCGCTCGGAACGCTACCTTGTCCATCACAGTCCACAAGGAGGAGCACACGACAATTTCCCGGATCATTTCCATCCAGACAAGCACTCGTGGCCCGGATTGTCACCTAGACAAGCTGAAGCATTGCAGAGACACGATCCAAGAAGGGAAAAGGATTCAAAAGAACTGGGAAAGGGGTCGATTGTCCCAGATTTCCCGTCAGAACATCGACAAAATGACAAACGGCTACAAGAAGTTGAGAAGGAGACTCAGGTTTTTTTGTTGAATGTTTTATGTTCCTAATTTGCTTGTTAGATGTACTTTGTGGTTAAATCTGTAAACGCATGCTTTCTGGTTAACGGAATTCTTTATCTGGATCGTTTCTGTAGAATTTAGTGCACTAGAAAGGGTTCTTTTACAGAGTTAAGCACAAAGAACAAAGTCTAGTTTTCGAACAGTAAGATTCTTGGACTATTTTTGATCTTCTAAGGCTGTTTAGTGGGTTACTAGTGTCTTCTAAAGCTTCTTAGTGTCTTCTAAGGCTTCTTAGTGTCTTCTAAACCTTCTTAGTGTCTTCTAAAGCTTCTTAGTGCTTTCTTATTGTTCCAGAAGGCTGTTTAGTGACTTATTAGCCTCTTCTAAAGCTTCTTAATCTTTTGTACTTTGTGCTTCGGCTTCTCTGTAAACAAATCCTTCTGGTGCACTGAATTCTTTAGGTTTCAACTAGCCAGGCTTGAGAAAATGAGGAATTCACTGTACTAGGAAATATGCGTTTAAAAAATGAGCCCAAAGTACAGCAGAAAGCCGTCCAAACTTCTCTACTCTTTATCTGAAACTGAAAAGCTAGATGAAGACTTTAAAAGCAAAGCGAATCAAAAAAATCAAAAACAATTGCTTTCACTAATATCTCTGTATCAATCCATTGTTCGATCTTTTCCAGCTCGATCAACCAAAGCGTTTATCCGTCCCAAACACCTATAAAGAGTTCGTGGCGGCGCCGGTTTCTCCAAAATCTTTCGGCAATTATCCAGAGTTGAAAAATGTGGCTCAATATCGGCCACCAGTTGGGAAATTCTCGACACCAACACCGCTGAATGTTGAAAGGAACCAAGCACCGATAAAAGAAACGATTGAAGAACCAGATGAGTATGAATACGGTCGGTGTCTTTCTTTTTGTCCAGTCATTGTCCAGTCTACGGTAGCTAGGCGGTTAATCTTTGGCCTAAATTTCTAAGCTAAAGCTACCGTAATCCTTACATAGATCGAAAGCTACCGTAATCCTTACATAGATCAGAAGCTACCGTAATCCCTACATAGATTGGAAGCTACCGTAATCCTTACATAGATTAGAAGCTACCGTAATCCTTTCATAGATTGGAAGCTATCGTAATCCTTACTTAGACTGGAAGCTACCGTAATCCTTAGATTGGAAGCTACCATAACCCTTACATAGATCGGAAGCTACCGTAATCCTTACATAGATTAAAAGCTACCGTAATCCTTTCATAGATCGGAAGCTATCGTAATCCTTACTTAGATTGGAAGCTACCGTAATCCTTACTTAAACCTCAAGCTAAGACTACCGTAATCCTTGACTGATCTAGTCTATCGTAATCTAAATCTAAAGTACTTCCTGGGTACGGTAGCTTTTCCTAAGCACAGCTTTTAGATGGGTACGGTAGCTTTCCCTGGGTACGGTAGCTTTCCCTGGGTACGGTAGCTTTCCCTAAACACAGCTACCCAATCCAACAAATTAGCAGCCTTAAAACCTAAAGAACTATGCCAGAAAGGATGTGTTTACGAAAATTGTCCATTTTTTTTTTCAAGTGTCCTTTTTGCATGATTTTTTTGAGAGAAAAGTTAGTGCTTAGGTTTAGAAGTAAATTGATGAGAAAAAGAAAAAAGTAAACAGAAAACACACGAAGAAAACCTCAAAAATCTAATCTAAGCAAGCTTTTTTTGCAAAACGAAAAGGGAAAAAGAGAAAAAAGAGAAAAAAGAGAGAAAATTTAATGAAAAGTTTAGCTGAAAAGTTTAGCTTTATCTTTCAATCTTCTTTTAAAGCTGAATATCTTTTTTTGCTATTTAGCTGTTTAGTTGAATATCTTTTCTAAGCTTCATTCTTTAATCACTTTCAGAAGAGCAGCCAAATGCCACGATGGAGACGAAAGTCTCGGGGCAGGGACAGCCGAAGAGAGTCGGACGCTGGACTCTCGCTCAACTCCGTCAGACTGATGGTAGGAGATTTATGGCCCAATTCTATGATTTCAATCGTTTATCTGACCGTTTATCTACCGTTTATCTAACCGATTATCGATTAAATTCTAGGAATCATCCCGTCGCAAGCCGGTTGGAACAAGGGAGACTCGCAAAAGTTGATGACCAACTTCGGAACGCCGCGTAACACGAACACCCGTGTCAAGAGCGAGAATCTCAAGGTTTCTTTCACTCTAATGTTATTTACAAACGAAATCCAACCTAATAATCAATCAGAAAGTCTAATAGAAGCTCTTACAATCGTTCTAATCGTAGCGCCTTCTATCGAAGCGTCGTCTAAGTTTACCCTCAAACAAACACTCATATCTTGACACCAGTACGTTTATTTCTGCTGGCTTAGGCATTAAATTAAAGTAGAGAGAATGGGTGATTTTTTAAGATATAACACATATTTTTTGCATTAACCAGTGCTTAGAAAAAATGATTGAAAAATGATTTAAAAAAAGTCGATTTTTCATCATTTTTCAATCATTTTTTCTAAGCACTGGTTAATGCTAAAAATATGTGTTATATCTCAAAAAATCACCCATTATCTCTACTTTAATTTGATATCTCAGCCCGCAGAAATAAACGTACTGGTGTCAAGATATGAGCGTTTGTTTGAGAGTAAACTTACAAGGGAAGATCAACTGGTTGAGCCGGTCAAATGCTTTGCGACCTATACCATTGGACGCAGAATTTGATGCTGATTCCGGATATAGATTCCGTTTTTTGCTAAATGACAATTTGTCAGGAGATTTGACAATCTAAAGTTTTGAATCTTGTTTTGTCACTGAAAATGTGGGTATTTGGGTGTTAGCGGCCTTCTTGCCGGCCGGTTTCAGTGCAGCCGTGGCCGAGTGGTAGAGCGCTCGTTTCTCAGAGCGAGACCTCACGAGTTCGATCCCCCACTTGAACCCTTCATTTTTTTCTTTGGCTTTGGATTATTGCTAGTCAATAGTCTAATCAGTAACCAAAAATAGTCTTCTTGAAGAAAGAAAAAAAGAAGGTTCCAATCGGGGATCGAACTCGTGAGCTCTCGCTCTAGAAACGAGCGCTTTACCACTCGGCCACGGCTGCAATGAGACCGGTCGGCAAGAAGACCGCTAAGACTCAAGGTAAACAGAAATTGAGTCTAACTTTGACTCAATAAATGATAAATAATCCGTAATGTCAAGCAAATTGTTGAGCTGAACCACTAATCTTCGAATAATTGGAACGGGGAAGGGAAAGAGGAAGAGAAAGAAAGAGGAAGAGAAAGAGAAAGAGGAAGGGAAAGAGAAAGAGGAAGGGAAAGAAGAAAAAGCTGAACAAATAGCTCCAATTTCGGTTTATTTTCGCCATTACATCGATTTGCCATCAAAATTTTGTGAAAGATTGATTTATTTCCTATATAAAAATGGCTCATAAAAGAAAACACCGAATTCAATTCGATATTTATGTGCAAAAGATACCGTACGAGGTTCGATTATTCATTTATAAGTCTTCTAATGATTTCAGAAACACTTTTGATCAATTTTGATCTTTTTAAGGTTTGAAATAAGCTTTGTTTAGTCATGTTTAGCTATTTTTAGCTATTTTTAGCTGTTTTTAGCTGTTTTTAGCTATTTTTGGCTATTTTTAGCTATTTTTAGCCATTTACCTCTATTTTACCTCTTTAAGATGTACTTTGTGCGTAACAAATGTACTTTGTGCTTAACAAACGCACCCTTTCTCGCGCACTGCTAAGTCTAGACAGATTCCTCAGCTTTCACGGCTTCACTGCGCAATTGTAGCGTACTGTAGCGTACTTTGTGCTCAAATTTGTAAACACACCCGTCCTAGTGCTCTAGATTCTTGTAGTTTCTTCATTTTCTCACAAAATTCACTCGATTTCACGAGAAAATAAAGAAACAAGTGCGCTAGAGAGCTTGCGTTTACAAATCCAAAGTACAATTGTACAAACGAGTCCAAAGTACAAATGCAATGGCTAGAAGAATTTGTTTACAATTTTTTCATTAAGGCTAACGATTAAATAGTTTTCTATTCATCAAATTCAACTTTTTTAGGACAAAAGATCAACTCTATAAGCAAGAATTTACCTTTTAAACAATTTACAACAATTTACAACAATTTACAACAATTTACAACAATTTGCAACAATTTACAACAATTTAGAACAATTTTAAACGATTTTAAACGATTTTAAACAATATAGAACAATTTAGAACAATTTAGAACAATTTAGAACAATATAGAACAATTTAGAACAATTTAGAACAATATAGAACAATTTAGAACAATTTAGAACAATTTAGAACAATTTAGAACAATTTAGAACAATATAGAACAATTTGCAACAATTTGCAACAATTTTAAACGATTTTAAACAATTTAGAACAATTTAGAACAATTTAGAACAATATAGAACAATTTTAAACAATTTTAAACGATTTTAAACAATTTTAAACAATTTTAAACAATTTTAAACAATTCAACAATGCACAACAATTAAATTTCTTAATATCATTGTCTTTAGGAGATCCCAGACGATGTGGCTCAACGAACTCATGGAGAAGTCCGTCTTCAATCCGGTACCAACAAATACGCCTCACAGGTGAGCTTTTGAAAGGTTAAATTAAATTAGAAAGAAGAAATAAAGAAATCATAAAGAAATCATGAATAAATAAAGAACTTACATTAAACAATAGATAGTTCTTTGAGAAATTTGTTATTTAGAGAGGAATGACCAACTTCGGATCGGGTCGTGATGTTTGCCGAGAGTCGGTTCGCGTCAACCAGAATCCCGCTGATTTACCTGTGAGTTTAAAAGCCGCTTACGAGAAAGGTTACAAGAAAGGTTACGAGAAAGGTTAGAGAAAGCTTGCAAGAAAGCTTAGAGAAAGGTTAGAGAAAGCTTAGAGAAAGCTTAGAGAAAGCTTACGAGAAAGCTTAGAGAAAGCTTGCAAGAAAGCTTAGAGAAAGCTTAGAGAAAGCTTGCAAGAAAGCTTAGAGAAAGCTTAGAGAAAGCTTAGAGAAAGGTTACGAGAAAGCTTAGAGAAAGCTTAGAGAAAGCTTAGAGAAAGCTTAGAGAAAGCTTAGAGAAAGCTTAGAGAAAGCTTAGAGAAAGGTTACGAGAAAGCTTAGAGAAAGCTTGCAAGAAAGCTTAGAGAAAGCTTACTCGTCAGCTTACGAGAAAGGTTACGAGAAAGCTTACGCGAAAGCTTACTCGTCAGCTTACGAGAAAGCTTACAAGAAAGGTTACAAGAAAATTGACTCAACTCAAAGTTCGGAATTGTTTCAAAGCCAAGTGAACCTTATAGAATCGACAAGATTCATAATCAAAAATTAGCTGCCAACTCAACCTGGATCACGAGATATTTAATGTTAAAGTTTTACAACAAAATTTCATTGGTCTTTAGTACTCCTGGGATTTCTATAAGAGATTTCTTAAAGTAAACCAGCTTTTCTCTTTAATGTAGTCGGTAGAGCCATGGCCTTTGAATCTAAGGGTCAAAAGAAAATCTAAGGGTTCGAAGTCCTGCCTGAGTCTTTAAGTTTAAAGTTTAAAATCTTTTTAGGAGCTTCCGGAGGAGAAAATTCGTCTCTCCGAGGGAATCGTGCGTCTTCAAGCCGGTACGAACAAATATGACTCGCAGAAGGTGAGAAGAGTTTTAGAAATGATATCACGATATTGTTATTAGATTAGCTGATAATTTAGACAAATTAGGGCTAGCAATTAGCTAAAAACTCGAGATTTCCGGTTCTTTCTCCATTTTTACAAAGTTCGAACATTTTGAATGCTTTTGAATGCAAAGTTCGAACATTTAAAACTTGCCACTATTTCTTAAAGTTATTAGATGCTAAATGAATATTAGCAAGCTTTTAAATAGGAATTAAATAGGCCTTTGAGGCCTTTGAGTCCTTTGAGTCCTTTAAGGCCTTTGAGGCCTTTGAGTCCTTTAAGGCCTTTGAGGCCTTTGAAGCCTTTGAGGCCACTGAGTCCTTTGAGTCCTTTGAGTCCTTTGAGTCCTTTAAGGCCTTTGAGTCCTTTAAGGCCTTTGAGGCCTTTGAAGCCTTTGAGGCCACTGAGTCCTTTGAGGCCACTGAGTCCTTTGAGGCCACTGAGTCCTTTGAGTCCTCTGAGGCCTTTGAGTCCTCTGAGGCCTTTGAGTCCTTTGAGGCCTTTGAGTCCTTTGAGCCAAATCTTTAAGCCAAATCTTTGAGCCAAATCTTTAAGCTAAGAACTTTGAGTCAATGAATTTAGGGAATGACTTGCATTGGTACTGCTCGTCGTGAGACCTACAAATGCAAAGATACCAAACATCCGGAATACGATCACGAGAAACCCGATCAAAGCGAGATTCCACTTCAATCTGGAACCAACAAATTCGCCTCGCAAAAGGTTTGTTCACAGAAAAAGCTGATGAGAAAGCTGATGATCGGGAAAGAAATGCTAGCTAGCTAGTTAGAAATGCTAGCTTTACTAGCTCATCAGCTTTACTAGCTCATCAAATGCTGAAAAAATGCTGAAAAAATGCTGAATAAATGGAAAACAATGCAGGGAATGACCTGCATGGGTACCAACCGTCGTGAGACTTGCCGAATCGTTGACACGGCTCACCCCGAATACAATCCCGAGTCATCAATCGATGGATCCACCATTCCACTCCAAATGGGAACCAACAAATTCGCCTCGCAAAAGGGAATGACTTCCTTTGGACAAGGACGTTGGGAGGTATGTGAAGGAGATATAGAGTACCGTTTTCTAAGAGCTTAAGTAAGCTTAAGCTTAAGCTCTTGCTCCTGCTGCTTGTTTTCAAGCAGCTCTTGCTCCTGTTGCTTCTTTTCAAGCAGCTCTTGCCCCTACTGCTTCTTTTCAAGCAGCTCTTGCCCCTACTGCTTCTTTTCAAGCAGCTCTTGCCCCTACTGCTTCTTTTCAAGCAGCTCTTGCCCCTACTGCTTCTTTTCAAGCAGCTCTTGCTCTTACTCTTGCTCCTTAAAGTTTTCAAGCTTACGATAGCTCTAGCACTTTTCCAGAAAACGATTAGAGTCTAAAACTATTTCATTTAGGTGCTCGACCCATCAATCTCGTGGCAAAACAGGAAATCTCAAGGAATGGTTCGTCTCCAATCCGGTACCAACAGATTCGCCTCGCAAGCGGTAAGTTCAAAAATTCACTTCTCATTGCTTATCATTGCAATTGCTGAAATGGAATGGGAATGAATTTTAGGGAATGACCGGCTTCGGAACAATCCGAAACACCACCTACGAGGCTGAGGCTGGAGAGCTTCCATATGGTATGTTTATATCAGTTAAAACAATAAAACCTCTTTTCAAGGTTCAAGTACTCTTGTAGTTCAAGTACTCTTGTAGTTCAAGTACTCTTGTAGTTCAAGTACTCTTGTAGTTCAAGTACTCTATCTCTTGTAGTTCAAGCTGTTCAATATTTATGGACACTTTTAAGCTCACAAGTCGTTTAGAACAGGAATCTTTAAAAGAAAAAAATACTATTTTAAAAGTTATCTTTATCATTTTCGCTTTAGAAGCTTTAGAACTTATACTTTAGAATTTAAAATAAAGAATAAATAAAACTATTTTTAAAAATTTGTCTTTAGAGGACATGAAGAAATCGGAGACAATCATCCCATCACAGGCTGGATGGAATCGTGGAGACTCGCAGAAGGTTTGCATTCAGTTAATTCATTGAAATGGATAATTGAAATGGATAATTGAAATGGATAATTGAAATGGATAATTGAGATGGATAATTGAGATGGATAATTGAAATGGATAATTGAAATGGATAATTGAAATGGATAATTGAGATGGATAATTGAAATGGATAATTGAAATTGATTATTGAAATTGTTAATTGAAATTGTTAATTGAAATTGTAAATAATTGAAAGTCACTTTAAAATATTTTATAATTTACCAGACCTAAACAAAAGCGGAAATAGAACTTGGCTTCTGGTTTATTCCGGAGAGATTGTCTTTGAAACAACTATGAGCCTGAGCTTGGTTAGGCTTTAAGGCTAAGGCAAAGCTGAGCCTAGAATCGGTTTGGTTTTGACTTGGCTTGAGTCTAGCCAGTTTGGTGTAGACCGGAAGCTGACTAGTCTAGCCAGTTTGGCTTAGACTGGAAGCTAGACTAGTCTAGCCAGTTTGGTGTAGACTGAAAGCTAGACTAGTTTAACCAGTTTGGCTTAAACTGGAAGCTAGACTAGTCTAGCCAGTTTGGCTTAGACTGGAAGCTAGACTAGTTTAACCAGTTTGGCTTAGACCGGAAGCTAGTCTAGCCTGGCCAGTTTGGTTTAAACTGGAAGCTAGACTAGTCTAACCAGTTTGGCTTAAACTGGAAGCTAGACTAGTCTAACTTAGGTTCAGAGTTGCTTCAAAAGAAAGCCAGTTTCGTTTCGAAAGGCTTCTAGAATTGGCAAATTGAGTATCTGTGTCTAAAAGTATCAGATCTAGTACTCTGACGTTCAAATCTTCCACTCTTCTACTAGAATAGCCAAGCGAAATCATTTGCAAATCTTTTCATAAAACTCTTTCCAGTTGATGACCTGCTTCGGCTCGTCTCGAGACGTCAAGGGAAAGCACTTGAAGCGTATCTGGGAACTCGAGTACCCAGAAGAGGCCGAGATTTCACTCGACCGACTCTAAATGATAAAATCTCTATAAAAATGAAGAAAAATTCAATGATTTTTCTTTTTACCATCAAATTTCCCATCTTTTCTGTGCCATTTCAATCTAGTCTTCTCTCGTTTTTCTCTTTTTCTTCTCCAGCTTTCGTGAAACGCTACTTTTCACTCTTTTTCTGGGCATTTTCCCGCAACCTTCAAATTCCTCGAAATAAAAATCTATTTTCAAATTTGCATATCTCAAATTGCGTATTTCAAACTGCATATTACAAATAGCATATTTCAAAATTGCAAATCATACAATCAGAACCAAGAAAGCATAGCAGAGCATAGCCGTTCTTAGTCAATGAATGTTACAGGAATCCAATTGTTTGAAGAAAGATAAGAAAGATAAGAAAGATAAGAAAGATAAGAAAGATAAGAAAGATAAGAAAGATAAGAAAGATTAAAGAATCTGGGCCGGATTACGGGAGTCAAGTCAATGCCTACTCGAGTAAAAGTTTCCACATAAAATACTAAATAAATGCTGTATTGTTCTAATGTCGCTCTAATGTCGCTCTAATGTTGCCTAATGTTGTCTAATGTTGTTCTTTTGGTGTCGTTCTATTTGAGGTTATCGTTCTGACAACCTCAAATAGAACGACACCAGAAGGAGCACTCAACGGAGCACTCAATAGGTGAAAATGTGGATAATGTGGAGGAAGCATACGTATTAGAATGATATGTGTGCACGATGTGTTCGTCGAAAGCGTGAGAAGTGAACGATATGTGTGAACGATGTGTTCGTCGAAGGCGTAAGACGCCAGCACTTAGCGAGTATTGACGGTCAGGAGGTCGGAGTATTGACGATGAACGATCTGATAATCGTAGAGACGCCATGCGTTGATGCAAGGATGATTTTTATCGGTCGAGATTTGTGGGAAGAGTATACTCCAATCCGATATGTGTGGACGATGCATCGAAAGCGTAAGAAGCCAGCACTCGAGAAGATGGCGATCACAGTTTGATCGAGATTTCGGGGTGAGGCGAAACTCGATAGCAACTTCGGAAAGGCCTTCCAAAACGACATGATAGCTGTGGTCAAGTTTCTTTGCAAAGTCCGACGATTGATTGTCGATTGGCTTGAGAGGAGGTGGCAGAGAATGGTTTAAGAAGCAGCCCATCGTCGATACCATTCATCGATACCAGTAGATGAAGTAGATGAGAACGGTTGATGAAATAGTAGAATCGCTGGCACTTGTGACAACCTCAAACTTGGATAATTAAATCAGTATTTGAGCAAACAGCAAGCAAGCAAGCAAAAGCAAACCACCGATTTATCGGCTCGGCTAATCGGCTAATTTCTATAGAGAGAGCCAGACTCACCTCATTTCTAAGGCCAATTTTCGCAGATGGTGGGCAGACACGCAAATCCTTCAACTTACATTTATGCACCTATATGGAAAATTGACTATTCTAAATATTCTAGCTTTACTTATGAGGAGAGACTTGCTTTTTTTTGAACTAAAAACTTTACAGCATCGTCGCTTTGTCATTGATTTAGTCGAAACTTTCAAAATCCTCCGTTGTAAACAGATTAGCCCTTTGTTTATAGACTTTTTCAAATTTAAACCGCGGTCAGGGCCCAGAAGTGGCTCATTCCTTTTGCAAATTCCCTTTGCTTCCAATGCCTCTTTATCAAATTCATTTCCCGTTAGAGCCGCTAGATTATGGAACTTGCTCCCAAACGACATACGAGAAATTCAGTCGCTTTTCATATTCAAGAAACGTATCGATGCTTTAGATCTAGTGGCTCTTTGCCGTAAGTAATTGGCTTATTGATTTCAGTATGTATTGTATGATTAAGTATCACTGTGCATTTCTCTATGATTTCTTTCACTTTATCGTTTGAATAAAGTATTATTATACTCTACAAGCATTTGAAAAAAAAATAAAAATTAAACCACATAGAAAAAACTAGTAGCATTTTGAAGTTGAACAACGTTTTTCGACTTTCTGCGCGCTAAAATATGGATAACTACTGTAACCCAGCTTGACAAAAAGCCTCAAAGTATAAAAGGTTGCTGTTTATTTATTTATTTCATCTTTTCGTCGTGTTTTTTCAAACCGTGGATACAAATTTTGGATCAACACTTAAGGCAAAGCAGGCGCTTAAGGCAACGCTGAAGACAACGTTTAAGACAACGTTTAAGGCAACGCTGAAGACAACGCTTAAGGCAGCCGATCGGACGCCTTAGTGTGATCAAGAACTACAGAAAAGTTAGAAAAAAATTGAAATTATAAAAAATCACGATAAAAATCATACTCAATTTGAATGAAATGTATGTTTGGCTGACTTATATAGTTTTTGGCGGGCGGTAACAATCGAGGCCGATTCAAAGTGAAAAATTCCTTTCGCCGATAACTATCATTTGTTTTTATTTGATTCTTTGTATACCAAAAATGGTAGAAACAAATCGGCTGATTGATTTCCTGCCAAACTTTTGTTGATGAACATCTCCTGCCGCGGTAGACAGGTTTAAACGTGTCAACTGGCAAGCCAGAAAAATAGAATCATTTCTTTTTTGGACTTTTCATTCGAGATGAGTTCGAGCGATGATGAAGTTATTGAAGACATTTTCGTTGTTGTTGTCGTCGTTGTTGTCGCTGTCGTTGTTGTTGTCGTCGTTGTTATCGTTGTTGTCGTCGTCGTTTTTGTCGCCGTTCGTTGTTGTTGTCGTCGTCGTCGTTGTCGTCGTCGTCGTTGTTGTCGTTGTTATCGTTGTTGTCGTCGTTGTTGTCGCTGTCGTTGTTGTCGCTGTCGTTGTTGTCGCTGTCGTTGTTGTCGCTGTCGTTGTTGTCGCTGTCGTTGTTGTCGTCGTTGTTATCGTCGTTGTCGTCGTCGTCGTCGTTGTTGTCGTTGTTGTCGTCGTTGTTGTCGTTGTCGTTGTTGTTATTGTTGTTGTCGTCGTCGTCGTCGTTGTTGTCGTTGTTTTTGTCGTTGTTGTCGTTATCGCTGTCGTTGTTGTTGTTGAGTATTATGTCAACATTGTTGTCGTTGTTGTTGTTGTTGAGTATTATGACAACATTGTCGTTGTCAACAACGACAACGACGACGACAACGATAACGATAACAACGATAACAACAACGACAACAACTCATTGTTGAGTTATCAGAATTGGAAATTTTGCTGCAACACTGCCATATTTGCCATAAAATCCCAGGAGGGATTTTATGGCAAATATGGCAGTGTTGCAGCGATAACGACAACGGCTGCAAGCGACGACAGCGATAACGACAACGGCTGCAAGCCCTGCAAGCTAGCGGCAAGATGGTGGATCGGACATCTGTTGAAAATCAGCGAATATGGCAGGAAATTAATCAGCTGATTTGTTTCTGCCATTTTTAATATGCAAAGCATCAAATAAAAACAATATGATAGTTATCAGGAAAAAATTTTTCTCTTGGAATCGGCATCGATTGTTACCCCCCTCTCCCTTTAAAGCTTTAATAATTTTCCGCATTTCTGCAAAGTCGACTCTCGATATCACGACTTTTTTTCATCGCTAACTAACTAACTTTTGATTTTATATAATGATTTTGGGGGGTGGGACAAATGCGACCTTTTTTTGCGCACCTGGACATTTGCGCACCTTTTTTTTTGCTGGAAAAGGCCTTAGGCAAGGTCGTAGAGCTTCAAAAATGTTTTCATAGAAGGGAATCATATGCGTAGATTCCGAATTTCGACAAATTAGACCTCGCTGACACGTCAAATTTGGGCTAAAAGGCAAAAACTACGCAACGTAACGCTTTTCCGCAGTTTTTGCCTTTTAGCCCAAATTTGACGTGTCAGCGAGGTCTGATTTGTCAAAATTCTGAATCTACGCATACGATTCCCTTCTATGAAAACATTTTTGAAGCTCTACGACCTTTCCTAAGGCCTTTTTCAGCCAAAAAAAAGGTGCGCAAATGTCCAGGTGCGCAAAAAAAAGGTCGCATTTGTCTCACCCCCTGATTTTGTGGCTAAAACGTAAATAATTTTTTCATTAAATGATTATATCATGGCTGAATATAGTTTTAAAAATTATTCTTTATTGTGAAACTTTTTCTTGTTTTTATTCAATCGTAAATACTTTTTTTACTTTTCTAACTGTTATTCAAAAATAATTTGTTTTTTTTCAGGTACGAGATGAAGAAAAAAAGAAAGTTGGATCTTGCGTTGAAGAAATGAATAATTGATGAGTCGATTTCAAAAGCTCCAAAAGAAATTGGAAGAGCAATTCGAATTACATTCAAAACTGCTACGATTCTTCAATAAAAACAGAAGATTTTGGATGAAATCGATGATGGAAGCCAAGCAAAACGTGCCCGTTTGAAGGAGAATAAAGATGGAGATCTCGAAGTTGCCTAGGCTGGCCGCTTGGCTTGGCCTATCGCTTGCCCTATCGCTTGGCCTATCGCTTGACCGAAAGAAGTACGAAGCTTGAATGAGTGTGTGGACGTTTATTGTGAAGGAAAGCGTTGGAATTGAAGAAAATATTGAGAATGACGATTTTCATGCGAGTAGGTTGGTTGGAGAATGTGAAACGCCGACATGGAATCGTGTTTGCACCGAACTTTGCAAGGAAAAGCTGCTAAAATCAATTTGGATGACTATACAAGAAAAAAAAGGCTGATTCAAAAGCTTTTGCTGCCGTAAGTGTTCTTGGTGATTTTTTTGTAAGGAATCTTTGATTAAAAATAAGCAGTCTCACGTTACAGGTTTTTTTTCGCTAAACTTTGAGGGAACTTGGCGTTTTGTTATGTTCGTTTTTTGCTACTAAACGGTTTATTAAAAGTCGATATAACGATTTGGGTTAAAAGCCTTGGTTTTTACTTAGATATAATGATTTTACGATAAAAAAGATTGCATTTGGCGGTCCCGACAGAATCGTTGTATCGACTTTTAATAAACCGTTTAGCAGCAAAAACGAACATAACAAAACGCCAAGTTCCCTCAATCGTTGTATCGAGAGTTGACTGTATTTAGTTGAAATTCGGTTACTTATGTTCTTTCTAATGTAACTTTAACCTAGGCTTTCTGCTTTTTTTGGCTTTCTCCTTTTGCGATATAGATTTGGGTTAAAAGCCTTGTTTTTTTCTACTTCTATTTTCGATTTTCGATTAACGACCTTTCGATATAACGACTCCATTTCGCGGTCCCGACAGAATCGTTGTATCGAGAGTCGACTGTATTTAGTTGAAATTCAGTTACTTGTATTCTTTCTGATGCAACTTTAACCTAGGCTTTCTGCTTTTGCGATATAGATTCGGGTTAAAAGCCTTGTTTTTTTACTTCGATTTTCGGTTAACGACACTTCGATATAACGACTTTTCAATACTCCATTTCGCAGTCCAGACAGAGTCTTTATATCGGGAGTTGACTGTATTTTCCGGATTTGTTAAACTTTCAAAGCTGAAAGCAAAGAAAAAGAGGTGACTACACTATGTAAATAAGTGTAGCCTGTAGTCGCTATCAACGCACGGGATTTATTTGAGGCTTAGGCTTGTTTGAGGTCACATTTTAGAAAGATCTTTTACTTTTATAACTTGTCTTTTATGTATTTTATGCAAATTATGTTTCATTTTCAGTGCATGAATGCCAAGTCGTCTCCGCCGTGTCACCGTCTACGAAACATCGACTCGTTTCTATATTGTGGGCAGTGATGTATCAAGGACACGATTTAATTTACTCAAGATTGATAGGTAGATTTTAATTTTTTAAATGGTCCGCGATAATGGAATGAACTTAGCTTGCTAAAGTATTGTAAAAGGGTAACGTAGCGATTGCTGTGTTTCCAAAACACGATCAAAAGGTATAGAAACCGCTTTGAATGTTACCGGTTCGAGTTCGATGCGATAACTTTTTTTTGTGAGCACAGAATCCATAATTTTGTTGTTTTTTCTCTTAGTTGCAATCCAATAACAATTGTTACTAGTTTTCTTTTGTTCTGTCGTCAAAATTTTTTCCATTATGGCTTACTTGATGTGCATCGAGTAGAAGATTAAAATCAGAGAACTCGTAAATCTAAACAATAACTTTTAAAGTTGATATCCAGATAGCATAAAAAAACATTCTTTTATAGAAATCCTTCTACTAGAAAAAAAAGTAATTTCAGTGAAGAGTGGTGCGCTGAGGTTTTTTGGTCAAAAAAGTGTTCGGATTTCATTTTTAAGTCAGATTTTAATCAATTAAGATCTGTACAACATGGACCTTTATTTTATTTCAATTAAGATCTTTATTTCTTTTTAAAATTTGAATTATAAGTGCCGCAAAAATAGGAATTGGGTGGCACAGAAAATGTTTCATAAAATAAGCTTGGAATTTTCATGAAGAGAATCCGAATTTTTAGCACTAAAAGCATTGTAATGTGTTGCTAGAACGTATTTAAAAAAAGATTTTATACACAAGAAATTATAACTGAAACTTTAGACTTGAATCAAAAGCCTTACTGACGGGTGAGCCAGAGAATGACTACTCCGAGCAAGAGATCATGGAGCTTTTGGCTACTGTTTCAGAGGGGACATCAAGTGAGGAAGTTTTAGTTTTAGTTTAGTGTTAGTTTTAACGACGTTTTAGTACTCCAATATTTACCTCAATACATTGACGACAATACCAATAACGATTATTTTTGGTGTTAACTCAAGTTAAACGGTTTTTCACGACTTTTATTATTGTTTTGCAGAAAGTTCTCGATAGCTTTGTACTAGTTTTCAAGAAAATATTCAGGGCTATCAAATAACTATAAAAGTTTAGTTTATTTTTGAATTTCCATCAAATTATCATTAAAATAGTTATCGACTACGCGACTGTACGCTCAAACTTTGCTAAGATCACAATTTCAGTCGTGCAAAAGGGACCAAATGGACGAAAGCAGCAAGTAGCTGGTGGGATCATCGCTCGTGTGCAAAACGCTTACGGGATTCTTGGAATCGTTCGCTTTACAGAGGGTTATTACATCATTGTAAGTAGCTTTAGCCAGTTAGTTTTTAAAATTTCAAATAAAACTGTTACCGTTAACGTTAACCGGTCTTTAACCAGTTAGTTTTTTAAATTTCTAAAATCGAATTTTGTAGACTTTGTGTTTTTTTTAAACTGAATAGCTTGGCCGTATTTTGGGGTATTCTGTGGGTATAAACGTAGAATTTTTAGATGAGTTAGCATTATTATTGTTATTGTTATTGTTATTGTTATTGTTAGCAGTTTTAGGAAACTGAGACTAAGAAAGCTATCAAAAAGCTACCAATAAAGCTATCATTCCTTTTCTGAAAAGTCTACAAAATGAGATTTCGATTTCTTTTTCGATTCAAACGGGAAAACTTCAATGAAATGAGTTTTTGAGTGAAATGTCTTTCAGCTGATCACCAAGGCGATGATTGTCGCGCAAATCGGCTACCACTCAATCTACAAAATTGCTGAGGTGGCAATGATCAATATTGGTAAGAAAAGAGTAGGAATAGGCTTATAGAATAGGAATTAGAATACAGTGCCACCATTAATACATGCCAGAGAGCTCAGTGGTTGCATTTCTGCCGTGGTCCAGTGGCACAGCCTTCGCTTCTAGAGCGAGACCTCGCGAGTTCGATCCCCACTTGGGACCCTCTTTTGCTTTTTTCAAGAAGTGAGGACTAGTTTGCCTTTGACTGATTCTAGTGACTTCCTAACCAAACTTTGGCTTTAGTAAACTTAAGTAAACTTTAGACGCTTTTGGCAAATTGTCATTTAGCATATTCTCACACTTTTCTAAAGTCTTTTCACACTCTTGCAACAATAATTCGCAAGTTTCCCAAGTTCTTTCACTTATCTGAGTTGCCAGTACGAGGGAATACGATATTAGTTACCGTATTACCGTACGGTATTAGGTACAGTATTAGGTACAGTATTATCAGTATTGTATTGAATACTAAAATAAATATGGTTTAAGGCATTGACGGTCTTCTACCGAATTCCCCGGAAGAGCAACGCTACGTGAAAATCTTTCAATCGGTCGACTTGAGCACCGATTTTTACTTCTCATACACCTACGATTTATCTCATAGTTTACAGGTACAGCTTTCAATTTTAGATTTACAAGACAGTACTGAGCCAACAGTACAAACAACAAGGATTCTTTAAACTTATAGGAAAACTACTTGGCGACAGATTGGGAAAACGGTGGCCTTCACAAGCATTCGGCTGACTCTAGGTAAGTTATCGAATTTCCTAATTTAATTAGATATAAATCGAATCTTAGATTTAAACTTTTAAATCTAAGTATATAATCGAGTTTTATTTTCAGATTCATTTGGAACAGCTTCTTGTTGGAACCGTTACGACAAAATGCGATCAGTGAGAGGTGGATGATCGAGGTGACACACGGGTTTGTCGGTGAGATTTTTGGAGCTGATCTTTTCGTTGATAAGTGACATTTTAGATCTAAATCTAAAAGATATCTAAAAACTAAGATATCTAGAAACTAAGATATCTAAATACTAAGATATCTAAATAATAAGAAATCTAAATAATAAGAAATCTAAATACCGTAATTCTTCTATTAAAAAGACTTGTCGCTCTCTTTTTTCAAAGCGCACTTTCTTGTCTCCAAAGAATGATCGTTGAGCTTGTAGCTCGAAATCGTTTTGAGGCGTTTCATGCTTCCTTTGCGTCCTTGATGATTTCAAATTTGGTTAAAGCATCAAAAGTTCGACGCTTTCTTCTCTTGGATATAGAAAGAGCATTGCTAACTGCATCTTTTCCATCGTCAGCATTTTTGTTCTTCACCAGCTACATCTACTTCTTGAACATCATCTTGTTTAAGATCATCAAGCATCATCATCATCTTGTTCTGAACATCATTATCTAATCATCGTGACATCGTGACAACCTTGACATCGTGACAACCTTGACATCATGACAATCTTGACATCGTGACAGTCTTGACATCATGACAATCTTGACATCATGATAACCTTGACATCGGACAACCTTGACATCGTGACAATCGTGACATCGTAACAATCTTGACATCGTAACAATCTTGACATCGTAACAATCTTGACATCGTGACAACCTTGACATCCTCGTAAATCCTCGTTCGAATAGAGGTTACCGAAAAAAGTAATAAATAATATAAAAAAGTAAAGAAAAATAATGTTTGATAATGGGCTTTAAAAAAAATGTTTGGTATGTTAAAAATGGTGTCGCTTTATTGAAGCATGTTATTAAGAAAATGTCTTTCTATTTTTGTTATTAAATCTCTTTCTATTTTTCAATACCTCTAAAAACTATCGTTCTAAAAGAACATGTTGTTTTAATAGAAAAATTACGGTATATTTTATATCGATCTATATTTAGCTCAGCACTTAGTCGATCTACCGACATGTCAAATATCATTGATCTTGATTGGAAGACGATCAGCGAAATACGCGGGAACTAGGTTTTTGAAGAGAGGAGCCAATTTGAAAGGTGGGGAATCACAAATTATAGATAAAAATTGCTACAATAAGATCTACAATAAGATCTACAGTAAGATCTACAATAAGATCTACGGTAAGATCCCTACCTACAGTAAGATCACTAAATTGCTACAGTAAGATCTTGACGGGAAATAGATAGTCGATGTAGTTTAGCGTTTGTTCAGTCAGCGAGAGATTGCAGATTTGTACGGCTTTTTTACTAAACTAGCCCAAGGCCAAAGAAATGCCCAACTTGCTAAAGCAGCTTTGGCTTAGAAAAATTCTAGCATCGAAGAGCCAAGATTAGATTTAATTTTGCCAATTTCTTCACTTCTTTATTACTAATACATGTGATTCTGATTTTCAAATAGACCTACGGCTCTGGACCTGGTATTTCCTTCTTTCTTTCTTCTTCCCCTTATCCTTCCTTCTTTCTTTCTTCTTCCCCTTATCCTTCCTTCTTTCTTTCTTCTTCCCCTTATCCTTCCTTCTCTCTTTCTTCTTCCCCCTTATCCTTCCTTCTTTCTTTCTGCTTCCCCCTTCTTTCCTTCTTTCTTTCTTCTTCTTCCCCCTTATCCTTCCTTCTTTCTTTTTTCTCCCCCCTTGTCTTTCCTTCTTTCTTTCTTCTTCCCCTTATCCTTCCTTCTTTCTTTCTTCTTCCCCTTATCCTTCCTTCTCTCTTTCTTCTTCCCCCTTATCCTTCCTTCTTTCTTTCTGCTTCCCCCTTCTTTCCTTCTTTCTTTCTTCTTCTTCCCCCTTATCCTTCCTTCTTTCTTTCTTCTTCCCCCTTATCCTTCCTTCTTTCTTTCTTCTTTCCCCTTCTTTCTCTTGGTAAATTAAGGTACCGAATAGCAATTGCTTGAGTAAAAGGTTGAGACTTCAATCCCTTCCCCTACTTTTTCTTGACATTCCTTTCCTTCAAGCCTGGCCAACTGGTTAGCCAACTGGTTGGCTAACAAGTTGGCTGAATTCTTATTCAAACATTGAAAAAATTAAGGTGATGTGGCAAACGATGTTGAAACCGAGCAAATCGTTTGGGATCGAGGAGGGCCACCAAATTTGAAGAAAGGTCGATTCACGTCATTCGTGCAACGAAGAGGATCCGTTCCATTGAGGTAAACCTTTTAAAAAAACTATTTAGTTTTTTGTAATTTACAAAATGTATATCCGATTATATCCGATTTCAATTCAAAGCTAAGAATTGCATTTTCAATCCAAAATATTATCAGGTTTTACCTTTATTCAAATTTTAGATGGTCTCAAGATCCGGCGACTCGGGGTGTCGTAGGGAAACCGATGATTCTCATAGACATACACGAACCACATGCACAAACAGCTGGAGCTCATTTTAGGTAAAAGAAAAAGGTTATTTTCTTATTTAAAATAAACCGTAACCATTTAATCAACTAAATTTCGATATTATTGACTTGTGTTTTCATTGAATGAGCTACAAAATTGGCTGATTGAATCAGCAATTTGAGTACGACAGTTACCGTATTTTCTCTAATAGTAGTGCATATCAATAAGCTCATTAAGATGCATATCAAATATATATAGTGCATACCAAAGCAAGAAAAAACCGTGAGGGGAGTCGAACCAGCAAGCCTTGGAGGTCCGAGCCAGCTAGAAACCCAGGCTGCTATCCATTCGGCTACTTGTCCAGTCCGTTTGAGAGTCTCTTTAAAACAGTGCCCCAATCCCCAAAACGTTTATTTTAAGCTAAAAACTGACTAAAAACTTTGACTAAAATCTTGACTAGAAACTGAGCGTCGCCTAAATTGCTCGAAATCTCGAGAATCGCTTATCAGAACCTATCGATGTGGGGTCGGAAAATGTAGCTGACGATGAGATCTAGTGGGGGATTTGAGTGTTGAGCTTCTAGGAAAGATTGGAAACCGTAAAATGGTCGCCAACTCGGCTCACTTGGGTGCACAACTATTAGAGAAAATACGGTATCTACTAAAGTGACTTTTAGAAAACGCAATTTTGTACCAAATTAACTTTCAAATCAAAAGCTATATCCAATTATAGCTTTTAAATGAATAGTTTAGTTGAGAATCGTTTGCAGAATGATACTTTCTAAAGAAACGATCATTTCCGTAGCATCACTGTTCTGTCTTCGTCAGTTCTGAAAGTTCTGAGAGCTCTGGAAGCTCTGAAAGCTCTGAAAGAAATCCAATTATAAAGTCGAAATCTTTCCAAAATCTTGTCAAGTATTTGGTTGGAAATACTCTCGATCATCAGCGCCCTTCAATGAACAATTTAGTAATGAGTACTTTTTAGAGATTTGAAAAAGAAATACGGTAGCCCGATTGTTGTCTACAATTTGGTGAAAAGACGCGAGAAAAGGAGACACGAAACTTTGCTAAATGAACAATTTTTGAAGGTTTCTTTAGATAATATAATAAATTCTAAAGTTAATTTGTCTTTTATAAGTTTTATCTATTCTAGGCAGTCAACTATTTGAATCAATTCATCCCGGATGACGAGCAAATTGCCTATATAGCTTTTGATGTGGCCAGGTGCAATAAGGTGAGTAGAATGGAGAAAATTTGTGTACTTTGTAGTCAAATCTGTAAACACACTCTATCTGGTGCATTGTATTCTTCAGTTTTCTTGTGAACCATTGCTAAAAAGAGAGAATTGTTTGCCAGAAAAGGTGCGTTTACAGATTTGAGCTCAAAGAAACGGGTGTTCAAGATTTACGACGACTTCTTTTTGCTAGATTAGCTCTCAAGTTCAACCCTAATGTGCTAAGTGTTATATAAAATATTGAAGCCCTTAATCTTGGCATCATTTACCTATTAAAAGTTTCCCGATTGGAGTTATGCAAATCATTTTATAAAGGCTTTGAATGAGTACAGTGTGCCGGAGAAGGATCAACTAGTACTCATGTTTCAAGGGCTTGTAAAATGATTTGTATAACTCCAATCGGGAAACAACTTTTAATAGATAAATGTAGCCAAGATTAAGAGCTTCAATATTTTATATAACACTTAGCACATTAGGGTTAAGCTTGAGAGCTAATCTAGCAAAAAGAAGTCGCCGTGAATACTGAACAGGGTTGGGCAAAATTATCCGGACAACTTTTCGAAAAAGTTTACACACGCTTAACTCATTTCAAAGTATTAAGTGTTATATAGAGAATTGTAGCCCTTAATTTTGGCTACATTTATCTATTAAAAGTTTCTCGATTGGAGTTATACAACTCATTTTACAAGGCTTTGAGTCAGCACTTAGGGATTCCTATCTACCGCGCTGCCATTTTTGACGATTCTCTCGTTGTCCGAATAATTTAGCTCAACCCTGTTGTCCAAAAAGTTGAAAGTGTGCACCATAGTGTAAAGGTTGAATAAAATTAACCACAATTTTTTCAGAGTTCCGACATGAACGTGTTGTCAATGTTGAACGAAACGGCGATGAGAGCCGTCATCGCTCATGGATGGTTTCAATCATTTCCCATGCATCATAAACAAACGCTCAGCCCACGAGAAGCATTTCTTGGCTTTAAGTAAGACATGAGATTTTGGATTTCGCTTAGGAAAACTTTAAAAACAAGTTAGAAACAAGTTTTGAAACAAGTTTTGGCTATCAAGCTATACTTGAATCAAGAATTCAGCTGCCAGGATCTTCAAATTCGTTGAAGAAGAAGACTGACTAACGTTTAAATATAAAAAACTAATGCTAATACTAAAGAATTCAGCTGCCAGGATTCTCTAAATACGAAAAATACTGTAGCTTTGGCTATCAAGCCATAGGCTATAGGCAAAATCTGCGATTTCAGTACAATAGACAAAGTACAATAGTACAATAAGTACAATAATCTGTTTTTTAGCCCAACCACCACTCCCTCCGGTCAAGCCATGCTGCAAAGAGGCGTTTCTCGAACGAATTGCGTTGATTGTTTAGATCGGACGAATGTCGCTCAATTTGCTATTGGTATTGCTCAATTTACTATAATCTACAAATAGTTTAAAATCAAAAATTTACAGGCAAAGCTGCGCTAGCCTGTCAACTTTTTGGAATGGGCCTTCTCGATGAGCCGTTTATCGATTTGTCTAGTGAGGTTGAGTTTAGCTTTATGGCAGAGTTTAAAGTGGTGCTTCAAAATCTAAACACAAATCTTCTAGTGCACTCAATTCTCCGTTTTCCATTTTCTCTGAGAACAATGACAGAGCGAAAGAAAGCGCTCAAATCAGATCGCACTAGGAAACTGTTTTAGCTGTTTTGGCACAGAAACTGCTTTAGTTTATGATTTTCGAAACCGAACCTAGCTACAAAACCCTATAGAATTCTAAGAAACATATATTTTTCATACATATTAACATATTTTTCTTATATATGGCAAAAAGGAAGTAATAATGTAGCCGGCGGGATCGAACCCTCGACCTCTTGATTAAGACACTGGGCTCTTAGCCAGTCGGCCACGCCCCCCCGCGAGAGTCTCTCGCTTAACTAGGCTTTTTACTTCAAAACTTGGCAATGATTCAATGGCAAACCACGACCTCACCTATAAGTGGGCGTCATGCCAAGCCGGGTTAAGAGGAGAGGTAGCCTAGTGGATAGTGTGCTAGACTCCAAGACCGGTCCCCGTCATTCCTCGCGGGTTCGATTCCACTTGGTTCCAAATCCTTTGTTTTTTTGGCTCAAGTATAAAAAACGTTGTTTTTGTGAATGTTTTTAAAGTATAAAAAGTTCCAATAAAGGATAAACGATAAACAAATCAAATAGAAACAGGTGTAGGACTAGTGGGTGGACAAAAGTTAAGCGAAAAAATGTTCTTTTAACATTCGTGACTTCGAGAAATTTGACGAGCACGCTAATTGTCATAGAAAAAAACAACGTTAAATCTAGCTTTGCCGTGTGTATGAGGAGTTGTTTGACGCGCACGGGGATACACTCGCATGGCAATATGCGGGCAGTCAACTCGTTCACTCGATCAAAACCTACAAGAAAACGGCTGCACTACAGGTGATTTGATTTGATTAAAGTTTCATCTAAAACACTGATGATACGGTATTTTACTTAACTACCGTATCAAACTATTCAAGCAATGAAGATTTCTTTTCTAAAACCTGTCAAAACTACCGTAACCTTGTCTCTTTTTATTAATCTATATATATCCGTCATAGAGTTAGACAAAAAGTAGATAGGTTACTGTATTTTCTCTAAAGTTTTTTGTCTATAGTAGTGCACCTTAAGCTTTGCTTAAATTGCTCGAAATCTCGAGAACCGCTTATCAGAACCTATCGATGTGGGGTCGGAAAATGTAGCTGATGATGAGATCTAGTGGGAGAGTTGAGTGTTGAGCTTCTGCAGCTTCTGTGAAAACTTTGAAAGCCGTAAAATAGTCACCAACTCGGCTCGCCGCAGTGCACTATTAGAGAAAATACGGTATTCACCGATCTGGCCTATACACTTACTAGGGAAGGTCGCCAACTTAAGATGAAATTTCAAAACGAGACCTATCCTAGTTAGAGAGTTTTGTCGGATAGAGCTCTAATCAGCTAAATGAAAAGCATTTACCATTGTTGCAACCGGGTCTAAAATAGATCGTCGCGTTCTTCATGTAGTGCAAGTAAGCAGCGTTCTCGACTCCGCTGAACTTGGCACAGCTGCCCATTGTGTAGAAATCTCGAAAACCGAGAACTGATCGATGTGGGGTCGGAAAATGTAGCTGACAATGAGATCTAGTGGGAGAGTTGAGTGTTGAGCTTCTGCAGCTTTTGCAGCTTCTGCAAAAGCTTGGAAACCGTAAAGTCGTCATCAACTCGGCTCGCCCGGATCCACTACTATTAGAGAAAATACGGTAAATAAAGATAGACAAGATTACGGTAGTTTTTAGAAGTTGACACGTTTTGCAAAAAAATTAAGTGTTAAGATTACGGTAATCGAGAAAAAAAAAGACAGATTTTAGAAAACGAAGTACTTGAGGAGATACTAATTAGCTTTCTAAACACTTCAAAAACTCTTTAAACTAAAGATATTCAAGCTTTTTAGCTGAATATCTTTTATTGCATTGTATTGTAATGAAATCGAAGGCTAGAGTTCACTAAAAAATTCTAGGAACGATCGCGTGATGTTCTCCAAACGCTTTCTCGCTACTACAGTAACACTTTCGGTGACTACGATAAGCAAGCTGCAATCAATTTATTCTTGGGGATCTATAGGTAAAGATGACTGTTGATTCTGGTAAAGATTGAATTGTTGAATTGTTTTTTAAATGATTTTTTAAATAAAGTTTATCGTAGTCTAGATTTTTGGTTGATTGAAAACCAGTTTACTTTAGCCGAGCTTTATTGAATTCAAGAATGTAAACAGTTATCAGTTATCAAGAACAGTTATCTACTAAAAGAGAATTCTCTGTTTGTACGAGCTTTTTCTCAGCTGTGTTTTGACCAAGAAAGCTAGAACTTCTAATTCTAACTTTTAAAAACCTTAGAAATAACATAGTTATGCATTTAAAATCCAAAAATAACAAATTCAAGCTCGAGTGGCAGAACGGTGGGTCGAACCCGCGCTTTGTGAGCTGTATCCAAGCCCACTTCCACTGCGCTACAGCGACCATGCGTTGCCTCCAAAATTTCCAGCTAGAAAAACCCGTCTAACGGCTTAACCAGCTGAAAAATGATTGACGGCGGGTTTTCCTAGCATCTTTTTCAGTGGCGACAGATGCCTGTTGTTGCGCAGCGGAAACGCGTTTGGTTGCAGGTCACACAACCCGGGTTCGACTCCCCCTAGTGCCACTCAAATCTGCATTTTTCATTTTGACGAGATTTTTTTCAATTTAGACCACAGATCACTTGCCAAACATCTCTTTGGGATCTTTCTTCGGATTATTATCTCCATTTTCGCCCGGGTACCCGAGTGACAACTGATTATTGTGGCTGGATGTATGATGAAGATGAATTAGAGGAGATTATCAAGGTGAAATTTACCTTAATTTACGAACCTTAACTTGTGCTCCTCTAAACGCACCCTTTCTGGCACAAATTTCTTGACTTCTCATGATCTCATGAGAAAAATTGAGTGCTTCCGTGTTACCAGAAAGCGTTTTGTTTCCTAGAGCACAACGTAAAGCTAAATTTCCATTGTTAAATGAGATTTTTTCAGCAATTCGAACTTGTCGACTTGGCGATTCAGTCTGACGATCCACAAAATAAACAAATTGTGTCATTGCCACCTTCACGCGACACTTACGCCATCCTCTGCACAAATTCTGATGATGAATTCAGAGATTTCTATAGAACTTTCGAGTTCACACCGCTTGAGAATCGAGTAAAACAGGTGACGCTTATATCTGCAAAATTTCACTTTAAATAGTTAGACTTAGACTTAAATAGTTAGAGGTCAAGTTAGAGTTCTAATTCGAGCTATTAAAGCTATTATTATAGCTATTATAGTAGAGCTATTGTAGCTATTATTATAGCTATTATAGTATAGCTATTGTAGCTATTATTATAGCTATTATAGTAGAGCTATTGTAGCTATTATTATAGCTATTATAGTAGAGCTATTGTAGCTATTATTATAGCTATTATAGTACAGCTATGATAGCTATTATAGTACAGCTATTATATAGAAGACCTTAGCTTGACCAAAAAGTAGGCTTGACCTTAGCTCGAAAGTAGTCCAATGTAGTTCAATGTTTGCCATCTTTTAGCAAATCTACTTTGATCAGAAGAAAGTTGTAATTGGTGGGATAAACGATGTGATCGCGTCATCTGGATTCGCACTTTGGAAAAAGGTGAATCGAGTCATGAACATTTTAACTAGTTAAAGATTTTTCCTGGATCAATCTCAACAATGACAGATGACAATGACAGGCAACAAGATCTGTCAAGAACAAGATCAAGATCAACAAGACAGATCTGTCATTGTGCCAGTGACTCCAGAGCCTATCAGTCAGCTCAGCCTGGATCCTCATCCCAAAATAGCTTCTGAAGTATAAAGCTTAACGAATCCAGGGCAAAATTTTCCGACAGTCTGCCTCGCTCTTCGATTTTTTGACTACTCAAAGCTCCTTCGAGCATGAAACCCAGTTCCCCCGCAAGCCCTGATTCTAGACTTCATTTTGATATTAAACATGGCTAGGTTCTGTTTTGCCATTCTTTAGATTTCAATCATTTAGATTAAATTTTTCTGGACTCGTTAAGCTTATCGAGTCCGGCGAAAGATTGATCGAAATCTAAAGATTGGCAAAACAGAACCTAACCATGTTTAGTATCAAAATGAAGCCTAGAATCAGGGCTTGCGGGGGAACTGGGTTTCATGCTCGAAGGAGCTTTGAGTAGTCAAAAAATCGAAGAGCGAGGCAGACTGTCCGAAAATTTTTTTCTGGACTCGTTTAGCAGGTCTATTCTATTCGTGGGTTAGAAAGCTGGCCTGGATTTGGCTCTGGATTTGGCTTTGGATTTGGCTCTGGCTTGTTGGCCCTAGGCCCTAGGATCCGAATATATCTGATCTGCAAATAAAGTAGAATGTACTAGAAATAAGAAAATTCCAACGCGAACCTAATTTCACCTTCGTTTTCTCAGCCGTTTCTTGGCCGATTTTTCTGAAATTTTGTCTACAAATAGAAATTGACATTCTCTGCTTGTGAACAAAATTTCAGAGTAATTGGCCAAGAGACGGCTGAGAAAACGAAGGTGGAATTAGACTCGGATTGGAATTTCCTCGTGTAGAATGCTTTGCTCAAATGTTATGCTCAAAATTTCAGACAGAAACCATTCCGATGCCACAAAAACCGGGGAAAAACAAATTTAAAGGACAAAAAGGACAATTGACGGATGAAGAAGATGATGAGATTGAAGATGAGACACAAAAAGATGCGAAACAAGAAACGGTTGGTGATTTGGAAATGGAAAGACTGAAGGCTGTGGATGAAGGAATCAAATCTGTAGAGAAAAGGAGCCAAATCTGTAGAGGAAAGGAACCAAAGCTGTAGAGAAAAGGAGCCAAATCTTTAGAATAAAGGAATCAAATCTTTTGAGTAAAGGAAACAAATCACCGCAAATATGGCAACACTTTTTTTAGGGAAAAGTTGCTGGCAAACGCTTGGCTCATCACCAAAGTTTCAAGTGTTGTATAGAGAATTGTAGCCCTAAATCTTGGCAATATTTTTCTACCAAAAGCTTTCCGATTGGAGTTATACAACTCATTTTACAAGCTTTCGAATGAGCTCAAGTCGGCGATCTGCCTCTCTCCGGCAATCTGCCTCTCTCCAATCTGCCATTTTTGACAATATTTTCATCTAGAAATGAATTTCTTTAATCAAGCTTGTGGTAATTTATTTTAAAAATACTATTTAACAAAAATATAACGCTAGAAAAAGCTTATACAGCAAGATTTTGTCAAAAAAAAAAGCTCAATTTTCCCTTTTTTTTGCGGAGTTTCTAAAACAACCCAGAAATCAACTCTAAGCTATAAAAATTTGTCAAAAGAGTTTACTGTTATTCATATTGCTATTAAATGATATCAAATATTATCTTGAGTAAATAATTTTAAGAATTTTTTATTAAGAAAAGTGTGAAAAATGGCAGATTACCGGAGAGAAGCCTTGAGCTTATTCAAAGCCTTGTAAAATGAGTTGTATAACTCCAATCGGGAAGCTTTTAATACATAAATTTAGCCAGGATTTAGGACTACAATACTCTATATAACACTTGATACTTTGAAACGAGTTAAGCGTGCGTAAACTTTTTCGAAAAGTTGTCCGGATAATTTTGCCCAACCCTGTTCAGTATTTACGGCGACTTCTTTTTGGTAGATTAACTCCCAAGCGCCAAGTTCAACCCTAAGTGTTATATAAAATATTGAAGCCCTTAATCTTGGCTACATTTATCTATTAAAAGTTTCCTAATCGGATGTATACAACTCATTTTACAAGCCCTTGAAACATGAGTACTAGTTGATCCTTCTCCGGCACACTGTACTCATTCAAAGCCTTGTAAAATGATTTGTATAACTCCAATCGGGAAACTTTTAATAGAGAAATGAAGCCAAGATTTAGGGCTACAATTCTCTATATAACACTTGGTACTTTTATAATAAGTCAAGCGTTTGCGAGGAACTTTTCTAAAAAGGTGTGCAATAATTCGTGGTCACTCGATAGAAAAAGGGGAAAAAAATAAATCCTTTTAAGAACTGTAGTCCTTAAAAGAATTAAAAAAAGTAAAAGATCGCAGGTGTTATGCCAAGTTCTTAAAAAGTACCGTAGCAAGAATACGGTAGTTTTTCTTGAGCTCATCTTTTATAAAACGTGAGTAAACTAGTCTAGCAATAAGCAAGATTTGTTTAAAGTACAATAGAAAAGAGTACAATAGAAAATTAGCATACTTTAGGTGATAATGGAGGAAGCTTTTGAGCGTTTATGTCCCCCTCTACCATCAACATTTAATCGAAAAGAGAAAGAGGGACAAATGGAGGATGGAGGATCGGTGCTCTTTTCCGGTTTACGATCTCGACGATCCACGTATGGAGTGGAGAAGTTGAGCTCAGGGAATCATGATCTCGAGATTTACAATCATTATGTGCAACGAGCTGGGATTACTGTCGATCCGGAGGTAGTTTGGGTTAAGCGTTTTCCAAAAAAATAGATGGTTGGGGAATTACCGTAATCAAAGCGCCAGTTTTCATTCAATCATTCCATTGGTATCATTCAATTAATATCATTCAATTAATATCATTCAATTAATATCATTCAATTAATATCATTCAATTAATATCATTTCATTGGTATCATTCAATAAGAAATCATTTGGCTCAGTCAATCATATCAAAATTGACCTCTTTGAATGTAAATTAACGGTTTTTATACGATCCACAAAGCAAAAGAGCTTCAAGCATTCAATTTAGGCTTATGAGCTGTGTATCCAACTAGAAATAAAGTAAATCCAGAACTACAATAAATCCAGAACTACAGTAAATCCAGAACTACAGCACACTAACTACAATATCAAAGGTCCAGCCAAAAAAAAATTTGGGCTCGTCCGGGGATCGAACCCGGGACCTCTCGCACCCAAAGCGAGAATCATACCACTAGACCAACGAGCCATGCGTCGCCTTGGGCTGAAAAGGGGGTCATCTTTTGGATGTTTCATTTTTTTTCAAATCACTGATAAACCGATTTGCCTTCAAAATCTCTAAAATTTTCAGGATTGGCAAAAGTACAAGCCGACTTTGCTCACTAAATTGCAACCACTTTCGGAAGTGCCGATGGTGAGACGAATGACTTCAATATTTATTGCCGATAGTGCTATGCAGGTAATAAAGTAAGGAATGGTAAAGAAAGATTACCGGAGAGGGGATCGAACCCTCGACCATGCTCTAACCACTGAGCTCTAACCAGCTTTGCTGATGCTCTAACCACTGAGCTATTCGATATCTTGTTGCCAGAGAAGAAAGAAGGAATACAAGGGAGAAGGGAAAGGAAGAAAGAGAAGAGAAAGGAAGAAAGAGAAGAGAAAGGAAGAAAGAGAAGGCAAACAGGAACAAAATGGGGATTACGGTAAATAGATAGATTGGGTCATAAACCAAAGACAGACAGATTACGGTAGACAAAAATAGATAGCTTAGATTATAAACTAGAAACAGAGTCAAGAAACTAGTCAAGAACTAGTCAAGAACTAGAAACTAGTCAAGAACTAACCAAGAAACTTGTTACAATTTAGAAACCGGACAGGTCATTGAGTGCACCAGAAAGTACAAGATTTGCGCACAAAGTACAAATGATCTATTCAGAGTGAAATCCCGGAGGTATCCCTTTCCTCGATGCGTGTCTACAATCGATCAACAAACCCCCAGCAATGGACCCTTTCACAAAAAGATCAATCTCTATTATCTCCTTATTTACTGTATCCACTAGCCTAGTGAAAGATTTGTATATCTATTTGTATGATTTTGTAAAGATACTATAAAGTTTTGGCTGGCTACAGTAGGCTAAAGTATTCTTGATGTAAACTAAAGATATTGGGCCTTAGTACTTGTTCGGCCTTAAAACTTGTTGCCTTTATTACTGTAATTTGTAGCTCTGTAGCTCTAGGACACTGAAATCCAGATTACTGTAGCTCTGGAATACTATAGCTCTGGGATACTGTAGCTCCAGGTAACTGTAGCTCTAGGAAACTGAAATCCAGATTACTGTAGCTCTGGAATACTATAGTTCGGGATACTGTAGATCTCAAAGCTAAAGATACTATAGCCCTGCGTTCTGGGATACTGTAATCATAAAGCTAAAGATATTCGTCTCATTTTCTATCCAAGATACTTTATTTTATGCTCGGGAACTGAAAGTTTCGGTATACTGTAGCTCGTGGGTACTGTAGTTCCAATATACTGTAGCTTCTGGATACTGTAGCTTCTGGACACCGTAGTTCTAGTATACTGTAGCTTCTGGATACTGTAGCTCGTGGGTACTGTAGTTCCAATATACTGTAGCTCCTGGATACTCTATTTTCATTATACTGTAGTGGTTTAACTTCAAAAAATCCAAGCCTGGGTAAATCTGTGATATTTTTTGTGTCAATTTTTCCTACCAATTGGTCAAGAAATTGAAAGTTTAAAGTTCTTATTGTGATGACTTGTCTCATAAACACATTTCTTTTTATCGATTGATTGTTACGGGGCTATTCACCCCTTTCAATGCTTATGCGATGCAATGCAAAAAGAATTTTTTGTCCTTTATGCTCTTTTCTTGATGATTTTCTCTACATAGGGAAAATTATCATAACTCTACTGGCTTTATCTTACAATTATTATGGCAAGTGCTGCGTTTTCTAACGTTTTCTAAAACGTATCAACTTTAGGCTACAGTAAGCTTGTTTTTACTAAATCTATTTACTATTTACTTTTTGATATCTGTATCGTTTGTGAATTCGGAGGATGAATGCAAATATTAAAACTGCCATCGTACTATGAAACTTTAAGCACTATGAAACTTGGCTTTGATACTTTTAGCTTATTGTTAGTTCGCCAGAGAGCTGTAGCTGGATTAGCTGTAGCTGGATGAGCTGTAGCTGGATGAGCTGTAGCTGGATTAGCTGTAGCTGGATTAGCTGTAGCTGGATGAGCTGTAGCTAGATGAGCTGTAGCTGGATTAGCTGTAGCTGCAGCAAGTTATTAAAGCTAGAATAAGTGTTAGCCTATTTGGCGTACTTCTTGATTCGCCTAAAGATGCTTGACGCTTGACGCTACTCCTACAATCAAGCGGTAAGATTATAGTAGGGGCTTGCAGGGTAGATACAACAACGATAGAAAGTGTTACGATAGCAGGTTACAGTGGGATTTATTATTTCTACACCTACCAATGTACTTACAGTAGACATATGCCATCGGGTCGCCAAATAGGGAATAGGGTTTGGTTAAGAATTTTGCAAAATACGTCTACAAAGCAGCTGTAAGTTAGACATGTGCCATCGGGTCACCAAATGCATTTTAGCAAACGACTTTTGTTTTCTAAAACGTGGATACAATGTGATTGCTTTAGATTTATGCTTTAGAAAATAAAAACCGTTTGCTGAAATGCATTTGGCGACCCGATGGCACATGTCTAACCTACAGCTGTTTGTAGACGTTTGTAGCTTTTGCAAAATTCTTAACCAAACCCTATTCCTCCGGTGAGATCAAAGAGATTAAATAGATACTTTATTCAGGACCTGAGACAAAGTGCGCTCGATTTAAGATTAAATTTAAGATTAAAACACATGAATTCATAGACATAACACGAAAAGGGCCGATAAAAAGCAATACGATATAATATATGTAATATATGGGTAGCACAGATAACGTCAAGGAACCACTCCACTAGAGATCCACTAGAGCTTCAAGATCAAGATCATCTACAGATAATTTAAAGGTTTCGAGACTATTGGGCACTCTCAAAACTCTGGGAAGTCGATTCCCAAAAAACGGCAATGACTCGCCATAACTTTCTTCTAAGTCGACCAATCTTTGGTCGACTCGACATCGATCGACGTCGACCAGTCGACCAATTTTGGTTTCATTTTGTAGATCTCAATAAGTGCAACAAAATGAAACCAAAATCATAAAGATTGGTCGACTTAGAAGAAAGTTATGGCGAGTTGAGCAAAAAAAAAATTGCGGAAATTAGCCTACCCCGTTTTGTGTTTAATTTTTTTAAAGTAATTGAAATACTGATAAAGATATTCAGTTATTGTCTTGTTGTATTTCCAAGATTTCTTCTATAAAACTTCTCTTTTCTTTAAAGCCAGCTTTTCTTCAATTTTTATTTTTATTCAGCTACTTGGTATATTTACTGCAGTTAAACCAGTTTTCTACTCATTTGCGTGGTTTCCGTTGAAAAGTTTACAGAGAAGTGGCTGTTTTGATAAAAGGTGAGCGTTTAATGCCATCGGGTCGCCAAATGCTTTTGTTTTTTAACAAACAAAAGCATTTGGCGACCCGACGGCTTTTGTTTTCTAGTATCAAATAGACTTGTTTATCGATTCAAACGGCAAGCTCATCTTAGAGCGTTCAGATCTCGGTTTCTAGAACATATTAGATATGCAAGTTGTTTCATTGGAAAGCCAAGAATGTCAGCTTTTGATTGCTATCTCACACATAGCAAATTCTCATAGGTGAATGCCTTAAAAAGCTTAACAATACTTATCGATACGCAAATATCGAGAAGCTTATCGATAATCGATCCTTTCGATATCGAGAAGCTTATCGATAATTGATCCTTTCGATATCGATAAGGTTTATGGTGTGTTTACTTATTAAAGATCGCTATGTATAAAAGAGCAATCAAAAGCTGACATTCTTGACCTTCCAATGAAAGAATTTGCAGATTGATAGCTGTTCTAGAAACTGAGCTCTGAACGGTCAAATATGAGCATGTCATTTGTATCGATAATATCAATAAGCAAGTCTAGTATCAAACTTATGCTGAAAATTTTCACGAAACTTAAGAACGGGAGAAAATTTTTGGAAACAATTATTTCTTCAGCTTTGCATTGAAGTTCTTTCATTTAAACAGCGATTTGCATAGAGTTTCTAGCTAGTGTTTTCTCTTGACTTCAATTTTTATTTATTTACGCTTCAGACGTCCGCCAAATCGAACGCTTTGATGAAGGTCGGAATCTACATAGGATCGACCGAAGAAGATGAGGTTTTCTACAACGGGAAGTTGCACAGCGCCACTCGTGCCAACAACCTTCCCAAGCCTCCTCTCTCGGGGAACTGGGTGAAAATAACTGCTTCGGCTACGGACACTTGGTAAGTTTCTTGTTATAAAGGCTTTAGTTGTAGCTGTTTAAAATTATTTGTTTTAGATATGGGCAGCAAGTCACTTCTTACGTTTTAGGAATCAGCTTTAGGAAAAGTTTTAGGAAGCTGCTTGAGGAAAAGTATTAGGAAGCTTTTATATCCTAAAATGTGAACTTCTGTCTGTATTCACGCTTTAGAAAACAAAAACTATTGCTAAAACGCAAAAAGTGACTCGTTGCTCATGTCTAACGCGGTTTAGCTTTCGAACTTTTAACGATCATTCCTTTTTCACGTTAGTTTTATCAGCGGATAGCGTACCTTGTACAGATGACAAAATAAGCATTGATCTGGCTAATTTATATTATTTAGCGGGCTACTGGTGTTCACTATCACTGACATCATGAACGAAACAGATACCCTGCCGCTGGTCACGCGAAATTTAAAAGGACTTCTTAAAGTATCGTGTTTTTACTTATGTTTTTCATTCTCAGCTTTAGACGAAAGATTCAATAATCGTGCTTCCTTCATCAACCATTTGGTCGCGACACTTTGGTCAAGTCGGGGATAAGATGAAAGCTGCAGCAACCCTGCAAAAGGATCAATCTTATACAGCTTCTTTAACTTGGTTATTTTCTTTTTTAACTAGCTTTGCAAATCTAGTTGCGACAAGAAAAGATTTTCGTTACTAAGCGTTGTGAATCATTATCGATTAAAGGCTTTTATTTTCAGGAACAAGGAGAAGAAGCTTTTTTGAATTACTGAAGTCTTCTGATGCCCAGTTGGACGCGCAAAATGCTATCTTCAAAAAGGTATAATGATTGAATTTGGCTAGCAATCAATCTAGCAATGTAAGCTCTGAAGTATTTGGCAGCCTTTACGTTTATTTTGTACAGTGCGGATTGATGCTCTTTTTAATTATTCGATCATTTTCTAATCACGATGTTTAGTATGAAGCCGAAAACTTGGTGGGAGCTCGTGCAACAGTCTGCAGTATTCAACAGCCTGCGGTGACGCCAGTTGAGGTATCTATTTTGGCTCACTGACGTGTTGCGATACCACACGTTGCGGTAACTAAGCTCGTCTCCGCTCTCCGCAAAGTAACACTATTACTCCGTTCTCTTCTCGAACCTCCGCCCCCTCCCCTCAAATTTCCTCGCATAAGCATTCTGTTGTTGACCGCCTATTTTGACGATGCCTATTATTTACTCTTTCAAGCCCACAGGAAATTCTTATCAGTTTTAGTCATGCAATCTATTTTGGTAAATGGTTAAACTAAATTCAAAATTTCCTTTTGGTTTGGGGACTAAAAAGTATAAGCCCGCTTTAGCAAAAGTTCTTATTAAGAATGAAACGCTAGTAAAATTTATTATGTTATTTTTTTAGGTAAAAAACAAGGAGATTAACATCATGGTAGAGGAGGACGAATGGGTGACTGGAGTGGTTGTGAAGCATTCGGTCACGGGACGGGATTTGGTTATGTACAACGAAAAGGTAATGGGTTTTATGTTCAACGCTTGGTTTAAAAGTGTTTCAGTATGGTGGAGTCATCGTCAAGTACCAGCAACACACCGTGATTACCATCAATCAAGAAGCTATACGACCAACAGCGGGAATGCTAGCGAGATTTACGCTTAAGTATCTTGTTTGGGATTTTTAATGAAAGATAAACGCTTTTCTAACCCTTAATGAGCCTAACAAGTTTCTTTAGGAAGGGCCGCTTTGAGTTTGAGCCAGAACCGCGAAAAGTCGAAATGTACCAGTACCAGGCTGAAAAAGTCGACTACTTGGCAAAAGACAAGCTACAGAAGGTTGTTGATCACCAAAACAGACGGACGAATCACAAAAACGCGTGCACATTATTGGTAATGGGTCCAAATTGTTTCGATTAACTATTTGTGTTCAGGTGGACGCGATGGCTCGTTATGACGGGGTACATTTTGTGGTCTACACGAAGGGACCACCAAAGGAGCGCTTGTTGACCGCAATCGATCCCCACAGATGTGTTCAAGTTGATTCAAATTGACTTGTTATCAAATTTATGCGTTCAGGAACCCGATCGTCGCACGGAGTACATCCTCCGATTGGCATGTTTCTATCGGGATGGGACTCTTATGTGGAAAGTGATCAGTATGCTTAAGATTCTGTCACGTGAGTGTTCATGCTGTCACTTATTCTATTAGGGTGATCTTCATAGCGAAAATGAGTGTGCCAATCCAATCGGGCAGTGCTTTTTCAATCGCAATTCTTATAGGATTAGTTTCCGTGTGCATATTCAACGCTTCGGCTTGTCTCACCAACGCCTCCATATAATCAACAAGACACACAGCATCACGGTATTCTTCGCCGGGTCTGATGGCTACAAATCTTTTGGAGAAGGCCATTTTTAAGTAAAAAATCAGCACCAAAATGTGCGATCAATCTAGATTTTACCGGCACATAGTTTTGCTCGATAGTCTTGAAGCCTCTCACAGCTCTGGCGGCTTCACCTGTGAGAATTTCAAATAGACAACTCAACTTGAGTACATCGGGATAGTCTGGTGCACCGACTGTTTGCATGAATCACCGAAAGTCCCCGTCACGGATCCCCGTCAAAAGTTGGTACAGGGATTTTTGGCAAAACAAATGGTTGATTGAGTTGACCCTATTGATTTGTGAAATTTGAGCATTTTGTCATGGTGATTGCACAAGGAAAGAATGGCTTGTGATGGTGCTTGAACTCGATGTTGAGGTACCGACCGTATCGAACATTTGAGAAAACTGACGACGTATTTATGGTAGAGATTGGGAAAATCGACGATGAACCAACAGTGGATGTTGTCATACCGTAGGACTGGTCCGAAATTGCCAAAAAGGGAGTAATTAGCAGGAATTAATGAAATCAAACACCCGGAACGAAGATCCGTCGGCGCACACCAAAATTGTATTGACTTGTTTATGGATGTTATTTGAATCAATACGGTGGTTGATTCAGTGGTTTATTGCAGACTACGTAATCAATGAATCACATCTTAGATCAAATATGAGAGAATCTAGAGAAAACGAGATACAAAATATAAAATTATTTTGAAGTCTCAATTCTAATCACTAAAGCTTTTAGAAATAGAAAACCACATATTTCTGCACAAAGTACGTTTTGTTATTTGGAATCAAAATCCGGTAATTATTGCGGTCTTGTCAAGATCGCTGGAGAAGCAGTGTAATACTTTTGACGGTTTGGCGGCCGCTTTTGATTTTCCTGATCTAATGCTACCGACCATTTTCCCGCCCTCAAACTAACACAACAACATTTAAAATTTAGAAAACGCGGCTTTATTGGAACGAGTAATTGAATTTGTCGCTGAGGTTCGCGAAGAACCCGCTAAAAGGTTCGATCACTGTTGATTGATCAGATTCAATGTGATTTTAGCGGCCAAATGGAAGCAAGAGCCAATCTCCGATCATCACTTCAAGAAATTGGATTGAATGCTCCAATGGCTCTGTCGCAACGTTTTGCGTAAGTTTTTGAGAATCTTTTTTGGTTTAACTAAAAGTCAAAATGTTTATTTATATATTTAGTGGACCAAACATCGAAATCCAACGACCCACACAAGCCACAAAAGTGACCGAGGAAAGGAGAAGCTTATCTAATGAGCAACGGTCTGTTTTTTTATACATTCAGCGCAACTAATCGTTTTTATCTACTACACCTTAATAGTTTGTGGGCAAAGCAATATTAAGCGTTTCCTAACATAACATAGTTGTACGGCTCTTCATTGCCATTGGCAAAACGGCAATTACGTCCGAATATAATCACAATTACGCCAGCATACGAGAGCCTGTTTATAAGTAACGTTTTTCCAAATGGCTAAATTGTTGTTTTTTCGTATAATATTGATTTATTTAGTCGACCCGTGATCTTATCATCGCATCTCATCAGCTCCACTCCAAATGAGAAAATTCTCCGGGCTATGTGAAGGCCCGCGGCTCTGGAGAATCCTCTTCCATATCATTGGACGGCGATGAGTTCGTTTTATAAATTTCAATATTTTAAAAATTTGTATAGAATCTAAACTCTAAAAATTGTTTTTAAGAGCTAACACAGAAATTAATTTTTACAGGAAATTGATTTGGAAATTTTAAGGGCGTTGAAATTCTCAAGCCGGCCTATGTAAGCGAGAAATGGAAGCATCATAAAAGTGAGGAAGGATGGGTTGGTTGCTTTTGTTAATCTAATTACTTGAGCAAATTAATAAATTGTTTTAGCATTATGGCTGGTGCTACATCTTCTACGATCGAGACAATAAGCAAGAGCAACTAAAAGTGGTTTCAACGTCTAATCAGCGCTTCATGGCCAGCTATTCTATCCGCGAGAAGTTTGTTCTTTGAGGTTTTCTTTATCTAAAATTTTTAGGAACAAGGTGATGGGGCATTGGATCGAGTTTAAAGAAAGGGATCGATTCGCCGAGCAAATGACGGTGTTGGAAAGAAAAGATTTCCCAAAATGCCGACTTATGCTGAAACGTACAGAGGTGAGTGGTATAAGCGCTAAAGACGTAGTACTTTTTATCAAGCTTAACTTTTCATTTTCCAGATAGAGTTAGAGCTCACCTATAGAGGCGACGGAAAAAAGCATCTGTTCAAAAATGATCTGGTAGGTTGTTTGTTTCGTTTTGCTACTTCTTTATTTCGTTTAGATTGGTGATGTAATTCTTCCGGATTTCGGAGGGAAGTACACGGACGGCGCGACTTATTTGCTTTGGTTTCTAGTCGATGCCAAAATGTATCCCGCGCGAAGCGAGTTCCCTCGCATCAAAAATGTGGTACATTTTTAAATGATGACTACAGCTCTAATAAATTACTTGCACTGAAAGTTCTTTTAGATGACCGACTGCCAGTGGGGAACGGGCGAATATTCTGATTCGGAAGACACGAGCGAATATTCCGATTGGAAGACACGAGCGATGAGATAATCGAGGAAGAAAGCGAGGTGCGTCTACCGGTCATTCTTGACGACAATGGCGCCACAGTGAAGGAGTGCCGTCCAACGATCCCGATCAGTGAAGGGAAACCGATGGTCCTTCCTAATTCGACTCGAAATCCACTTCTTCATCCACCACCACTCGCATACCGTGAGCTCGTCTCGCGGATCATGCGCATTCCTGAGGCGATAGACATCATCGAGAGAATGGCGACCGCTCGATGAACAAGTTATATTCTTGCTGAATTGTGCACTTGAAAATATTTTTCGTGTTTCTTAACACTATAAATCTAGTTATGTACTGTGATTGGTCCCCAATCCACTTGTTTTTTTGGTGTTGTAGTACCGGTTGCTTTCTTTGCTTACTGTATATAATTGTCTGTATTACTGTATATAATTTCTTGAGGTGCTGCCAATTTTATCAAATCAAAAATGTTAAAAACAGAAAAAAATGCAACGATTTTTTATTCGCTCAATTACGTGTGAGAAGTGAATAAATAATTCGTCGCAAATTTGTGAGCAATATTACAAATGAAGGAGCAAAGACACTAATTTTAAACTACTAACTTTGAAACAATTTTAAGAATTATACGCCGAAAGAATCTGTTTGGAAAAAAAAAGCGCTCAAAGGAGATGTAATGGATTTCGGTTCGGTATTTAGCGTAGACTACTAGATAAATAAAACGAAAGACATTTGGGTTAAATGTTTGTAAGTTTTTAAAGTTACCAAGCATTTTTCAAGTTTTCGGCTTTTATCCACTTTACTAAATTAATAGCACCTAAAAATCTTTATTCCGTAAGATAAAATTAATCCCTTTTTCATTCCAAGTAGTCATGTAGTTGCGGCTAGAAGAGGTCGAAAAACGTGAGAATCGCCGAACGTTTGCCTTTGACCTTCTTTTCCACCTAAATAAAGTGATAGATGAAATAAAATAAAATGCATACGTGTGTAAGATTTAAAAGTTTAAGCGTCTATAAATACGGTAGACCAAAAACCTTTTTCAATTTTCTTCCCTCGGGTACATCGGTTCCAATGTCGTATTCGGTGTTCTTTGTCCAGCGAATCACGCCCATTCGATCACTTCTCGGCTGTCGGTCTACTAAAAGATACAAAATTAATAGGTTACTTGAAAACTTATGAAACCTTAGAGCGTAAAAAGTTCAAACTTTTGAATGCCTTTAAAACTTACATTCTTTGACTCGTGATCTCGAGGCTTTCAACCGAGAGCGCCCTCCTGATGCTGAGAAGGAACAATTTCAAGTTTCACAAAGGTGTCTTACAAATAATCTTTGGCCCAAGTGGCTTGTTGGTCATCGCATTCTTTCTAAACGTGAAATGGAACTTTCGATAGAACAAAATGCAATACAAACCCGCTGTTATTTTCATTGGAACGACTACGACGCGCCGGCCTAAAGAAACAGTTGTAATTAGAGAGATTAGAGATGTAAACAGAAGGTGACAGATGACATTAATCGAAGAGCAAGCAATAACCGAGAAAAAAATCTACCTGCCCACTGCCTCGGTAGATCGAATGCGAGGCAGAACGGGTCCTGCCATGGTCGAAGTAGCCGAAGGCGTTGGCGTCAGTGGGCGGACTTGCAGGATCGATTTGGGTTTCTTGTTCCGCAACTCCTAAAACAAAGATCTACTATATAAAAGAGCAGTGTCTGCCCGTCCGTCCGTCTGTACGGGCTTTTTTTTGTAAAATGTAAAATTCTTTTCTTTTGTAAAATGTGGGGGAACTTTTTGATCACCCCGTAAATATAGTTGTGCTATTTAAAATAAAAAATTTTAAAAGCCAAGATTGATTGGCAGTAAGGGAGTCGAGCCCGGGTCGCGTGGGCCGTAGACAAGCGCGCTCCCGACTGCGCCACAGCGACAAAAGCTATGTGTCAGCCCCAAAACATCCAGCCAAAAACATTTCGACTGGTATTAGAAAAATCAAGGCATTTTGTAAGAAATTAAGTAGAAATAAAGTAATCTACATTTTTGTGATGTTTTGCTGCGGCGGCTCCAATTAAAACGGCATCGGGAGCCATGTGCATTTGCTCAAACATAATGGGGAACTAAAAGCAATACATAGATATTGGTATACCCAATTCGAAACCAACCAAAGACGCAATAAGTGCATTGATGGTGTCGAGCGCATCCGGGGAACACGGTCTCTCAACCACCGTCGTGAATGAACCATGACTAAAATTAAACATATTACCTTCTTCCAAACAGAACCAACTCTTTATATCGAGCCCAATATTGATAGATGAAGTCCTGATTGTTGAAGGGAACGGGATTTCCGTTTAAATCCAACAACGCATCACCGACGGCCAACCACTTCGACGCGTAGCTGTCGTTTTGAATCTAAATTTGAAAATTTGCGGCCAAACAACGTGGAAAAGAGCTCACCTTGCCTAAAATGACCTTGTTGTTGATCACACGGCCCAACATACCCATATTCGGACCTTTCACTGTTTCGCTTTGGCGATGCACTAAAATTGCAATCAGTAAGAGGGTTAAAATCAAACTTTCAACCGGTAAGAAGAGCATATGTGAATCCAAATGAGGGATTAAGTCGAAGAGCCTCCATTCGAGCTGCGGGCACTGGCGAGAAGCCATGACGCCGAAAAACTGTCACACTCACCTGAAAAAAAGCATATTATCAGTGCTACATTCCAAAAATACACCTTTCCATCTTGATGTAATATCTTCAACATCTCTTCGACCGCCAATCCCTTCTTGTCATTCAGTGCGACTATCTAAACAAATTCAATGAACTAGTAAAATCTTCGCTCAATTAACCCGATCCCCGACGATTAACTTTGAAATGGCAAAATTAGCGTCTCCGTTCAAGAACAAAATCTAAACCAACAAATAAAATAAAACCGACAAACAGTACTTCACCTCTTTATAGTTCCCGATTTCCAAGTAGTCGCCAAGTTCACCCTGAAACAAAGGAAAATGTAAATAAAGTTAAGCAAGTAGATAAACACAGGTACTAATAAACTTCGTGGGGGGGGGGGGGGGCATTGGCCCAACTTGATCAGGTCCTATTCTAGGCGTGTTTTTTCTAGTCTTGTTTTGCATTTTCTGGGGTAATCAAATACGCTTAATCGATTGACGATATTTTTAGAATATTTTGAACCAGTTACCACTTTGTATTTTGTCCCTCTCTTCATTTTCAAGCTTAGCAACACTGCCATGGAAAAACTCGAGCTAGCTTATCAAAATATCAATAAAAATTGTTCAAAACTTTCTAAAAATAGTATCAATAGATTCATCATGTTTGATTACCCGAGAAAAAGTCAAATAACTTTGGTAAAACAGTCAAAAGATACAATCTGATCAAATCGAGTTTATCAGTACCTAAACTTCAGTTTGCCTAGATAGGTTCTTAAATAACGTAAAAGTTTGCCTACCTGATCCCAGTTTGGCACTATCATTTCGACATTCACGTTCTCGTGTGGCACATCGGGGAACATGCGAGCAGTGAATTCAGCGGGTACCTGCAAGATGTAACGTCAACTCAGCACAAACACTGAACAAGTTGACACAGTCGAAATATACGTTTGATTTTTGCACAAAACAAATGTAAGGTCCATAAGAATGTTGAAGTACCCAAGAAAACCAACCACATGAGGTTTCTCGGCGTTGCCGTTTGATGACACACGAGTAGCTGGCAACAATCCGTTTTTTCCCGATCCATCGCTACTAAACAAAAAGATTGAGTGAGCATCGATAACGTTTAAAACTTGTTGACAACAACATTGTAAAGTTTTCAAAATGAAAACATATCAAACAGACTTTGAAGATTTGCGAACAAGGTTCATGATGAAAAAGTGATTGAAATTTAAAAATGAAGAAGTAGAATTGAATGAAATTGTGCTTCATTTGGTGTGCTTATATTCGGCGTTTAATACAATATTTAATGTAAATTAACCTCTCATGCAAATTTGGATCCCCTGTCAGTAAATTAACTTGCACCCACACTTCCCTCGCTTTCACAACCGGTTTCAAATGTTTATTTTAGCATAAAAAATTCAACAAAAACATCAAAATATTACAAAACCTTTAAAAAATTATTATAAAGCATAGATCACAGGACTGATTTACGCGTTCGCTTGAGATCGGGCGTTGAGCTTGACGGGGTAATCGTTCCTAGCGGCGGTGGAGCTTTTCGTTTTCGCGGCTGAAACAATAAACTAAAAATTTAAAAAAGAAAATTACTCTTACATTATTGAGAGCATCCGTTTTGCTGAGCAATTCGAGATAACTTGAGATACGACGGCTGCTCGTGGGCGCCCCTGGACCCTCCAAGAAAGCCGATGAAAGGCCACCTTCCGGAAGAATTGACACACGCATACGGGGCTCGATTTCGAATGGCTAAAATGAAATTGTATTTTGCAGCATTTAGAAAACATATACGTCAATCAATTCGTTTTGAATTTTATTTTTATAGTTCAACTAGCTGTTATTGTAAAAACGTACCTGTCCGCCTTGTTGCTGATATCTTGTACGAAGGCTTTCCAAATCGAATTCAGCCGTTTGTAGAGTCGCTTTGAGTTCCTAAGTCAAAAATAAAAATGGAAAGAAATCACCAAACAAACCTGCAAAAGCACAATATCGGATCGGAAATCATTATACGCTGTCACAATATCTTCGGCGCCCATTGGATTCATTTCTAAAACAAAGAAAATTCTTATCAGAATAAAAAATACACATACCCAATTTCATCTTGTCAATCACCGTTTCGATATTCTTCAACTTTTTCAGCCCGATATTAGTTGGCAATTTCATCTCCTGGCTTCGAAGATGAGCACCAGAACCCCGGAATTCACTAAGCGAAGCTGTGTGACGGAAACTTCCTGAAATTAATTTTTGTTTAAAAATTAGAAAGATCACACTGACCGGATTAAAGCTAGATGACATGGAGGCGCTCGATGATAAACCAAGCTTTTGACGAATTTGTCCTTTCTTGAGGGAAGTTGATGCAGCACTTCTACAAAAGTTCCCCAGGAAGTGCAATTGAAATTCTAAAAACGAACCCTGAGGGGCTTGCAGGAGACATATCCGTCATGCTGATCAACTTTTGTAAATCCTGAGCCTTGCGTTCTCGTTCTCTTTTTCGTACTTCAATTCGTTCGAGCTCAGCAATCAGTTGTTCCTCTTCTTCCCACTAAAATTTCGAAACTTTAAAGTACTACCAGATTAATAGTAACCTCTTCTGGTGTCCGATCCCATAACTTTGTCAATTGTTCTTTTCTTTTCCGTTCGTGTTCGGCATCGTAACCCATTGGCTCATAAGCTGATTCTCGTTGCTGCAAAAGTGTTCAACTTTTTTAAAGCTCTAAAACCAACCATAGACAATTCAAAAACGACAGCATAATAGCGTTCTTTCAAATCCTCCATCGATCTTCTTTGCCCAAATTTTGTTTGATCGTAACGGTCGTATACAATGGGCCATCTAATTTTAAAAAGTGCATGATTGTAAAAGAAATCCCTACCTCAAATCAAATTGTTGGCAAACTTCGAACAAGTAACGGGTTTCTTCTTTTGTCCAATCGGCCATCCGCAAATGCTCCTCATATTCATCATCGTTAAAAGATGGGACTTCAAATTTCTTAAAACCAGACATTATAAGTCAGTAAAATAACCAAACAAACCTTATTAAACTTGGCGAAAACGTATGGTTGTGAAGGATTTATCCGATCTTCTCTCATCCAATGGGAAAGCTTCAATCCATCTTCACGTGCTTGATTGTCGAATGGAGTCCAGAGCCATCGTCTAGCCGGCCGTTTTCCCATCTAAAAATTATACAATTTTGTCAAGTTTCAACTCGTTATGCCTCGAGAGTAAGCGATTGACTTTATGCATTTGCAATTTTAAAATGTTCTAACCTAAAGCAATGAACACAAAGCTCTGCCAATGTTTAGCCGATTTCCGATGATTATTATCATAATATCTACCTGTAACTTGGCCAATCGAACGCCATCTTTTTGTGCGTGACGATATGATTGCATCCAATTTAAGTTTTCCTGCGTTGGTAGCCGTCAGAAGATTGTAGAGCTCTCTTTGCATTCCTTCTGGACGTGGTAGTTGAAATTCGGATCTTCGCTGCTAAAGTAAAACAAATTACAAGAGTTTTTCGATTTGTGCTTTGTCTTAATCAAATTTCAATTTCTAATCTTAGAAATTCATGTATTAGGTTGGCAAACAAGTCTTTTGGCGATTAAAGAAATAAAAGGCCTTTAGACTTGAAATACAGTAAGCATAATGATAACAATTCACTTGAAATTTGAAAAAATACATGATGTTTTGATAAATTTCGAGTCAAAAGAACGTGAACTCGGAAAGCGTCAAATTTGACTCGTTACTGAAGCTCAAACACTTCTTCCATCAAAGCTTGTCAAAATAAAAGTTGCACCGCTGTTTTTAGTTTAGGATATTGATCTCTAATTTTAACCATACAAACGTTTGGTAGTTGCCTTGGTTGAAAAATTTGGGTGGAGCGCAAGACTTTCTTGCCAACCTAATAGATAGCACACAGAATTATCATCAAATTTGAAAATTGCCTGGCTCTTTAAATTTTGTTAAAATTTAGCGTAGAAAAAGAAAATACATAACTAGCAATAGGTGCTATAGTAGTTGGGGGAAGCAGTTTGTAAACATCGGTTTTCTCGAACTTTCCACTAGTTTTAAAAACTTTTTATGGAGTAATTAATTGCACTGAATCCATTCAAGGATTTATAAACAATTCTGAACAACTCTTATGCCAGTTTGAACAGCAATTTCAAGCCTTCAAGAGCGGCTCTATTTCAATTGGGTTTAGAGGTGCGGAACCGAATTAAGAGGCTTAAAACCTAGGTAACTGCTTGAAATAGCTAGAAAACAGTTACTAAAGCTTAAACAAATACCAAATTAAGAATCTACGCCATTAAAAACCCTAGAAGCAATAATTAGTGCCCTCTGGGTCAATAGAGATGAATGTACACTGCCGCCCCCCACTTACTAAAGCACCTAGCAATATTTGAGCTTTAAATGTTTAAAAAACTAACTTTTGTGGCATCTCCTTTCTTCTCGCGTTGTTCACCACCGTCCGATTTGATGATTGACTTGGCATCAATCATTTTTGTGGTTTCTAAAAGTGAAACATTAAAAGTTCATTGAAAACACAGAAAAAAAGCAAACAAATCAAAGAAAATTTCCTCCATTTGTAAAAGATTTGCCTTTGATAAAGATATTCAATTAATAAATTGAAGTTCAATGTATTGGGTAAAAATCATGGATTTAAACTTTGTGGCTTCATTTAGATTTTATGGAATAAAAATAAAAATTGGGGGTGGGCTAATTTCCGCAATTTTTTTGCGCAACTCGCCATAACTTTCTTCTAAATCGACCAATCTTTATGATTTTTGTTTCATTTTATTGCACTTATTGAGATCTACAAAATGAAACCAAAATCATAAAGATTGATCGACTTAGAAGAAAGTTATGGCGAGTCATTGCCGTTTTTTGGTAATCGACTCCCCAGAGTTTTGAGAGAGTCCAATAGTCTCGAAACCTTTAAATTATCTGTAGATGAACTTGATCTTAAAGCTCTAGTGGATCATTGACGTTATCTGTGCTACCCATATATCACATATATTATATCGCATTGTTTTTTATCCGCCCTTTTCATGTTATGTGTATGAATTCATGTGTTTTAATCTTAAATTTAATCTTAAATCTAGCGCACTTTGTCTCCGGTTCTGAATAAAGTATCTATATAATCTCTTGGTAGAAAACTGGTGTAACTGCAGTAAATTTACCAAGTAGCTGAATAAAACCGATGAAAAATTGAAGAAAAGCTGGCTTTAAAGAAAAGAAAACTTTTATAGAAGAAATCTAGATACAACAAAACAATAACTGAGTATCTTTATCAGTATTTCATTTGCTTTTTTCTAGCAAAAATTAAACACAAAACGGGGTAGGCTAATTGCCGCAATTTTTTTTTTGCGCAACTCGCCATAACTTTCTTCTAAGTCGGTCAATCTTTATGATTTTGGTTTAATTTTGTAGATCTCAATAAGTGCAATAAAATGAAACCAAAATCATAAAGATTGGTCGACTTAGAAGAAAGTTATGGCAAGTTGCGCAAACGACCTAGTTGCGCAAATGACCCTATTGCGCAAAAAAAACTAGCCTACCCCTTTTATGGAATAAAATAAAAGTTAATTTTCACACAGGCTTAGAGAAGTTCTTTTGTTGTGTGAAAACTTGAGAGAACCTAGATTTTGAACGAGTGAAGATTTTTAAGTCATAATTAGCAACACAACCAAACAATTGACGTCCAACGAAAAAGGCATTTATTTGGCGAAAAGCCAAGAAATAAGAGTCCCACTTCGATGGTCGATACCATACCCGATTGCCAAGAGAACATTTTTAGAAGCCACCTTTTTCTTATTCTTGTTTTCTTCAAGTTTTCTACCGTTTTACTCTATTTTTTAATCACTTTTCATTGTAAAAAATAATCTAAATTTCAGCCAAACCTGGATATTGAGCACAGAAAGAGAATAAAAAGATAGCAGTACTTGAAACTTCTCCGAAAAAGCTCAACTTAACTCTCAAAATGGTGAGTCGATGAGATTTTTTTTACCTTTTATGAATAATTATCGAATAAACAATGAAACTGGTGATAAATAAAGCCAATTGAGCTGTTTCTACAGGAAACTATTACTGTAAAAGATTCTTCATGTAAAAAGTTAGTTAAATAAGTCAACCTTTAACTGTCACTGGTCTTGAATTTGATTGTTTTTGATATTTTGGAATGGAAAGATCAATTTGAATTATTTAAAACTGCTTCTAGTTTTCAATTTTCGTCAAAACTATGGGTTTGGCTTTTGTAATTTGATCTATTTAGACTAAACTAAATTCTATTTAGACTATAACCCAATCCTTAGTTGAATACCTAGATAAATGTCTTATTTTATATATCTAATGATAAATGTCTTAAACCAATCAATTTTCTAGGCCGGTGTTCCTTACAAAACTGACAAGCCTCTCGCTGATGCCACCGAGCATCGCATCCGCATTACTCTCACCTCGCAAAACGTGGTCGCACTCGAGAAAGGTTTGTACTAGATATGGGCCTCGAATCAAATCACCGATTCGATTCGATTCGACTTTAATAATCGAATGAATTTGATTTGATTCGATTATTAAAGACGATTTAGAAAACTTGAATCGGTTCGATTCGACCAAAAACTATTCGATGCCCATTTACATCAAAACTTATTATTGAAAAGATCTTGGATCTGCTTATCCGCCAAAGTTAGTGCAAAATAGAAAAATGGATTACGGCAGAAAATAACTACAAATACTGTAAATACTCTAATAGAGCGCCTCCCTCATAATTGATGGGGTATTGCCGCGTAGTTACGCCATAGTAACGGGCGTACAGTCGCGTAGTCTAACTTTGAACGTCCGATTCTCTGCGCTGCTTTATGCTACAGTGTGCTACATGGGATCAAATGATAGCCCTTGAAATCCAGTATTTTTTAGTACCAAAAGTGGAACTGGGGAAAATCTAGAAGCTGGGAAATACCATAAATACTCTAATAGAGCGCCTCCCTCATAATTGATGGGGTATTGCCGCGTAGTCTAACTTTACACTCTTCGTTTTCCGCGCTGCTTTATGCTATAGTGTGCTACATAATATCAAATGATAGCCCTTGAAATCTAGTATTTTTTAGTACCAAAAGTGGAATTGGGGAAAATCTAGAAGCTGAGGAAAAAAAACGATATTCTAAAAAGAAGTTAGACTACGCGACTGTACGAGGGGTAGTGGCGTTCTATGATTTACGCAGTTCAATTAGAGTATTTACGGTAGTTCAATTTATCTGTGATTCCTATTTGGCACTAATTTGGCAGATAAGTTTGGATATTGAAACAAGATATTGAATTCGAAAGTACACAATAACTGGTTTGACACTGTCATACAATTTATTGAAAACTCTAAAATCTGAATTTACTATAAGAAATGATTACATTAGACATGGATTTTGGGAAAACGAATCAGTTCCACGTTTTAGCAAATAGCTCTTGTTTTCTTGCATTGCTTGCTGCTATTTTGATAGCATTGCTATTCTAGAAAACACGAGCTGTTTGCTAAAACGTGGGACTGACTCGTTTTCTACAAAAACCCCATGTATACTTTAAACTCAAATTCACCAATTCACCAAAACAAAACAAGACCAGAGACATTTTTCATATCATTTCAGTGTGCGCTCAACTCATCAAGGGTGCCAAGGACAAGGAGGTATGTCATTGTTTTATTTCTTTTCATTCATTTATTTTTTTTGCTGAATATCTTGTAAATTGTATAGATATTTAATTAAATAGATATTTAATTAAATAGATATTAAATTCAATAGATATTTAATTCAATAGATATTTAATTCAATAGATATTTAATTCAATAGATATTCAATTAAATAGATATTCAATTAAATAGATATTTCAATTAAATAGATATTCAATTCAATAGATATTTAATTAAATAGATATTCAATTAAATAGATATTCAATTCAATAGATATTTAATTAAATAGATATTCAATTAAATAGATATTCAATTCAATAGATATTCAATTAAATAGATATTCAATTCAATAGATATTCATAATGATATTCAGTCAATTTTTTAAAATAAATCTTTTTCTAGCTCATCGTGAAGGGCCCCATCTACATGCCGACCAAGACTCTCCGTATTACCACCCGTAAAACCCCTTGCGGAGAAGGCTCAAAGACTTGGGATCGTTATCAGGTTTGTGAAAAAAACAAACTGGAAATTTATTATACTACAAGCTGAAGCTTGGAAATTTATTATATTATACTTTATGCCCAAAATCTGTAAACACATCCTATCTGGCGCACTCAATTCACCCTTTTTCTCGCAGTAACGGCTTGTTGTCGCAAGAAAAGTGAAGAATCGAGTGCATCAAAAAGGGTGTGTTTACAAATTAGAGCACAAAATACACTCCGCAAATCACTTACAGTGAGCCAAAAATGTTTTGAGTTTAAGATACAAATAAATGACGGTATACAGAATTATGAGTGCCATGTATGGCCTTAAAACGTGACCCATGATCCCACTTCTATAGAATACACTGGAAACAGTAATCAGTAATCAGTACGGTAGTCATTCTTTGTCCCCAGTGCACCAGAAACTATGCGTTTCACTTTTTGAGCTCAACGCATAGCTCGGGGGAAACGTTAACTACGGGATTTCATGGAAAATATCTCAAGATTGATTCTAAAGGATGTCAATTTTCTGTAAACTATTGTAATCCCGTCTCTAGCTTTTTAACAAATCGACCATTTTCTAATCCTGTTCTGATCCTGTTCACGAAATATATTTAAAGATTGAAAGATAAAAAAGTAGATAGATAGATAGAGTAGATAGAGTAGATAGAGACAAAGTAGATAGAGACAAGGCAAGATTACTGTAGTCGAGAAAGGAGACAAGATTACGACAAGACAAGATTACTGTAGTCGAGAAAGGAGGCAATATTGCGACAAGACAAGATTACTGTAGTCGAGGAAGGAGACAAGATTACGACAAGACAAGATTACTGTAGTCGAGGAAGGAGACAAGATTACGACAAGACAAGATTACTGTAGTCGAGAAAGGAGGCAATATTGCGACAAGACAAGATTACTGTAGTCGAGAAAGGAGGCAATATTGCGACAAGACAAGATTACTGTAGTCGAGGAAGGAGACAAGATTACGACAAGACAAGATTACTGTAGTCGAGGAAGGAGACAAGATTACGACAAGACAAGATTACGACAAGACAAGATTACTGTAGTCGAGAAAGGAGGCAATATTGCGACAAGACAAGATTACTGTAGTCGGGAAAGGAGACGTTTTAGAAAAAGTGCTATTTAAGAGGAATTCATGATAACTTACGAATCCAGTTCCTCATTTTCAGATGCGTGTACACAAGCGCCTTATCAACTTGCACTCGCCTTCTGATGTGCTCCGTCAAATTACCTCAATCTCGATTGAACCAGGAGTTGATGTGGAGGTGAGTCAGATAGTGAAAAAGTGAATACTGAAATACTGACATTTTTTTCAGGTCACCATTGCCGACCAGCAGTAAAAGAAAATGCGGGTTGTGTCAACGAAGGTGACATTTATTGTTTCGGCTTTGTTGTTGATTTCCGGCCAATAAAGAGTTTGTTTTCTGTGTAGCATCTCATCAACATTGTAACAAAACCATAAACACTTGGGGAAACTTACTGTACTTTATTACAAGCTACTGTACTTCATTACAAGCTACTGTAATTGTAATAATTTGTTTTCTTTTAACATTTTACAAGCTTGAACACGGTCTTGAGTAGAAATCGAGTCATTTTAGGCTGAAAGACTAACGATTGAGCCACAATTGAGCCGTACAGCTGTTTGATCTTTGCTATTTCCACAAAAAAAAGATAATTCAAAGCTAACTCTCAGTCAAAGTTAGTGCAAAATAAAAAACGGATTACGGAAGAATCAGCTTGTCTGTGTTTTCTATTTGACACTAACTTTTTGTGATTTCTAATGAATTAATTGAATATTTTTAACCGTTTACTTATGGTAAATCACAATATTTAAGCGGGAAAATTCAAAAAACATTTCGTTTTCTTCTTTTTGGTTGCGTTTTTGTGCCTTTTCCCCAAATTTCCACGTTTTCTTACATAATTGGAACATAACTTTGCAAAAGTTCAAAGATTACATTGCTTATCTTTCTTTTACGGCAAAAGTTGCATAGAAGTGTCGAAAATTTGACCCTCCCGCAGTTCTTTTTGGCAACTCTGACCCGTTTATACGTGTTTGTTTCATTCTCTTTCCCGCCTTCGCCTTTCTTTCTCTCACCGGCCAGATAAAAGCACGCCTTGTGTAGTTGTTGAGTCAAGATATTTATCCACCTTGGTATTCCCGATCTATTCTATTGCTATGCTCTCGCATTTCGCTAATCTGTCACTTTCTAGTGTTAACATGGCCGACGAGTGCCCTGTGTGCACGCTCAAGATGATAATGCCGACAGCGGTGAATGGATGTGGACACAAATTTTGTTTTTTGTGCATCAAAGGTTTGTTTTCATTGGAAGTTTTGATTTGTGCATTAAAATTCTTGAATCTTTTGACTAAACCTTAAATTTGTTCATGGGCAGGTGCTATAGTAGTTGGGGGGTCAAATTTTTTTCGCCAGATAAGCTAATTTTTTGTACCCAGGGGTTTGCCTATGCTGAATTGATTGATGATATTCTCACACAACATTTCGCAACTTTTAACAACATTCAAGTCTACTTACAAATGAAATTAGCGTCATTGGAAAAACGAGTTTCGACCTGTCAGGGAAGTTCTATAAAAAGCACAAGAAGCAAATGCATGCGCGAATGCATTTCCTGAACCCAATTAACGTCGTCTGCTTTCAGAATGGTCGTTAAAAGTTGCGAAATGTTGTGTGAAACCATCACCAATCAATTCAGCATAGTCAAAAACTCCTGGGTGCAAAAAATTAGCTCATCTGGCGAAAAAAAATTTTTGCGTAATCTTTTATAGGAAACTTTCTCGTGTATTGACGTTGCAGTAAAAAAATATTGGTGCTCTCTACAAAAAGCTGCTTGCTTTTAGATGTTGCTCAAAAAACTAATAATCTTTTTCAAAACTTTTTATTTCTTTTATTTACAGGTGTCGCACTGGAAAATGCGGGAGAATCGTTGTGCCCGATGTGTCGTGGACCAGTCGACATTAATCAATTCAGGAAAGTCATCGATCCATCTCTTCAACTTACAATGCGCGATCCAGAGGACTCAACCACCGATCATCCACCAGTAAAAAAAGGTTTTTTCGCTGAATTTTTTCTGTACCAAATTTTTCTTTGTAGTCAAAAAAGAGCCCGTCGATCCAGGCGATTTGCAACAACAACAGCAAACGTCGAAGGCCTCTAATGGTTGGTATTGGAGTGATGTAAAATTGGCATGCAATAGTATTTTTAGTAAAGGTCAAGGCAGAACCGGTGGATCCAGATGATGTGCAACAACAGACACAGACGCAATCACAAACAGAAAAAGGTAAACATTTTTTAAAAATGCCTTGCTTATTTGTTTGTTTTAGGAAACGAGATGAACGCCAGCCAACAGCAAAAAGAGAGTGCGACATTTTGGGTCTACAAAGTAAGTTAATTTGTTTGGAGCTGGCATTAAATTTATTTTTTTAGGCTCGCGGGAATGGATGGTGGCGATATGATCCACGCACCGAAAAAGACATTAATGATGCGTGCCGTCTTGGAAAACAGAAATGTGAAGTGAGTGTTTTTTTTCTAACTTAACCACGAAATTGTAGTTTGAAAATTGCTGGGGATTTTTTTTATTGAAATTAGTGGTTTTTTGATGAGTGATAACTGTTTTTTCAAATTATTGAGTTGGGTAGTATGAAATGGTGACATCTTTGAATGAGCTTTTGAACAAAAACTAAACCATAACTTTTTCTCAAAATTTTTCTAGTAACAATTGAAGTTATGCTGATTATGCGCTAAAATTGGATTCCGATCTGATGCACAGTTTTTGAGAAATGGTAATGGATGTGCCAAAGGTCGGTTTTTGACTACCACGTAACCTGGCGATGTCTGTAACAAAAATACTCGACTAGCATCCAGTCAAAACGGCTATTTATAAGATAATAAATCAAGTTCGATAATAAAAATTAAAGATTGAAAAAGACGTGTCTGAGTCCTGGGAATAGCATCCTCAAAAATATCTCGTGTATTCTCAAAAAGTGACAAGTTCTTATTCGAAAATTTTTATTTTGTTTATTTTGGTTAATTGTACAATCATGTTGGCTCAAACAGTTTTTGAATCTAGCAAGTTGTTGCAAATTTTTAGCGGTCTGGATTTTAAGGGGAAATTAGGCAAAAATCGTCTTTTTAACATCTCCTCTCTCATTCCTCAGAAACTGTGCATCAGATCGGGGTGAAATTTTGGCGTATAATCAGCATAACTTCAATTGTTATTAGAAAAACTTTTGGTTTAGTTTTTGTTCAAAAGTTCGTCCGAAGACGCCGTCATTTCATAGTCTCCAATCCAATACATTCCAATAAAACGAGTTATTACATCTAAGATTCCAGGTCAACACATGCGGAATGACGTTTGTTATCGATTTCCAAGAAATGGTGAGGGTTTTGTGTTGCTTTTCAATTACTCATAGGCGGAGAGTTCGGTAAAAGAGGGTGCTCTCTCGAAAGCGGCTAAAAGAGGTATGGGGTCTCGAGCCCCTTCTGGGGTATTGATTCCTTGTGTGGGCCCTCGGTGGGCGGAGCCCGCCGCGGCCGAAAAGCTTTTGCACATATCTAGTTGGAGTTAAAAATTCCTCATTTACAAGAAAATTTCATTTTTCCTTTTCCAGGTCCAGTATCGCAAAGATACACCGGATGTGCAACGAGAAATCTCAAGGGCTGACGGTGAGCAGGATCTGACCAGAATGCAAATTCGGGGAATAGCCGGTGTTTCACCTCATTAAAGCCTAATACGTCACAAATTTCTCTCATCAGTCCATTTGCCTTAAATTACGGGTTATTCCTGAGTCTTAGCTTTCTTATTGTTGTTATTGTTGTTAAAAATAGCACTTTGTTCTTTCAACGCTTTATACATGTTCTTTTTGGTTTATTGCTTGATTTTCTAAATAAAATTTCCATTTTTTGAAAAAAGTACGTTTATAGTATGCCGGCACTGGTTTGGATACATTTTGAAGCGCTGAGCGATATTCAGGCAAGATGCAAATATTGTGCGGCTGTTCTTACAGTGACAAATGGATCGACAAAGGTTTTGAAGGCTAAAAGTTGGCTTGAATTTGCTTTGTAGCAACGGGAAATTACCTGTTTATTTTGACTTTGATTAACGGAAGAATGTTTAGAAATGGTTTAAAAACAGAAATGTGAATATTGTTCACGATTCCACGGAATTGTATATGAAAAAAAAATATTGAAATTGTTAAAAGTTTTAAATATAAAACTTTACAAATCTTTCAAAAAGAATTTTCTAAAATTTCTAATTCTATTTGAGTGTTTCAATAAGCTTCCTGGTGCCTTAAACGGTAAAAGTAAAGTAAATAGAATCAGCTATGCTGTTCGGAATCAGCATAGCCGATTCTATAAGATCCCGTAGCTCTCGTATTAAGCTGGTGCCTTTCCCTATTTAGATTCAACGAAATAAATTACCTACACTCATGGAGATGAGTCTTGGAAATTCGAAAAAAAAAGCAAAATTTTTAGTATTATTTTTTTTACTCGAGCATTTTCAGAACTTCCAATAATATTTATTCTAAATTTTGCTTTGCATCACTTGAAAAAGATCGATTTCACGAATCTTTACTGGAAAGCTCAAAAAGTGAAAAAATGTGGTGGACAAAAGTCTTGGAAATTTAACGGAGTAACACAAATGTTTTGAATGGCTGTCTGCTCGTGTCTGTCTGTCTGTCTGTCTGTCTGTCAACCGATAGACATGCGGTGACAATGATGACTTAAACTAGACATTTTTGCCTTTTTGATTATTGAAAGTTTCTTCCGAAAATGCTCGAGTAAAAAAAAAACACGGCTTTTTTGCTTTTTTTTTCGAATTTCCAAGACCTGAACATTTGCGCACCTTTTTTTTGCTGGAAAAGGCCTTAGGAAAGGTCGTAGAGCTTCAAAAACGTTTTCATAGAAGGGAATCGTATGCGTAGATTCAGAATTTCGACAAATCAGACCTCGCTGACACGTCAAAGTTGGGCTAAAAGGCAAAAACTACGCAACTTAACGCTTTTCCGCAGTTTTTGCCTTTTAGCCCAACTTTGACGTGTCAGCGAGATCTGATTTGTCGAAATTCGGAATCTACGCATACGATTCCCTTATATGGAAATATTTTCGAAGCTCTACGACCTTTCCTAAGGCCTTTTCCAGCAAAAAAAAAAGGTGCGCAAATGTCCAGGTGCGCAAAAAAAAGGTCGCATTTGTCCCACTCCCCTTTCGACTAATGAATTGATCTAGCAGAACTTTTGTTTACGGAAATTTTAAGGAAAATAGTCAAATGGTTTCGTCTAAATTTCAATTTATTAGAAAAATGTTCAATTTAGGGTTTATGGACACATGTAAGCCGAAAACACAAACAAGAGCATTTGACGTTCAATTACGAGACGAAAGAGGCCGTCGAACAGATTCAGGTTTGCGAAGAAAATACAGTTGAACTTCGATGCAACGAATTTGAAATTCTAAAATGTATCCAAAATTTTTGCGTATCTTTCTGCATAGCTTTCTGCATAGCCCAGCCGAATGCAATCAGTGGCCGTCCAGGGCAGCTATGCAGAAAATTTGAGGTACGTTTTAGGTTTGTTATATCGAAGTTCGATTGTACGAACGGTTAACGATCAAAGTTAATGCAAAAAGGAGATGGATGGATTAGCCACTAGAGCCACTAGAGCCACTAGAGCCACTAGAGCCACTAGAGCCACTAGAGCCACTAGAGCCACTAGAGCCACTAGAGCCACTAGAGCCACTAGAGCCACTAGAGCCACTAGAGCCACTAGAGCCACTAGAGCCACTAGAGCCACTAGAGCCACTAGAGCCACCGGGCTCTAGTGTTTCCTTAATCTTAATTCCTTAATCATTTCCTTAATCTTAGTTTTCATGTTTATTAATCAATTAAGGCAATCGCTAAAGAGCCGATCGTTCGCGGAATTGCCTCTCGTCAACAAGCCGTTAAAGTTGAGTCAAAAGGGAAATCTGAAGAAAAGCCTCCTCTTCCACCAATCGAGATCACGAAGAAAGCGGAGCCAAAACGAAAACGACGTTTGAAATATCGAGAGAATTGTGGGTTCTTCTTTTTTTTAAAGATTGAGAGAAAAGCCGATGACTTCATAAAGCTGAAAATTTTCTCATTGTTATCCTCGCCGTTAGACTTGACTAACGATAAGGATAGTCAAGTCTACTAGCGAGACCTTGATAAGTCCTAATCGAGGCCTTATCAAGGCTTATCGAGGCCTTATCGAGGCCTTATCGAGGCCTTATCGAGGCCTTATCGAGACCTCGTTCTCGATAAGCTTATCGATAATAGGTAATAGATAATAATCGATAAATTCAGTAGATTTCCTCGCAACTCAGCTTTTCTGGGGTAATTCGGTGCGCTGAGTACGAATTTTAACATCCAAAATCGCTATTTAAAGTTTCGGACAACTTATCGAGATCCATGTGCGATAGTCTCGATAACTATTGAGATCTCGATGACTATCGAGAACTCGATCTTGATAAGGTCTCGATAGTCAAGCCTACTTACCGTAAGTTGATTGAGCTCAGCAATCGTAAGTTCAGCAATCGGTGCAATGCTCAAATCGGTACTACAAAGTGGCGAGCCGAAAACTATTGACGAGGTGGGGAAATTTTGAACTTTGAAACACTTTGAAAACTATTTTTTTTAGAAATTAAATGAAACAATTGAAAACGTACTTGCGAATGGATTATTGAAAAAGGACGATAAAGAACAAGATGAAGAGCAAGCTAAAGAAAAGCTGTATGAATCAATTTATCGTGAAAACTTACCGTAAATACTGTAATAGTACCCCACCCCCATAATGACGGTGCGGAGTGTTGCGTAGTCTAGCTTTGAACGAGTTTTTCTCGACACTGGTTTATGCTACAATCCTCGCTTAGGTATCAAAAAATAGCTGAAATTCAGGGCTATTTTTTGATACCAAAGATGCATTTTTTGAAAGTACGGGCGCTTTGAAAAAAATGAAATACTAAAAAACTTTTGTGACTACGCGACTGTACGAGAGGGGTGGGGTACTATTACAGTATACTATTACAGTACAGACTGTACGAGAGGGGTTGGGTACTATTACAGTATTTACGGTATGTATTTTAGTGATCAGCGAAAAAATGCGGTTGTCGAAGAGCCACTTTTCAAGTTTTCTGTGAAAGAAGAGATGGTAAAGATGAAAAATTAATCGAATGTCAAAAGTTTTTAGATTTCTGACTCCGAGGAGCCGTCAACGTCGAAGAATTCCCACTCCGATTCAACAATTTCACTCGGTTCTACCCTTTCTGCGGCTTTTTACGTCGAATATCGAAAAACTTTGAAAGAAGTGAGTGTTTAAAATTCAATTTCATCGATCAAGCCCTTTAAGGCTTTATCCCATGCTTTAGTCATCAAAAAAAAAGCCTGGCAGCCGCTAGTTTTCTCGGACGACAAGCTGGCAGATCTTTTTTAGATCCAGCTTTCACGCCAAAAGAAAAAAAAAAAGGATTTCTCTAAGTGAACTGGCTGAATGGGAAGAGTTTTTGGGTGGACTTGAAAACTCTCGTTTTCAACCCTCACACCGAAAACCATTAGGGCTGAGGAGGCTGACAGGAAAGAAGTGTCTCTTCCATAGAAATCTCCTTCCTTTTTTGCCCTCAAAAGGGGGATACCAGTTCTTTCCATTTCCCCTTTTCCACATCCAAATACTGACCTACTGCCCTTTTGCAAGTGCCGAGCCTTTTCCAGGGAAACCGATCTAAACCTACCTATTTCATTCACAAACTTTCAAAGTTTTTAGTTCGGCTACACGCTTTCGCCCGAAATGGAACAAAGTGGTTGGTTGGAATGGCTTGTTTATTGCTATTTTGCTAAAAGAACTATTTTCTAAAGCGCAAGCATGCCCAGTTATACCGTATTCCAGGAGGCGAACCGGTACCAGCATTTTCCGTTTCTACCCTTATTGAAGCGTTCCGCGCTACGGTCAGCCGCGACTACGAAAAGGCGATCAGTTTAGTGCGAAATACTGTGAAGAGTGGTCACGCTTTTACGGCAGGTATGTCACAAAAAGCTACCATATAGTGTATTCCTTCAAAACAATGTTTCCTAAAATGCGGAAATTATCTAAAGTCCACAGGTTTAGCTCTAGTCTTGTCCTCTCTCTTTTTGTGAGTTTTGGACTAAACAAATCACTTCTAAAAGCTTTCGGCTGAAAATAAACCACCAACTCCTACTGCATTTAGAAATTATCAGATCAGTACTAGATCCAAAGTTATATTTACCCAAAAGCCCAAAGTTAACAAAACAAATGAACGTCGTTTTCAGATGATTTGGAGCTCCTCGATCATGTGTTTGCCTGTGTGTTGAACACTTCGCACTATGACGAAACGATGATCGAGGTAATTTGGGCAATCCACTATAGATTAAAAATCTTTAAATTACTTCAAACCATTCAATCATCTCCAGACTGTACCTAAAGCTGAAGGGATTTGTGAAATGTGTTTCTAGGTATGCTGGGAATGGATTGAAGCTTTTGAGAGACCGCCACGCACCGTCGACGCTCGGGTTGTAGCTGGCAGCACCCTAAGCATCTACTTTGCTTATCATACGGTTTGTTAACTTACGTCAACCTAAACAAACTGATAATTCGTAAAATTTATGATGACAATGTACAAAAATAACAAGCCGTGTAACAACGAAAGAAAACAGATCCAAGGTAGTTGAAAAGAGCATAGAAAAAATGAGATGCGCAAATGACCAGCCCAATTTCGACAAAGGATACGAATTAGAAAGCTTAAGAGAATTTTTATAGAGAAGAAAAATTACTTTTTTCCGGCGGTAGCAAAAGCTTTTTGAATTTGTTCTTGCATCTCGGAGAGTTTCTTCTGTTTATTCTTTGTCTTCACCGTCGAATCGGTCAATTGATCTTCAACTCGTTTTCTAAAAATTGGAATGAGAATAATTTGTTTGTGAAATTAAAAACCTATAAATGGTTTGGGTTGCTATAGTAGTTGGGGGGAGGCAGTTTGTAAACATCGGTTTTTTTGAAACTTTCCACTAGTTTTAAAAACTTTTTACGGTGTAATTAATTGCACTGAATCCATTGAAAGCATTTATAAACCATTCTGAACAACTCTTATGCCAGTTTGAGCAGCAATTTCAAGCCTTCAAGAGCGGCTCTATTTCCACTGGGTTTAGAGGAATCGAATTAAGAGGCTTAAAACCTAGGTAACTGCTTAAAATAGCTAGAAAACAGTTACTAAAGCTTAAATACATACCAAATCAAGAATATACGCCGTTAAAAACCTAGAAGCGAAACTTAGTGCGCTCTAAGTCAATAGAGATGAATGTACACAACTTTTACGTATTCTTCAAAAGACAAACCAAGTTCTAAATTTTAAAACAAAACTCACGTCTCTCCTTGAATATATTCCAGTCGTTTCTCTACTTGACTCCTAGCTTCGGCAAGTTCAACCTTAAAAGTAATAACTCGATATACTCTAAAGTAATACCAACCTTCACTAAAACGGCACCAATCAGCTTGAAAACCTTCGATTCATCACCCAAAAGATCGAGTTCCTAAACGAAAACAAAGTTTTACTTTTAAAAGACAAAACAAACTTCTTTGACCATTTGATTCTCGGTAAGCTGACTTTCTAGCGTTTGTCGGTTGGCCACGTACTTTTCACGATCTAAAAAGAGATGATTAGTCAAATAAACACAAGTTACCAGTTTAAAGTTGTAAATTTAGTCTTAAACTTAACTAACGCGGCATGCTAGCAACTTTAAACGTACTTTATCTTTAAACTGAACTCCCACCTTTCTCCAATTGTTTAAAGGCGGCGATTTCTTTCTCGAATTCTCCTCGTAGAGTATCGAGCGACATCTTTACCTGTAATTAATAACTGTATCATATTCACAAATTAAAATTAAGTAAATAGAGTTAAAGTTTCAATAATTGCGTTAAAAACTAAGCATCATAAACTAGCAGATCAATTCAGCAAAAGAGATCGAATCACATTTTATACAACTAAACAAGCTAAATAAATTAGGCAACACATAAAAGTCATCGTTTAAATAAATTCCTTTTTACTGAATCCTTTGTTTGATCGGCTCGTCGCACATGTATCAATCCTCGTTTCTCCAACTCTTGCGTGGACGGGAAATCGACTTCCCAGTAATGTTCAGGTGTTGGCGGGAGTGGTTTCTCCACGTAGCGATGCCTCGATATTTGATTCAATCTTTTCTTTCGCTCTTCCGGACTCAACTCGAGTGCGTTGTAGTAGCCTGAACAGCACGCACAATCTGTTCCATGCATCAATGCTCGGTCCTCTCGCTTTCGTATCACTTGTCCGTCTCGCAATCCACGTTTCTTCAAAATCTCCGTCCTTTCATTCACTTTTTGCTCGGCTTTACTCTTTGCCCGCTGAGACTCGTCGGATTGCGCCCGTCGTCTTAAACTTTGACTAGAAATTGACGGCTTAGGTGAGCAAATTTGTTCAAATACAATTTCCGGTGACGGAGATCGTAATTTTCTCGGTAAAGAATCTCCTCGAATCTTCAAATCCTGCTGATACGTTGGTGGTGGGGTGGGCAGAAAGGAGAGATTCGTTTCACCGGCAACTTCCTTTCGTATCGGTGATATCATCACAAAAGGGTCACCACTTATTGTCAACTGCGGCCGATTTGGTGTTGATGAGAGTGGAGGAAGAGAGCGATCCATTGAAACGTCAGGGATTCCCAATAAAATCTCCTCGTTCTCGTCGGCGAATAGATCTTGACTCTTGTTCAACGTCGTGTTCTCATTGAGTGCCCTCTTTATTGACGATAATCGGGAAGTTGATGAAAGGTTTTCGAAAAGATCAGGGCTGCCGAATGAGTGATCGTTTAGATGGATATGTTGTCGTTGAGGCGAGAGAAATAAATCCTCCGATGATACCTAAAGTAGAATTATTATTGACAATTTATGAAGTATTTCAAGTTTCAAGAATTATACAGTCGTCAAAAAGTCTTGACCGGTCAGTGTTCACTTTGTCCATAGATCACATCCAAATATATTGACCACAAATAGTTTTATGTAGCATTTCCAAAGGTTGTTAAAATTAACGATTTAGCTTTTTTGATATCCTTTGAACTTTGAGTTTTATGATCGAAAAACCTTATTTGAGCATGATTTTTAAAAATCTGTATTTCAAGAATGAATGGATCCCATTGAAAGCGGTTTCAATTATAATGGCATTGGATCGTCTATTACTTATTTATTAATTTTGTTCTGGCGAAAATGAAAGGCTACTGGCAGTTTTGAAGCCTTATAGAAAATCTGAGAAAAGGACCTTACCCTCTTATGTAAAAGTAGCTTGAAAAATTCTATTTAGAGCGATATCGAAAATCTAAGAATATCATCTTAAAGGTCTCACAAAATACTAAAAAAAACTAATTAGGATCGATTTATTTGAATGCGATCTAACGGGGGAAAAATGAGAAAACATTGACCAGTCAAGACTTTTTTAACGACTTCTAACGACCACGCGCTTCAAAGCTTAAATTCAAATGATTTTACCTAGGAACAAATTGCCATATCTTGTTTATCCGTGAATCAATGTTTTTTTAGCTTAATGACTGAAAAATGACATTAAAGCTTATAAATGTATCAACAATAAGCATAAGATATAGCAATTTGCGCAAAAACCTTTGCAAAAAGGATAATCATTAAAATCTAACAACTACTTATAAGTAATTTTAAGAGCAATTTATCAATGGTCTACTAATCTATGTTTACTTGCACTAATCTTTATAATTAAAGAAAGTCCAACCTTGATGAGACTTGTCGTCGAATGGAGTGGCTTTTTGATGGGAGATCTCGTCACATCAAGCACGGACTCCTCATCATTGTCCATTTAACTAAAAGAAAAACATTAATTTTGAAAAGTAACGTTAAACGAATGAGTAAAATGAGCATGATGATAGCAAAATCGTCAAATTTTTCAAGTGTTTTAGTCAAAAAAAGAGCTTCAACAGAGTTTTACAACCTAGTTTCACGGAAGCACCGTGTGAAAAAGTGTAAAAGAAAGCTAAAAACTTGAAAGCTACAAATTTTGCTTTTGCTATAACTTCTATTAGTGAGCATGAGTTTAAATATCGAGAAATGAAATGAAAAACGGCAAATGGCGCAAATTGGTTGATTGTTATTTGTATTTGCGTGTACTCTACGGGTTATTCTCTTCATAAAAGTGTTAGTTTTAAAATAAAAGTTTGAAAAAAAATGAAAATGAATTCTCGATTTCTATGGAAATTTTTATAATTTCAGATCTGTCGAGTACAAGAGCGTATGCCGAAAAAGCCGAACTATGTAGAGATTCGACGCAAAACATGGAATAAAATCATTGAAAGTTTCGAGTGAGTGCATAAGTATTTGGAGTGATTCTAAAATGTGTACCAGCTTACCGTACTCTAATAGAACGCCATAATAAGGGGCGTACAGTCTCGTAGTCTAACTTTGAACGGCCGGTTCTCCGCGCTGTTTTATGCTACAGTGTGCTACCTGGTGTCAAATGATAGCCCTTGAAATCTAGTATTTTTTGATACCAAAAGTGTAGTTTGGAAAAATCTAGAAGCTGAGAAAAAAATGATTTTCTAAAAAGAAGTTAGACTACACGCGTTCTATTAGAGTTCTATTTAGTACAATGGCGTTCTATTAGAGTTCTATTTACGGTATTTCAGATACCTGACAGCGTGCGCGATCGCTTTATGGAAAGTGGTGGATTTGGACCGTTTGGAGATGCTGGTGAATTGGAGCTATTTGGCATTACAATTTTCGGATGTTTGCGATGACGAGACACTGATGAAATTAAAGGTGAATAGGCTTAAAGCAGGGAGATTTGTAAATTATCGTATCGTCGTACTGTCTTTCATTACCTACAGTGTTTTCTAAAAGGTCGATAATTTGAAAAGCTAATCTTTCTTCTAGATCTTGTCCGTTCGACTTTTTGATCTCATTCGATTCACAGTTTGATTCCTCATCGAATGAGATCAATTAAGTTAAGCGGACAATATCTAAAAGAAGGATTAGCTTTCTAAATTATCCAAGTTTTAAAAAACGCTTTACTGTATAGTAGACTTGTAACAAAAATATCTGTCGGTCCTTTTTTGCCGTTGTTTTTGTTTTTTTCTCAGCACCAACTATTCGACTTTGACTATTTTGACTATCATTCGATGCAGAAAAAAATTGCGCGTCAAATGATACAGAAATTAACTTAAAATGTAATATCTAGGCAAAGTTGTTGGCGAAAAACCTAAACCACAACTATTATGGGTGGGGTTTAACAGCTTGCGTCATAACTTTGCATGGATATTACATTTTAAGTTAATTTTGGTATTATTTGATGCGTAATTTTATTCAGCATCGAATGATAGTCAAAATAGCCAAAATCGAAGAGTTGGCGCTGAGAAAAACCTTACATCGCCAACGGCAAAAAGGACCAGCAGATTTTTTCGTTACAAGTCTACTATAAAGTAATCTTTTCTATTGCAGTAATTTTTAGCTAGCCAAAGACGAGGTGAGCGAGAATTTATGCGCCACAGTGCTGCTTGAGAATGGGCATTTGGTCGGTGAGCGGGCGGCCACTTTGGAGAGAAATCTCGTCGACACGGCACTCCGAAAGGGAACATCGATTGCTAGGGTAATTCGATCAGAAGAATATATATTATATATCATATCAGATTTAGATTTTTATCCGATTTAGCCTCAACAATAGTTTTAACAATTGCTGCGTTGATAAATCATATTTTTGAGAGTTTTTGATGCAATTTGGGGTACATAAAACTAAAACTTAGTACTTTACTTAAAAAAATGGTCAAATTCCGCAAAAGTTACGGGGTTTTGGTGCGGCTTTTGCTTCTGACCTTGTTTTTGATATAAAAAAAACGATTTAGTGCAAACACACATCAAAAACTGTCAAAACATGATTAACAATGCAGCAATTGTTAAAACTATTGTCGGAGTCTGAATCGAATAAAAATCTAAATCGAATATAACATAATCCAGAATAAATCATGAATTCATGGGGGTGGGACAAATGCAACCTTTTTTTGCGCACCCGGACATTTGCGCACCTTTTTCGAGTTTTAAAAATCTCTAAAAGCTAATATTAACCAATTTCTATTCAAAAAGTTGTTTTTCTAGGTAATTTTAGGGCGTAGAATTCAAATTTTGACATATCAGAGCTTCTGGAACCAATTTGAAAGACAAAACGGCTAGATCAAATTACAGAAAATTGTCGATCTTTCTCTTTGTATAACTCCGTCCGTTCGCTTCCACAAGCTCTGATATGTCAAAATTTCGATTCTACGCCCTAAAATTACCTAGTAAAATAGAAAAACAACTTTTGAATAGAAATTGGTTAATATTAGCTTTTTAGAGCTTTTTTAAAACGCGAAAAAAGGTGCGCTAATGGGCTAAGTGCGGAAAAAAAGGTGCGCAAATGTCCGGGTGCGCAAAAAAAGGTCGTATTTGTCCCACTCCCTGAATTCTTACTAAATCCTGAGCGTTTGCAGATAATGGAGAAATCCAACCCGATCACCGAGTTGCCCACCTCGAAAAAACCGCGAATGGCCGACGGATAAATTGTGTTTTACCTCTTTATTACAAATAAACTTTTGCACAAGAAAAAAACGGTCATGAAACCAGACTTGAATCCAGAGAAACGAATCTTTTATCTCAATCCTCTCTCATCCCGACCTCGAGAATGCCAGTTTGACTTTGACTTGATGCCGGAACTTCTCCGCTGAACACGATCAGATCGTCCACTGATACCTAAAATTGTTTAAATTATACTGTTTTCCTCAAAATATTTGCTAAAAGATACAAAACAGAAAAGAAACGACCGAAAATCTCGAAAAATAATATTCCCAAATGCCTATAATCCCGAAAAACATAATCTCAAATAATCAAAATCGCGAAAAAGTGTTAAAAAATATAGAAGCGCCTTGATTATTCTTTGATTTTTACATGCTTTTATGCATTTTTCAAAATGTTTAGTGTTTTTCTAGTGTAAAAAAGCTCAAGGAATACAAAGAAAGTGATTTCAGAATTATTCAAATAGGTTTAGACGGTCAAAAACAGCAAAAACTCTTGAAATTTTCGGACTTGAAAACGGTTTTTGCTGTTTTTCACCTACTAAACCTATTCGAATACCTCAAAAAACGCCTTTTTCATGTTTCTCGAGCTTTTTTACGCTAGAAAATATAAAAACATGCATAAAAACAATAAAAAGCATATAAAAATCAAAGCATAATCTAGACGCCCTTTAATTTGGTCATTCAGGATTTTTCTATGCCCGCTTTTGATCTAGCTACGGTCTTGTTGGTACTTTTCCAATATCGGGGGAGCGCAAGGAAAATCGGGGGAGCAAATTTTGCCCCTTCGAAAAATGCATTTCCGGGACCGTATTTTAACTCCAACTTTTTTTTAAAACTTTAACGACGATGCGCTTCTCCGATATTTGTGCGTCAAGAAATCGACGACAATCGATTATTTCGTCACCAAAGGAGTCATCCAGTCGTGGATTTGCAAATGTGGCGAATCGATGAAAGTCCGCTCAAAGGGAAAAGATCTATTTCGCTGGGTATGTGACACTTGCGCACGGCGAAAGGTCCCCAAGCATTCAAGAGAAATTCGAGTCGATAACTTTTTGCAACAAAGCAAGCTCCGGTTCGTCACAATTTTAAATAGGACATATGTAGCCAAAATTTGCTCCCCCGATAGTCCTTCCGCCACGACCAAAATATTTAAACAGCTGAATATCTTTACATTTGAAGGGAAACTGCCACCAAATCATTTAATGAGCTGAATATCTTTACTTTTGAAGGGAAATTGCCACCAAATCATTCAATGGGCTGAATATCTTTAAAAGCAGTCATATTTAACTCGGCGCTCGTCATTTTTTGCAATAATTTTCGTTAAAAGTACGGTAAATTTGTAGAGATAAGGAACCAAATTTAGAGAAATAAGGAACCAAATTTAGAGAGATAAGGAACCAAATTCAGAGAGATAAAGTTTTCGTTTTAAAAAACGCATAACTCGTGAGAAACACTCTAGTTACGGAAGCTGGTCAAAACCGCACCGTGTATCTAGTTACGGTCTTGTCTGGCACCTTTTGAAGCAACCCTTTGCACCAACTTACCGAAATATGTCGAACACCCCTCTCGGGAGTTTTCCGATAGTTATAGATGACGATCTTCGAGACAAAAGTCGGCTCATCGAAAATGAAAAAGATGCGGGCACATCGATTGGGCAGAAGTGGGGTCAGCCACATGTTTTCTGGTCTGAAATTCGTTGTTTTTGTTAGCAATACTTGCGATTTCAGTATCAAATCTAAAGGTAACTTTCGACAATTATCCACCTTTTAGAAAAAGTACTTACAAGAAACGAATTATTGCATCTAGAGTACCCGAATTGCCACTCACCTATCCATATCATTTTGCCCATTGATCAGATTATCGCTCGTTCTCGGATCTCCCTCAACCATCGGGAGGATGTTGATCGACTCCGGGAAAGCGGCTAGATCTGAAAATTTAAGTAATTAGGATAGCTGGATAGCTGGATAGCTAGATAGCTAGATAGATAGCTAGATAGATAGATAGATAGATAGATAACTAGATAACTAGATAACTAGATAGCTAGATAACTAGATAACTAGATAACTAGATAACTAGATAGCTAGATAGCTAGAGAGCTAGAGAGCTAGATAACTAGATAGCTAGATAGCTAGATAGCTAGAGAGCTAGAGAGCTAGATAACTAGATAACTAGATAACTAGATAACTAGATAACTAGATAACTAGATAACTAGATATTTTATGTATGCAGAGATTTTCAAATCTAGCTTACTATGTGGTTTTAACTTGAACGATCGATCCTTTCGATCTCTCAACTCGATCCCATTCAATCCAATGTAGAACTCGTCACCCCAAGTGGATAAGAGACGAAGTTGAAAGATAACTAAAATTGATAAATATCGAAATATCGAAATATCATAATATCATAAAATTTCGATCTAATCGTAAATAATCAAAGTAAATACGGTTTTTCAAATTCTTACATCCATCAATTGAATGAGTGAGCGGGCGTTGAATGGCTGAACGAGTGGAGAGAAATCTCGTGAACGGGACATCTTGCACAAAATCGAAGAAGACAAAGCCTGGATTTCTTTTACACTACAAATTCCCCCAAATACATTATTACATGTATTGCACAAGTTTGACAATATTTTAGGCTTTTTCCCATTGCAAGCACTGGGCTAGGTTTTTCCTTTGCTGTAACGGATCAGTTTGGGTTTATGAATTCTTGGTAATCATTCAAATTAGCTAATCTTATGGTATTGTCAATAGCTGAGCTACATGCTTTTGGTAAAGTACGGGAAAGTACGGGGAAAGTACGGGAAAGTACGGGGAAAGTACGGGAAAGTACGGGAAAGTTACGAGAAAGTATCTAGTAATAGAAAGTTATCAAGAGAAAAAGTCAGATCAGTTCTATTGGGTTGGTGAATTGAAAACTGCCGGCTATTTCGCGGGACTCGCAGATAAAAAACAACAGCATTGAACCAGCTGAAAGGGGGTTTGGTTACTTCAACATTTCCTCAAATTATTGGGAAAAAAATTATGCTTCCAGCTTTTTATTTTTTGGTATTTTTCTTCACTTCTTCTATCTCAACAATCTGCCACCGGGACATATTCGTCATGTCATGCTTCATGAGTTCCTACAAGAGCACAGTGCAGGCTTGGCAGCTGAGCCTTCTGTTAACAACTAGCTGAGCCTGATAGTGACAACTAGCTGAGCCTTCTAGTGACAACAAGCTGAGCCTTCTATTGACAACTAGCTGAGTCTTCTAGTGACAACTAGCTGAGCCTTCTAGTGACAACAAGCTGAACCTTCTGTTGACAACAAGCCTACCCGGTGCTTTCCTCAACAAAGCACTGCCCACGACGAGCTTCGAGTTCACGTGTATTCTCGCCTCTCTTACACCGGCGTATGAAAGTTCAGGAGATGCGTTGTAATTCCAAAAAGAGATGCCTAGAATGATCTTTGAATTGTTCTTGACCACTAAAACAAACCAGCAATTGTTTGTGGTTGTGTGAAATTGAGGGTGATCGTGGGTGGATGATTTCCATCAAACGCACTCAACCACATCTCGGAGCGAAGGCGGGTTAGATTTCGGCCATTCACTAGTCTGCAATAGTTGCAATAGATTCAGCTGAAGAATACAGTGCACTAGAAGGGATACGTTTACAGCACAAAGTACATCTAGAAATTAAGTTTATTTTCTGTTTTATTTTACCGATCAACGCCCGCTTCTCCATTGATTACCGAGATTTGCGCATCACTCAAATCAATCGCTTCACTGTTGCTACCGAGGATCTAAAAGTATCTACGAGTCTACCAAGGATTCTACTGAGGACTCTGCTGAGGACTCTGCTGAGGATTCTACTAAGGATTCTACTAAGGATTCTGCTAAGGATTCTGCTAAGGATTCTACTGAGGATCAACCAAGGATTCTCCTCCGTTTTCTAAAACGTGTCCTCTTTCCAACTATTGTAAAACTTGTCTCAGAAAATGGATTGACTCACTTCAATCCCCGTCAACCCAATCGAATCCGGACTTCCCCAATTTGAGAGTAATTCAATGTGAAGAACTAAAGAGAACTAGGATTTAAATTACTAAGACTTTCCTGTACCTTTAGCTTTAATTTGAGAAATTGTTGTCGATGCCATTGTTGAAAGCTTTTCTTGATTCGATGAAATCTTTGTTGTTTCTCTTGATGTCTCCAACAATTCCCCAGTTGTCGGCCGATATGGCGTGAATTGGACCATTGATGTTTCAGTGATTTCTAGAAATGAATTTCAATTCATATTTCAGGGAATTTATGGTTCTTTCCCTTTTTATGGTTCTTTCCATTTTTATGGTTCTTTCCCCGTGGTCTTCTAAAAGTTTTCGAGGAAACGAAAGGCTTCGCACGCCTGGCATTTCCTCAGACACACACATGTTTATGAAGCTGACCAATACAGCCAAGCCAAGACAGCCAAGCCAAGACAGCCAAGCCAAGACAGCCAAGCCAAGACAGCCAAGCCAAGACAGCCAAGCCAAGACAGCCAAGCCAATACAGCCAAGCGTTTGAGCAGTAACGGTGCCAACAGATAGCTATCATGCGGCCGGTTAAGCCAGTTTTGGATGTATGGATATTTGTGAAGCTTCTTGTGCCAACTTGACGATATCCTCTTGAGGAATTGCAATGTCGCTCAACGTTTGGCCCCGGCAAAAACGAAAGCAAGAATACAATTGCTCACAGATGGGAGTTTTATCGAGGGCTTTGCTGAGACGATGTTGTTGAGTCACTTCATCAACTTCTTAGGGGTCCAGAAAATTAGTGGAGATAGATGAGAGAAAGCTTTTCAAAGCAAAACATGCTAGGGGTAGAATGCTCAATCAGAACTACGACTTGGTTTTTGGCCTAGTATTCTTTTGCACTTAATTATCAAGGCAATTGAATAGATCGATCGTCAAGAATGGTCGATCGTTAAGAATGGTCGATTGTCAAGCATGGTCGATCGTTAAGAATGGTCGATTGTCAAGAATGGCCTCTTTCACCGTCACTAAAAGGAAGGCTGTCACTTTGCTTTCCTTTATCCACCAAACTGTTTTTAAGTGCACTGATTACTGATTAGGTAGAAAAATAACATTACTGATTGGGTAGAAAAATTATTTCTAACGAATGGAGAGCCTATGGGGCTAATCAAGCTACTCCAGCAGCAATTCAGCTACTTCAGCAGCAATACGACCATAGTTCTCATCACAGGCTCCAGTTTATCGACCGAAATACTCCCACTATGCATACACAAAAAGTATAACGAAATCTTTGAAACTCAAGCTCGATAATTACAAGCGACGTGGGGCGCGATGAAGGCTTCAAGTTCACTATTTGCGTGGAACAGCAAAAGATTGACTTTCAACTTATTTGTTTATTATGTTTAGGAGAGCAATAGAGAAGGGTCAACTCTGACAGAAGGCCTCTAAACTTTTAAAAGACCTCTACCCTTTTAAAAGACCACTAAACTTTTAAAAGACCACTAAACTTTTAAAAGACCACTAAACTTTTAAAAGACCACTAAACTTTTAAAAGACCACTAAACTTTTAAAAGACCACTAAACTTTTAAAAGACCACTAAACTTTTAAAAGACCACTAAACTTTTAAAAGACCACTAAACTTTTAAAAGACCACTAAACTTTTAAAAGACCTCTAAACTTTTAAAAGAGCTCTAAACTTTTAAAAGACCATCAAGCTTTTAAAAGACCATCAAGCCTTTCAAAAGACCTCTAAACTTTCAAAAGACCTCTAAACTTTTAAAAGACCATGATTCAGGGAAAGAGCCATATTTATAAAGGAAATAAACTCTAACCAACACAGAATTTTCAACATTCTAAAGATCTTCATTTTGAATTCAAACCATTTTGCGTGCGCACATCCATGGTGCTTGTGGCGAAATCGAAGTCATGAATGAGACAGAGATCATTGTGAGCGATCGCCTCGAGAATCGACTCATCGGTGGTGAAAAGCACTGTCTAAAGCGATTTAATAGAAACATTTTTACGCCATTTTTAGTCTACTGTATTTATATAATAATTTATATCATATAATCATTTATATCATTACAATAACCCTTCTCTCAGACTCGTAGCCAAGATTTCGGTGTTTTTTTTTTTTTGGGAGAATCGCTAGAGCTAGAGTCCAGAAGCGCTCAATCAATTTACACCAAAAGAAGAAAATTTAGCAAAACCTTTAGGCTACATTATGGCTACAATGAAATTTTTCGAAAATGAAATCCATTCAGAAAAAAATTGCATTTTTCTGAGAGAATTTAAGGCTTTAAAGTCTTAGGCAGAGATTTTAGACCCTTAGTGGTTGTCCAGGTTATCCAGGAAACTTCTAACCATCACCAATCGATTCTACGTGTCGTTTTACATAAGATACGTGTGCTAAAAATCTGATTTAAAGCTTGTAGAGCGAGCTAGAGAAGCTTAAAGTTGAGCAGAGGTGCAAAAATCAACTTAAAGTTGAGCAAAAATCGTGAACTCAACTTTGAGCCACTCTAGCTCGCTCCACAAGCCTTAAATCGGATTTTTAGCTGACGTGTCCTATGCAAATCGAGACGGAGAATCGATTGGCGCTTTCGATTCGATAGCGATTCAACATCAATTCTTCAATTCCCACTCACATCGCCCATTCCCTCGACTTCCTCCTCGGACTCGTAGGCGCATTTGATCTCACCTCTAAAAAGCTTACTAATAATCTCTATCGATTTTAATATGCTTCAAAATAAACTGTATAAATCTAGAAACTCAATAACATCATTCAAACCCACTTAAAGATCAATGCTTGATCGAGGAAAATCTTCAAGCGTCGAACGCCTCGCTGTGCATGCACACGGGACTCGTTGTAGTTCTGGAAACAGTGTACATCACTCTAATAGAAGCCTCTAAACACTCTAATAGAAGCCCTTTCCTATAGGAGTGTCGCGTCGTCTAACTAGAGACGGTTCTAGAGACTAACTAGAGACACCGTTTGGAGCTATTCCACAGATTTTGGTTACTGATTCCGAATCCCCGTTCGATTTCCTAATGAGCTGGATCTTGTTTCGAGATCCCACGATGACTTAGTACTCCCTCTGGAGGAAGGTGATCAAGTATTTTGGTGTAATGGTTAGCACAGTTGCTCGGTAAGCGAAAGGTGGCGGGTTCGAGTCCCAGCGGGGCACAAGTTTCCCTTGCTTTTTGCCCTTTTTGATCTGATTTGTAACTTCTTCCCTAGTTAGCTACGCGACGATCCTATAGAGACTACGAGAGTCTACTAGAGTCTGCTAGAGTCTGCTAGAGTCTGCTAGAGTCTATTAGAGACTACTAGAGTCTGCTAGAGTCTGCTAGAGTCTGCTAGAGTCTGCTAGAGTCTACTAGAGTCTACTAGAGTCTACTAGAGTCTACTAGAGTCTACTAGAGTCTACTAGAGTCTACTAGAGTCTACTAGAGTCTACTAGAGTCTACTAGAGTCTACTAGAGTCTACTAGAGTCTACTAGAGTCTACTAGAGTCTACTAGAGTCTACTAGAGTCTACTAGAGTCTACTAGAGTCTACTAGAGTCTACTAGAGTCTGCTAGAGTCTGCTAGAGTCTATTAGAGTCTACTAGAGTCTACTAGAGTCTACTAGAGTCTGCTAGAGTCTACCAGAGTCTATTAAGGGCTTCAATTCGAGTATTTACGGTATTCAATAATTGGATATGATATAAAATCGAAAGTGTACCCAAATTCGAATCATCGCAATCGTCTCTTCTTTGCTGAATTGCAGGCGGAGATCAATTGGAGCCTAGTAAATGGATTTCTTTTAAATGCTAATCAATTTGCTAATCAAATCAAATCAAATCAAATCAAAATCAAATTTCCTCAAAAGAATCTTTATTTAGAAACCTAATTTAATGAGTTTTCAATGAATTTTCAATGAGTTAACTCAATTTTTGCGTCTCATTCACTGAGCTTTATGAATTCCTCATCAAATGATACCAAAAATTCGCCTAATCAACTCAAAGTCAACCGAATTTTTCAATCATTCGATGAGAAATAAAAAAAAACAACCAAGAATTTCAGTAATTATCTAAAATAGATCTCTTTTCAAAAAGAAACAACACAAACGAATGCCCCAACCTCTTCAACACTCGCACACCACATTTGTGCTCCATCAGTGCACCCGAAATTCTCCACCAACACACAATTCATATTGCCCAATTGAGTGCCCAAAGATGAGGTGGAAATCTAAACAATTCCAATAGAATAGTATTAAGGATTGTTTGTTTATTAACGATTGTTAACGAATGGATTGTTTGTTAACGCACAATTTATCAAAACCTTATTAGGGCAACTGTCGCTCAAACTGGAGCTACCTGGAGCTACCTGGAGCTACCTGGAGCTACCTGGAGCTACCTGGAGCTACCTGGAGCTACCTGGAGCTACCTGGAGCTACCTGGAGCTACCTGGAGCTACCTGGAGCTACCTGGAGCTACCTGGAGCTACCTGGAGCTACCTGGAGCTACCTGGAGCTACCTGGAGCTACCTGGAGCTACCTGGAGCTACCTGGAGCTACCTGGAGCTACCTGGAGCTACCTGGAGCTACCTGGAGCTACCTGGAGCTACCTGGAGCTACCTGGAGCTACCTGGAGCTACCTGCCACTATCACAATTAATTCAACACTTGCATGTGATTGTTTTCAAATATAAAACATATTTTTAGCATTAACGAGCGCTTAGAAAAAAAGCCATAAAAGAAAAAGCCATCAAATAAAAAGCCATAAATGACTAAAAAAGTCAAAAAATGACTAAAATCGGCTTTTTTTGCCGATAAAAGATGATAAAAAGAAATCGGTTGAATAGATTTTTCTGAAAATTTCGTTCTAAGCCTCGTTTTTTCATGCTCTTTCTTTTTTCTATTTACACGAAGATATAGGTTTCTTTTAGGCAAAGTGCTCAAATCGTGTCTGAAACCTAAAGCCTTTTTTTTCACTACCCAACTTCGTGGTGATCATAAAAAGCTAAACAGAAAAGGCCCGGCTTTTAACCAAATATGCAATCCATCTCGAAAAGTTAACTTTATTTAAGTTAAAGGGGGGGTATTAATCGCGGCCGGGTGACCATAAAATTTTTTTTACGCCAACCACCTGTTTTTTTTATTTTAATATCGCTGATTTAATTATAAAAAGAATAAAAATCACCCGGCTAGAGTGATTTGATGGGTTTACAAATTTTTGGAGACTTCTTCATGATGATTTGGATGTTTGGAACCATCCAAATCATTTGGATGGTTCTGATGATTCTGATTTTGAGAACATTATCCGTGATTTGCGTCGAATATGGGAACAAGTCATGAATAATGGGGAACGTTTTGGATTGAAAGCTTTTCTTGTGTTCTTAATAGTTTTCTTAATAGTTATCATTCAAAAAAATCGTCATTTCATTGTTGCTAACCTATATAAAATATCAAAATATAGCTTTATTTAAAAAAAATCGTCAATCAAATTATGGAATAGATTCTTTTTAAACAAAAATACCAAAAAAAAGTGATCAAGAATTCAATAGGTTTACCGAATTGAATCCAATACGGTTCCCATTTTGATCTAATACGGTTTCAATACGGTTCTAATATGGTTCTTTTTAGATCCAATACGGTTTCAATACGGTTCCAATACGGTTCTTTTTAGATCCAATACGGTTTCAATACGGTTCTTTTTAGATCCAATACGGTTCCAATACGGTTCCAATATGGTTCTTTTTAGATCCAATACGGTTCCAATACGGTTCTTTTTAGATCCAATACGGTTCTAATATGGTTCTTTTTTAGATCCAATACGGTTCCAATACGGTTCTTTATAGATCCAATACGGTTCTAATATGGTTCTTTGTAGATCCAATACGGTTCTTTTTAAACCTATTCAATAGGACTTTTTTTAATGTCTAAACGCCTAGAATCGAACCCAATTAGGCAACTTTAAATTCAAAAGAGAAAAACAAATGTAAATATGTGTTTCTTTATCGATTTTCTAAATCCAACCTTATCAACTGTGGCCCTTGTTCCTTGATTCGTGAAAATCTCGACACAATTCAGCCCGATCCACATCAAATCGCCCCAATTCTCCTCCAAATGCAAACAAAGCTCTTTTCCGTTTGGAAGCACGGGGATTTCGCTGAAAATTTGAAGAAAATATAGATGTTAGAAAAGATTTTGATTTTAAGCTGATTTTAATTGAGTTAGTTTTAACGGCTAGCTCATTTTAACTGCAATTTTGTCGCTAGCCGATTTTCGGACTATATCAGAGCGCCGTTCAGAAGCACGCCGTTTAAAACCGCGCCGTTTAAAAGCACGCCGTTTAAAACCGCGCCGTTTAAAACCGCGCCGTTCAAAAGCGCGCTACCAGAAGAGGCCCAACGGCAGACCAGCAACGAGGTGGAGTACAAGAGTGGCAGCGACGGTCAGGGAAAGGATGGCTAGAGTCACAAGAAGACTCGGGCACACCTCTTCGACAGCACCGTCCTCCCGGCACTCTGCTATGGGACAGAGACCTGAGCCACGACAAGACCACCGAACGAGAACGTCACACCGAGCTCTCGGAAAGAATCTCCTAGGGCACAATAGGAAGACGCAGCTCGACCAAGACCTAAGAAGTACGGATATGCGCCAGCTCTCGGGACTCCGAGATCCAGTGGAAGTGGTCGAGAGAAGAAGAGTCAGATGCGTGGCCAGAAGAACAGACGATAGATGGACGATACGGATCACAGAGTGGCTACCACGAGACCAGAAGAAGCCCATCGGAAGACCAGCAACAAGGTGGAGCACAAGAGTGGCAGCGACGGTCAGGGAAAGGATGGCTAGAGTGCAACCACCACCAGCACAAGCAAGTCGAAGACTTCGAACCAGGGACAACCAAGATAGGAAGCACTGGATGACATTAGCAAGAGATAAAGAAATGTGGAAGCAGGTTGTGATCTGCGCAAATAGGAACACCTACCGTAAATACTGTAATAGTACCCCACCCCCATAATGACGGTGCGGAGCGTTGCGTAGTCTAGCTTTGAACGCGTTTTTCTCGACACTGGTTTATGCTAAAATGCTCGTTTGGGTATCAAAAAATAGCTGAAATTCAGGGCTATTTTTCGATACCAAAGATGCATTTTTTGAAAGTACGGGCGCTTTGAAAAAAAATGAAATACTAAAAAACTAAAAAAAACTGTACGGCGACTACGCGACTGTACGGCGGGGATGGGGTACTATTACAGTATTGACGGTAAGTGCAAAGACAGAGGCTTCTATTTTCCACTCACAATGCAATTTCTTCTTCTATTCGACTTCCATTTTGTTGCATCAAGAGCTCTTCCGATTCACCAGATTCCATTGATTTCTGATTTGATTTGATTTGATTGTTGATTGATTTCTGTAAGTTTTAAACTCATTTAACTCTTTAAACCCAAAAGAAACCAGCTTGGTGTGAGCGAAAAGCAAAAATTGAACTTTAATCATTAAAAGAGTTGTGTTTACTCTTTTTTAAATAAAAATTAGAACAAAGAGGACAAAAAAACGAGAAAAACGAAGGAAAATCGCGAAAAGCGGGGGGTTTGCCAGTGGCAATGCCGCTGGCAAGTGCCGACTCGCTTGAAGTGAAGGGGCGGGGTTTGCCAGTGGCAATGCCGCTGGAAAGTGCCGACTCGCTTGAAGTGAAGGGGCGGGGTTTCAGAAAGGCTGCCGTGATCTTGCGGGGAGGTCTTATGCGTCAGTAAGTGATGCCGGACCCATTGTTTTATCATTTTTTTGATGTTGTTAGAAGGCAAATTTTAGGGTACAACAAAAAAAAACGAAGGAAAATCGCGAAAAGCGGCGGAAAGGCTATTGATCTGAGGGTCGCTGGTTCGACTTCCACCGGTGACAATATTTTTCAAAAATTTTTTGCTAAGATTCTGAAAATGCGTGTCTAGGGGTTATTTTTGACGCTGATCACGAAAAACATGTTTTTAGCCTAGGTTTTCCGCACGGAAAACCAACGAAACGTGAAAACAGCCATTTTTTGGGTCTGCCGCCCTTTACTAAAATAGCTGTAAAAAAATTTAGAAAAGAGATATCTCAAAACGGTTTTTACCAATCGATCCGTCTTGAATTCAGCTTTATGATGAGCTATAAAACGTCTAAATTGGACAAATTTAAGGGGCAAATTACTCTCCCAAAAAATCGGAAAGGAGTTTTCCATCAACCCAATAGATTTGGAATGAGAGACTAAAGTCTGGAAATTTGCTGATAGATAAAAGATTCATAAAAGAAATCGCAAAGAAATGGTGACGTTTCTTAAAGTTTTCTTCTTTCGATCATCAAAAGCAATCACTTAAGTGCGATTTATTTTCGAATTTCCGGCAGATTTGATTCTCACACAGTGGGATCATCTCTGAAATCGTCTTTAAAGAGTCTTTTTTTCTAGAGATCTTTAGAAAAGCTCTAGAAATCTTTAGAAAAGCTCTAGAGATCTTTAGAGATCTTTAGAAATCTTTAGAGAATCTCTAGAAATCTTTAGAGATCTTTAGAAAAGCTCTAGAAATCAGAAATAAAAAAATACCGACTGGGGCTACCAGTGGTGAATTTATCGCATACACGAAATATCACAATCACAATACAACGACACACACAATACTAGGCTATATCTTAACTTAACCCACGTCATGACAGACGGCTCCCTAACCCTAAGCTCAATGGGGAACTAAATAGCTTTTTTGGTGGTGAAGGGAAGATGACGATGAAGGAGTGGCTTGTCACTTTAAAGAACTGGGGCCACAACCACCAGACTGCCCTCCAGAAAACCTCTCAACCCGAAGGGAAAGGAAATCCGAAGGGGGTGACCATGTCGCATGTGGGGTTCGAACCCTTCCGATTAAGATAAAAGACACTTAACCAGTCAGCCACACGTGCTCCAATCTTAGAAAATTTAGAATTTGAAATCAACAAGTAAGCTATTTTTGGGAGAATTTAATGGAAATTAACTTTTAAATGTAGAGGATTTTTTTTTTGAACTTTACAATTGAGAAGTTGTTATGTTTTGTTGAAAGGAAAAGAACCCATTTAGTTGTTTTCTCGACTGGAAAATTGGGGAGGAAGGGAGAAGAGAGAGGAGAGGGAAATATAGGGAAATATAAGGAATATAGGGAAAATATAGGGAAAATATAGGGAAAATATAGAGAAAATATAGGAAAACATAAAGAAAACATAGAAAAAACATAGGAAAACATAAGGAAAACATCCAGAAAACGTAGAAAAAACAGAAAAAACATCGTAAAACTCCTCGAGTATTAAAGAAAAGATGAAAAATGCCTTTGTGCTCGACATTTGTAAACCCACTCTTCCTGGTGCAATGATTTTTCAGTTTTCTCAAAGAAAAGTCTTGATTTCTTGAGCAAATGATGCAGCAAACGATGCACCAGAAAGGATGCGTTAACGAATTTGAGCACAAAATACCCACCGTAAGCGGTACCGTAGTACCCGAAACTAGATCGCACGCCAGCCAAAGTGTGACTTTCAACTTTGAGAGCTTGTTTTAAGAATTTATGAGCTCCTATCGGTTAGATAATGAGCACCGCTACAGGAGACCCACTCAACATTTGCTAGTTAAATTTTTGTGGGAATCGGTTATGTTTAGACTGAGCTACACCCTCGAGAGTGAGCATGAGTGCTTCTGACACACCCCGTAAACAACTGTTACTGTAACAACTCTCGGAGAACTTTATCAAGCGATTTAGAATGTAATTATCGACGAAATCCCTTCAAATACGAGTTTTCCTAGAAAAGAAGGGGAAATTTGATAACCAAAGTAAAGTAATTGCTTGCTGAAAGTCAAGGAAGTTGAATTTTTCGGCTTTTCAGCTTTGCGGCTTTAGATGCCAAGATCTTTTAGTTCTAAATGAAGAGTTGATTGATATAAACAGATGATATACATATCTGAACATTATTGATTAAAAATTAACAAAAACTTAGCTCCTCTCAGTCAGCATTTTTTCAAAAACCCAAAAACTAGATCGCGCGCCAGCCAAAGCGCCAGACTAACTTTAAGAGCTTGTTTTAAGAATTTCTGAGCTCCTATCGGCTAGATAATGAGCACCGCTACAGGAGACCCACTCAACATTTGCTAGTTAAATTTTTGTGGGAATCGGTTATGTTTTGACTGAGCTACACCCTCGAGAGTGAGCATGAGTGCTTCTGACACACCCCCGTGAACAACTGTTACTGTAACAACTCTCGGAGAACTTTATCAAGCGATTTAGAATGTAATTATCGACGAGATCCCTTCAAATACAAGTTTTCCTCGAAAAGAAGGAGAAATTTGATTACGAAACTAAAGTAATTGTTTAAAGAAGTTGAGTCAAGGGAAATCAAGTCAAGGAAGTTGCTTTTCAGCTTTTCAGCTTTAGATGTCAAGATTTTTTAGTTCTAAATGAACAATTTAAAGACTGATCCACTAGAAAAATCCACTAGAAAAACGAAGAAAAAAAAAACAAAAGAAAAGTAAAAGAATGGAATGAAAATATGTGGAGAAAGGGTGGCTTTGACTGAGGAGAAAGGGGAAGAGGATTGCTGCCATGGAGACGCCGCTGTTTTCCTCTATTTCTTCACTCCTCTCGCCGAAAGCCATGGTGAGCTTTTCATCTCAAGGGATTGTCAAATAATTGTGTCACCGTACTGTCCAATTGATGGCGGACTTCAAAAATCAGTCTTCCGCACTCTTTTTGATAAAAATAATACCGAACAGAAATCACAAATAGCCTACCAATTTTTTTTTTGTATTTTTACAGCTGTTAACTAAACCAATTCTTTATAGATTTAAGATCTTCAATAAATTAAATAAATTAGCATTTAAAAAAATCAAAAGAAAAAATGATTAAATCGATTACAGCCTTACAGCCGATTACAGATTATTAGGTTGACAACTTAATAATGACGCGTTTATGTAACAAATCATTTATTCCAAAAAACACAAAAGAAGAGCTTTCAATTCGAAAGGTATTCTCCATTAGTATCTATGACTTCTTCCCATCTTCTGCGCAAATCCCGGATCCCATCCTCGAAGAACTTGGGAGTTTTTGAGGCGAAGTAGTCATTCACTGCTTTTATGACCTGAGCATGATCATCGAACTTTTCTCCCTCCAAAAAAGTGCTTCAGCGACCGAAACAAAAAGTAATCTGAAGGAGCCAAGTCGGGAGAGTAAGGTGCGTGGGGCAGTACTTTCCAGCCAAGTTCCTCGATTTTCTTATAAGCGATCTTTGCAGTGTAAGGTTTTGCGTTGTCGTGTAAAAATCTGACTCTCTCCGGTTTGAGCCCCAATTTCTTCAAAGGCTCGTTAACTCTCATTAATTGCTTCGAATAAAGATCAGCATCGACGGTTTGGCCAGGTTTCAGCACTTCATAATGCACCAATCCCTTGAAGTTCCACCAGCAACAGAGCATTATCTTCTTCCCATGGATATCAGGTTTGGGAGTGGTTTGCGGGGTCTGCCCAGTAGATAGCCATTGATTTTTGCGTTTAACGTTCTCGTAGTTGATCCACGTTTCGTCAGAAGTCAAAACCCTGTGAAAAAAACTCGTTTGATTTACATTTTTGTAGCAAAATTGAGGCGACATTGTTGCTTTGGGTCAGTTCGTGAGGAACCCATTTTCCAACTCGATTCTTTTTCCCAAGTTTGTGTAAATAGTTTTCGATTGTCGTATGGGATACTTCAAATATTTCTGCCAACTCACGAATGGTGAGTGTTGGGCAATCTTCAATTAAGGCGAGCAAGTCATCGTCGACCACTTCTGGAGGATGTCCTTGGTGTGGCTCGCCTACGAGGCTTTCATCGCCGCCTTGGAATCTTTGAAACCATCGTTGACATTGCCGAATGTCTTTCCTCTCCAAAAACAGTGATGATCGTGCGAAGAGATTCAGCTGGTGATTTTCCTTGTTTAAAATCGTAGAACAATGCAACTCGAATACGGGATTTTTTGTCCTCCATTTTTTGCCAAAAAGCGAATGATGAAATTTGGAGCACTAAATGTTATTTATGCAGACATCTTTTACTTTGTATATATGCAAAAAAAGAGGGAAGAAACGGCGCTTGAAATTACAAAAAAACATGTTAAGTAGTGACGCGTCATTATTAAGTTGCCAACCTAATAAATCGATTACAGCTTAAGCCTAAGCCTTACAGCGGCGTTGCATAAAGTTGATGAAAGTGTCTAGCGTGGATTGGAGGATTTCCCTTGACTAGAACATTCAAATTTCTCCTGTGCATTGTGCGTTTTAAACCCTCTTCTTTCAATTGATCGGCAGACATCTAAATTAATTAATTGGGTAGGTTAGCGCACGTATTTTTGCGCACAAGTCTTTTGCGCAATGTCATTGGCTAAAATTTGCATTTTAGTCGTTGATGGACCCCCGACCTCTAGGATACGCACTCGGATCGGGGGTCCAACTGTCCGTGGTCCAACTGTCCGTGGTCCGACATCGGTTTCACTTACTGACGCATAAGACCTCCCCGCAAGATCACGGCAGGTTTTCTGAAACCCCGCCCCTTCACGTCAAGCGAGTCGGCACTTGCCAGCGGCATTGCCACTGGCAAACCCCGCCCCTTCACTTCAAGCGAGTCGGCACTTGCCAGCGGCATTGCCACTGGCAAACCCCGCCCCTTCACTTCAAGCGAGTCGGCACTTGCCAGCGGCATTGCCACTGGCAAACCCCGCCCCTTCACTTCAAGCGAGTCGGCACTTGCCAGCGGCATTGCCACTGGCAAACCACGCCCCCTCACCTCAGAAGCTTTAAAATGGTCGACATGCCGAAACAAAATCATTTGAAATGAAAAAAATTCAAGCTTTTGCATGGCTTAATTAGAATGTAACCATTATTTTGCATGTTGCCAGCATTAATTTAGTCTTTTTCACCATCAATTCATATCTTCTTCATCAACCACGGGATGTCTGCTTGGACTTGCCACGGCTTCCAACCACTTTTCGCGCATCCGGACCTGAATCGCCCTCAGAAGGGAATGCTTGGAGAAGTCCTGAAAGACCAAAGACCTGAAAGAACCGGTTTGTTTCTGGTTTTGCTTCCAGCGCCTCACCTTTGCAATGGACTGTGTCGAGTCAAAGACTTTTTCTATCTTTACTTTTTCGATCTACCCACACCCAACCGAGCCAATGATTGTCCAGGTCTTTGTTTCTATATTTTATGACTTATAACAATCTTTTTCTTAAGGTTTTGGGACCGCTTCCAAAAAAGGAGTTTGCCGGAGACGTGTAGCTTGCCATGGACAACGACTGGCGTGTCGTTGTCCATGGACACACCAGTCGTTGTCCATGGCGAGCCACACGGACAATGGTCAATGAGAATTGCGCCTCGAGGTTCAACAATTCAACAACTCAACAAGTGACCCTGGTGAAATCAAGAAATTTGAAGTCCATGCAAAGCATTTTGCAAGAGAGAAGGCCATCCCACGCACAATTGAGCTCAGTATTTCGGCTGCGCTGCTCCGCGAGCCAAAGCCAAAGCTCCGTGATAGAACCTAAAGTTTTGTCCTTCGCTACACGTGCTCTTTTGATTGTTGGCGATGAAATAAAAGCTTTAATCTAAAGGTTGAATAGAAATTTCCGAGGATCAATCCGTGAATTTGGTATCGAAAGAGACAAAGAGGGAATTGATTGGATAAAAAATAGACAAGATTACGGTAGATTAAGTCTAAACTAGTCTTGTCTAGTAGTGTTGAAGCTGTCTTGTCTAGTGGTCTTGAAGCTATAGACGTAAACGCTACGGTTACGATAATTTGCAAAAGTTAAGTTGAGATGATTTTATGTTTTGGACACTCTAATGTCATTTACTTTCATTCATTGTACTAGAAAGAGTGCGTTTACACTGTGTTGGTGTACTGTGTTGCTGTACTATGTGGCTGTACTATATTGCTGTACTATGTGGCTGTACTATGTGGCTGTACTATATTGCTGTACTATGTGGCTGTACTATGTGGCTGTACTATATTGCTGTACTATGTGGCTGTACTATGTGGCTGTACTATATTGCTGTACTATGTGGCTGTACTATATTGCTGTACTATGTGGCTGTACTATGTTGCTATACTATATTGCTGTACTATGTGGCTGTACTATATTGCTGTACTATATTGCTGTACTATATTGCTGTACTATGTGGCTGTACTATATTGCTGTACTATATTGCTGTACTATATTGCTGTACTATGTGGCTGTACTATGTGGCTGTACTATATTGCTGTACTATGTGGCTGTACTATGTGGCTGTACTATATTGCTGTACTATGTGGCTGTACTATGTGGCTGTACTATATTGCTGTACTATGTGGCTGTACTATATTGCTGTACTATGTGGCTGTACTATGTTGCTATACTATATTGCTGTACTATGTGGCTGTACTATATTGCTGTACTATATTGCTGTACTATATTGCTGTACTATGTGGCTGTACTATATTGCTGTACTATATTGCTGTACTATATTGCTGTACTATGTGGCTGTACTACGTCGCTGTAAACGCGCCCTTTCTAGTACAATGAATTCTTCAATTTCCTTGCGACAATGCTTTGGTATCTCGAGAAAAAGAAGATTCAGTGCACAAGAAAGGGTGAGTTTACAAAATTTGTTCACAGTGTACATCGGTGTTACACAGTGTACATGTACAATGTTCAAAAAGTACACCCAGACAGAGCTATGATGTCAATAAATTGTTTTTGAATCGCTAAAACGCTTAGACATAAGTGGAAAGCTGTTAAAAATGATTTGTTGCTAAAAATGTTGCGAAAAAATCCCTCAAAATCTCCTCATTTCTCACTTATTCCTCTCTGATAACATTTTCGAGTGATTTTTAGAGAAAATTTCTGAGATTTTCATGTAATTCATGAAATTTTCTTTAAAATATTGAATCGTAAACATTTCCCATAGTTTCAGTGCAATCAGTGCAATGATCGTCTCTCTTTTCTGCTCCTTTTCTTCTCCTTTCCCCTTTTTGACTCATGCTAATTGTATTGTTTGTGGTGGTGCGGAGAAACAAATGAGATTAGTGATCCCCGGGAATGGCTGGGGCACATTTAGCGCGATTGGACGTACCCCCTTTTGAGACTTTTGGCCATCTCTGGTCTTACTGTAGCCCAGACACTCGTTCTTGCCTGGCTTGTTGGCTTGTTGATTTCAAAATTTAACCATTTCAGCTTATTTCAACCATTTTAACCTTTATATCTTATAAGCCATTATATCTTATAATCAGCCATTTCAGCTTATTTCTTAGGCCAGCCAGCTTTCAGCCATTCAGCCATTCAGCCAGTCAGCTTTCAGCCAGCCAGCTTTCAGCCATTCAGCCATTCAGCCATTCAGCCAGTCAGCCATTCAGCCATTCAGCCATTCAGCCAGTCAGCCATTCAGCTTTCAGCCAGCCAGCTTTCAGCCATTCAGCCATTCAGCCATTCAGCCAGTCAGCCATTCAGCTTTCAGCCAGCCAGCTTTCAGCCATTCAGCCATTCAGCCATTCAGCCAGTCAGCCATTCAGCCATTCAGCCATTCAGCCAGTCAGCCATTCAGCCAGTCAACCATTCAGCCATTCAGCCAGTCAGCCAGTCAGCCATTCAGCCAGTCAACCATTCAGCCATTCAGCCAGTCAACCATTCAGCCATTCAGCCAGTCAGCCAGTCAGCCATTCAGCCAGTCAACCATTCAGCCATTCAGCCAGTCAACCATTCAGCCATTCAGCCAGTCAGCCATTCAGCCATTCAGCCAGTCAGCCAGTCAGCCATTCAGCCAATCAGCTTCTTATAATTATTACCTTCAATACTACAAGGCGTTCTGTTGTTTTTCAATTTAGAACGATGAATTAACGAAAACGATTAACTAAAACATAATCGATCTCTAATCATAATCGATCATTTTCTGATCTCTAATCTCTCTGCATTGTCTGATCTCTGACCTCTACCCGATCTGCTTCCATAAATAAATGCGTAAAAAGTTCCCGGGAATTGAGATTTTGAATGCTATCAATATTTACTATCAATATCCTTAAGGATAGCGCTTAAAATTGAATTCAGTCGATCAAAATTAGAATTTCTTTTCAACAAATAACCCAACATAAATAACATTCAGTTTTTAAAGATCTACATATTTAAATACCGCTTTTTTATTTGAGACAAACCTTGAGTCTCTTGGGGAATGCAGCACACACGTGATCGGGGATCACACACGGGGATCACACACACACAAATGGGGATGCTCTACAGTGAACAACTCGTCACTCGTTCTCGTCGAAGAAACTCGAAGAGACGCGGAAAGCGTTTGAGCAGCAACCGTGGAAATAGATCGCTATCAAGCTCAGCTTTTTGGATGTATGGATATTTGTGAAGCTTCTTGTGAACAATCGACCGAACAGAACCGAAATTTTCTCTTCTCGGGCCATTTGCCGTATCGACCTTCTTGGTTTCTTGGATTTTTTCGGCTCATTTCTTCAATTCGTTTCACAATTGCTGGAGTAGTGGCTATTTTTGGCCGAACGTGGACGATCGTTTGCCAAACCGGTAAGCTTGATCCTCTTCAAGCAATCGTAAACGGTGCTCTTTGAATGGCAGAATTTCTTCTCGGACAGCTCACCGACTCGGACAGCTCACCGGCAATTGCAACGGCAAATCGTGTTGATTGCTAAAGGTACTCCGGACTTCGATAGACGCTCAATGGCTGGTCGGAGATTTAAATAGATCTAAATAGCCATCTAAATAGCCATCTAAATAGATCTAAATAGATTCAAATAGATCTAAATGGATTTAAATACCGTAAATACTGTAATAGTACCTCACCCCTCTCGTACAGTCGCGTAGTCGCAAAAGTTTTTTAGTATTTCATTTTTTGCAAAGCACCCGTACTTTCAAAAAATGCGTTTTTGGTATCAAAAAATAGCCCTGAATTTCAGCTATTTTTTGATACCTAAGCGAGCATTGTAGCATAAACCGGTGTCGAGAAAAACTCGTTCAAAACTAGACCAAGCAACACTCCGCACCGTCATTATGGGGGTGGGGTACTATTACAGTATTTACGGTAGATTCAAATAGATCTAAATAGATTTAAATAGATCTAAATAAACCAAAATAACCATTTAAATAAGTATTTTACAAAAGAAAATCAAATAAAAGGTAAAAACAAAAGAATTACTCAAAAAAATCAAATCTGGTCATCAAAGCTTGCGCGATTGGATTCCGGGAAATTTTTCCGCATTCTGTATAACTTTTTTGCTACAATCGATTTACTGTATCTTCAGAAGGGAGGTAATCACTAAAATCTCTGACCTCACGAGTTGCGCTTTCAAAATTTCGCTATACTATTTGTAAAAAGTAATGATGATAGATACATTTCTTGCCTTGATACCTTGTTTCGATTTTATTGGCTTTCTCTTTCTTCCTTCTCCTTCTTCCTTCTCTTTCTTCCTTCCTTCTTCTCTTTGTTCTTCCTTTCTTTCTTTCTTCCTTTTCTTTCTTCCTTTCTTCTTGGGGAAAGAAGGTGTGCTTAGCTCAGTGGTAGAGCATCTTCTGATCTTCTGCCGGTATGATAGATACATTGATTTTTTGCCTTTCTTCCTTTCTTCCTTCTCTTCTGATCTTCTGCCTTCTGATCTTAAGCAGAAGATCGAGTTGAAGGTCGAGAGTTCAATTCCCCATTTCAATTCCTAATTCGATTCCAAATTCTTTGCCATTCACTTCTTTGCTTTCTTGGCTTCATTACTTCCTTTACTTTATTACTTCCTTTACTTCATTACTTCCTTTACTTCATTACTTCCTTTACTTCATTACTTCCCAATCTTTACCGAATCCAGTAACTTATCTGAAATCAAACTCAGAATACAGAATCATATTTACACAATCATTCGATTCACATTATTTCAATCACTCAAACATTCTCCAAAACAGTTTGTTGTCTTTTCTTTCAATCTTCTGTGGCTCTAAATGCTAATTGTGGTAATCAGTGACAGTAAGAAAGCCCTTAAGTCAAGTGGGGGCTCGATTTCTCGAAGAGGGGTCAAAATATTGTAAGCAGACGGTGAAGTGGGACTGATTGCTCTAAAGATCTTTAGATTTTAGATTCTAAGATTCTAAGATTCTTCCAGATAACTCATTCATCTTTACAGTTTTCAACAAAGCTTTTTTGCTAGGTAAATTCAAATAGATTTAGTTTTTCAAATAGATTTAATTATGGTAATCATCTGGCTTATAATTACGGTAATTTTGAGGCTTTAGAAAGCGGCTTTAGCTTTAGAAAGCGCTTCCAGATTCAGGCTAACGTTTGAGCTTTTAAATACTAATCAGTGCTAATCAATGGTAATCAGTGAGAACTGATTTTAAGCTCCAAATCTTTAGATACTCTTTATTTACATATCTTTAGATATATATATGTTGTGTCCGATTTAGATTTCCGTCCGATTTAGATTCAATCTAAATCGGACGTCCGATTTAGATTGAACTTATCGCGGACGTCCGATTTAGATTACAGTCGATATCGGACGTCCGATACAGATCGAACAATAATAAACGTGCTTAATATATGTTCTTAAGCGTTTTTTTTTTGCAATTTTCTGCGCTTTTCAAAGAAATTTTCAAAGAACATATGTTAAGCACGTTTATTATTGTTCGATCTGTATCGGACGTCCGATATAGACTGTAATCAATAAAAGACCTTTGAAAAATGCAGAAAACTACAGAAAACGCTTAAGAACATATATTAAGCATGTTTATATTATTGTTCAATCCATATAAGATTTAGATTGAATCTAAATCGGACGTCCGATATAGACTGTAATCTAAATCGGACGTCCGCGATAAGTTCAATCTAAATCGGACGTCCGATTTAGATTGAATCTAAATCGGACACAACATATATATATGTAAAATAATGATCATTTAGATCTTTTGGGCTGGTGATTGGGCTGGTGAATTGAAAACTGCGGGACTTTGAACTAAAATTTATTCAACATAAAACCCATCTCCTGTCACGATTCGAGAAAGAAAAGATTTCCTTTTGTATTGTGAGAGATAGACGGCACTGATCGAGGCGCTTTGCCACTTCTGGGGGCTATTGTACACCCAGTACACCAGTACAGTAGCATTTGCTTCCTATCCAGCAACTCCCAGTACACCACTCCCTCCATATCCTCCATATTGACGACTTCTGCTCATTTTACAGGCAATTTGCGGTTTCCTCTTTCGCGGTAGGGTTTTGGTTTGTGTGTGAGACAAGTGTGAGACTCAAAAATGGAGGACTGGAGACTCAAAAATAGAGGGATGTCCCAGTTTGAGCACTTTCTTAAAAAAAAACCCATTTTGATGTCAATAGAAAAGTTGTAGAGAATCAAAAATTAGGCTTATAGCCAAATTTCCAAAAAGATACACTTAGTAGTTTCGCTTAAAATGTTTTGTGAAATGCAAGTTTTGTGAAAATTCGTAAATTTGGCATTTCTTGAAAACCAGTTTTTGAATCGTTCTGAAAATTTGGATATAAGCTTGATTTTTGATTCTCTACAACTTTTCCATTGGCACCAAAATGGGTTTCTTTTGAAGAAAGTGCTCAAACTGTCACATATGACAATAGCCCGCAGTTTTCAATTCACCGACCTAATATATCGGACGTCCGATATAGAGGGTGCTCAAAAGAAAACCTTTTCAAGCCGGAATTTCTCAGAATTTCTGGCGGGTAATGGTGGTCGATGAAAAATGCCCGTACAGTAAGGCAGACAGAAAGACAGACAGATACCGTAACCCCCCCCCCTCCCCTCCCCTCCTTTTCCATCATTTCATTTGTGAAAATTCGTAAATTTGGCATTTCTTGAAAACGAGTCTTTGAATCGTTCTGAAAATTTGGCTATAAGCCTAATTTTTGATTCTCTACAACTTTTCCATTGACACCAAAATGGGTTTCTTTTGAAGAAAGTGCTCAAACTGTCACATACAACAATAGCCCGCAGTTTTCAATTCACCAACCCAATATATAAAAGACTGATCATTTAGATCTTTTAGAATCTTTAGATCTTAAACAGTCTCCTTTAGAAGGTCTGCTTTTAAACGTCGAATCGATTCCGCCAAAATGGATTATGGTGGCTATTTCGGTGGAGCGCAAATCTCTTCGTCAACTGTCGCCTCGTCGACTGAGGGATCACCGGTACCGAATCCGTTTCAGGTCAGTCGTTGAAGATATGTAAACTTGTTGTAAACTAGTTGTAAATTTAGAGAGAACCAAATTGAGAGAGACAATGAGCCAAATTCAGAGAGATAAGGAACCAAATTTAGAGATTAGGAGCCAAATTTAGAGAGCTAATGAACCAAATTTGTCTTCTAGCTTTGATAATCTAATATAAAAGCTAAACCTAAACCGTATCCAATTTTCTCAACTACCATAATCTTGGCTCTATTTCTATTCTATTCAATTCATCGACTTTCTAGTCTATTTTTTGAGAGTTGCAAAGAATACAAAGAGAAATTGAAGAGAATACAAAGAATACAAAGAATATAAAGAATATAAAGAATACAAAGACCGAAATAGAGAAATTGAATAAAATTGAGACCGTAATCGAGAAAGAATACACGTTTTTGAAAAAACAAAACTCGATAAGAATACTCTTTAACAAGGGAACGTTCAAGTCTTTTTTTTTCTTTTTGAACTCATAAGTTTTTTCCTTTAGCTCTATTACTTGGCCTGTTAAATGTAAGCCCGGTTCTCTTGGAAAAACTAGCACTTTAAAACTTTTAAAGCAGAAAGCAAACACTTTAGAAACTCTAAAAAATGTTTTGCAAAAGTTTTCCAAAAAAACCAGGCGGAGAGAGGAATCGAACCTGGGAGCAAGCCTTGCAATAGTTTCCTAGCCCAACGCCCTATCCCCTAGACCACCGTTGCTTTCTATCCAGCCGCGTGGCATCCTTTTATAGGTGAGTTTGCCAAAAATCACCGGCACTTTGCTTTTCTCGAAGTGATCCTGGGGAAAAAATAAAGCATCGGATTTCCGATAGGCGTTTGCATCTGATCGCCGTTTAAAAGTCTTACAGCTTCTTTGGGAAAGTTCCCTCTGTTCCTCTGTAAGTTCTGTAAGAAATCTTGTGCCAAATCTATTGCAATCAAGCAATCAAAGCTCGAAATTCGATTTTCCCAGATGACAGCCGCGAATCTGAACTTTGCCGCCTCACAAAGTGGCTACTCGACTCATCAATCACATTTGTATGGTCAATACACGAATCCGTACACATTAGCCACTGGACGGTGAGATTTAATTACGATAAAGAAACAGAAAAAGAAGATCAAACTCGAAGAAGATCTAACTCTAACTCTAACTCTAACTCCAGCTCTAACTCTGACTTATCTAAATGATATCATTTGATCTACTATCATTTAAATGGCATCATCTAATCTCTAACATCATCAGCTAATCATCTAATCCCCAGCAATCTTTTATCTTCAGCTCCCTTCCCTCTCAATCAAGTGGAGTCTATCGACAGTCCACCGAGCAACTCCAAGCGTTTTTCAACAGCGGTAAGCGGAAAAGGATAATCATTTGGATACAAGTCTGGTAAAGCCTTTAAAACCTCCCTAACTAACTTCTCCAGTCTTAAATCTAACACAAACTTGCTATCATTACAAACGTTTATAAGAATCTTCATCGTTCGCTAGAAGGGTGATTTTGACAAAAAAAAAACTGGATGACTGCAAAGCTAAAGTAGTGCGTCGCCTAAATTCCTCGAAATCTCGATAACCGCTTATCAGAACCTATCGATATGAGGTTGAAAAATGTAGCTAACAATGAGATCTTGCCAATGATTAGAGTCTTGAGCTTCTGCAAAAGCTTGGAAACCATAAAATCGTCATCAACATCAACTCGACTCGCACTATTAGAGAAAACTCATCTTTTCAGGTCTCCAATATCAACTCTACGGGAAAACGGTTTCCGAGGGTTTACGGGGCGGTGTTTTGCCGGGGATTCCCGGGTCAAGTCTGGTCGGTGAGTTCTTTCAAGTAATCCTTGAATCAAATCATAACGCTAACAACTTTTCGATGATAACACGATTCCATCTATTAGGCTATTCAGGAAGTCTTTCTTGGTTATTTGCCAAACTTTTTGTGCTCCTAGATATTTATGCAAATTTTGCAGGTGCCCTCTGCGGTGGCGGCAATCCGAACGAACGTCGAAAGCAGCGCCGCATTCGTACCACGTTCACGAGTGCACAATTGAAAGTTGGTGCTGATTATTTGTTAACATCAACAATGCTACAGTTAAGACGCTCAACTAGATATTTCATAGTAGATAAAAGTGTAAAATTTCAGATTTCAGAACATTTAATGCATTAGCGATTCCCATTGAGCTTACAGAGAAAGGCAAGCTTATTGGTGCAAGAAAAAATTCTTATCAGGAACTCGAAAGGGCTTTCATGGAGACACACTATCCAGATATTTACACACGAGAGGATATCGCAATGAGGATCGATCTCACCGAGGCTCGGGTTCAGGTTGGGAACTAGAAATGTATTGATACATGTAATGGCCTAATGGCCTTCGGTTTAAAAGTAACACTGTCAATTTTCCTAAATTCTAGGTTTGGTTTCAAAATCGACGAGCCAAGTGGCGTAAACAAGAGAAACTCCGAAAGGCAAAGGTTGGCCTGAAGTTTAAATACCTTTTCCAGTACAAGATAATTTTTGATTGGCAATCTGCAAGCTCCAAAGATAGTAATATCCATTTGAAAACATTTTCTTTCCGAGTTCATCAATTTCAGGATGAAAACCCAACAGACACCCTTGTCGATTCGAGTCAAAATGATCCAATCGAGAAGGAATTGATCATCACCGCTGACATGATTTAAATAGTGTCGCTTTACCTTTTCTCCTCTAGTCTTGATTCGATATCTAATCAAAATTTTGCGCTAACATGTTTAAATGCATTTTAACCAAACCCTTGCCTCATTTTTCTTTGAATTGCTCCACCATTTCTTGTTTATACAAATCTGTAAAACCATTATATTGACGTGTCATCAACTAATTGTAACAATAAAACAACGAGAGACAAAAACTACAGAGATATAATTTAATCAAAAAGGGGTCTTTGAATAATAGTCAATTCGATCATCAACACCGAAAAGAAAATGGGTGAACAACCTAGAGAAAATCCTTTTTCGAATAAGAATGAGATACAACAGAAAACATTTGTGCCCGCGAACAAATAGAGACGGAAAAATGAATAATTCAACAAATTATGAAGTAGGAAATTGGATGAGGAAACAAATTATCAATCAGCAAACGTAAATAAAGAAATAACTTACGATCTGTTCGTTTAGAAAGCAAAACGTGTTCGAATATCCTCAAGTTTCTTCAGTAGCTAAAATTAAAGTTTATTAGATATGCTTAAGTTGAAAATCACCTCATTTGGTTTCTTTCCCAACTCCGCAGCCACCGTTTTTTGTTTAGTAGCATCCATCAATGAGAATTGTTCACAAAGATCACCATCAATTACAGACTAAATGAGAAACAAATAGTAATGCAATAAATAGTAACAAATTTGACGTACCTTGCATGGATGATAGTATGAACGGAAAGCTAGGTGGTCACGGCCGCAAAGTGGCGGGAATTCAACACGCATGTGCATTTCAAGATTTTGCAGGAGATCGTGTTCCTAGAAATATGGATTATTTTTAAAAAAATAAGGTATGTATTTAAACAACTACCGTAAATACTGTAATTGGACCCCACCCCTCTAATAGTACCCCACCCCCACCTAACGCGTAATTACAAACAACTCTTTTAAAGCGGAAAATTTTCATGTATTTTCAGAAATCGTTTGTATTTTTAATTTTATCCCATAAATTTGTTGTTTTTAAATTTGGGGTGGCTACTTTGCGCCAAATTTTTTGCGCAGCTCGCCATAACTTTCTTCTAAGTGGGCCAATCTTTATGATTGTAAATCTCAACAAGTGCAACAAAGTAACACCAAAATCATAAAGATTGGCCCACTTAGAAGACTTGAACCACTTAGAAGTCACTTGAACTCGGAGGGGATTGATATCGGTTTGGCTGAATGGATACGAGATAGTCGAGCCGAGAAGAAACGAGTGACACGCCGGATTATCTGGAATGAAGCGGCTAATCGATTCAAAAAAGCTGAAATTTCTTTCAAAAGAACCCATGGCTGAATGGAGTCGTTCTTGAGGCGTCACCAACTTTCTTTGAGGGCACCAACAACAACTTGTCAAAAGCTGCCGAGCAAATTTGAGAAGGCCATCGTCGAGCACATTCTGAGGCTGAACAAGACAATCAAAGAAGGCGATTACAAGCACATTGTTGCTTGCGATGAGACGGCGGTTTGGCTGGATGCTTCGACGAGCAAGTGCATGGAAGCGGTTGGAGCCAAAGAAGTTGGTGTTAGAGATCAGAGATGGAAATCAAGGACCTCGGAGCCGCTCGCATCGACGGGATTTCAAGGACATCGAGGAATTGATGATCAAGAAAATGATGAATTCATTGATTCGGATGTTTCTATTGATTTCGCTTGTTAGTTGTTTTTGTTTCGTTTTGCTGTTAAATTTTCAAATGGTTAAAACCAATAAAAACTAAAGAAAAAGTTTGCTCTTGAAAAAATTATTTGAATGTATCCTGATTTGGTAACTTCAACAGTGGTGTAAAATAGTGCCCCACCCTCTAATAGTACCCCACCCTAGAGGGGGAGGGAAAAATAGTACCCCATGGGGTCCAATTACAGTATTTACGGTAGGTAGCTCAACTTTTTCAAATGAGCATCATTTAAGAGGCGAAAGTTCCCTTAAGTCTTAAAACCATTGTTTGAGTATTAAGGATTTAGCTATAAAATTAATTTTTTTTGATTTCTTCCACTAGCAAAACCAGAAACCCAACCTCGCGACTCATGAATGGAACAAGCATTCCAATTTGCCCGCCAATTGTGGAGTAGACGAGCGCTTCACCGGCTCCCGGCACCAGGGACGTTTTTTGCAACGTAGTGATCAAGTCTCCAACGTAGAATACTGCTTGCAAATCGGCCTAAACAAAGACATTTCGTTCAATCCTTAAGTACACCAAAATTTACCTTTTGACTTGCTCCATTCAAATATCCCCTTTCCCAAAGAGCTCTTGTTCCAAGTGGATCCTCATGCACATCCTCATTGACTCGCTGTGGCAGACGAAGCTAAAAAATGATCAGAATAAATTACATTGGAATCGTAAATTTGACAAATTGTAATCAATTTATCGTAGTAAGCTAAGTCGTAATTTTTGCTAAAGTTCCGTAATAAGCACCAAAAATTGGCCTAATGAATATTTATTCTGATTAGGTTTGTGTGTTCGAAAAAGTCCCATGACGTAGCGGAGATAAAATTGAGGTCGTGCATTCCTAATTAGGTGGATAGACTTACTTGATTGCACTATATACAATTTTATCTTGTAAACAAATTTTCTTAAAGTCAGGAGTTTCAGAAAACTGAATGGCTTTTGAGGGCAGTGGTTCACAGATCAATTTTTTAAAAAGCCATTTATATTTTTGTTTACAGCGGCTCAATACACTCTTAGGTATAAAATCCACGTTTAGATTCAACTGCTCTCTTCGATAAGATTAAAACTCAAACTACTTTTCTCTCTTTCCAAATCATTAGCGCTAGAAAGGGGCTTGACTTCTCCGATAAAGGAGAGGAGGTCGAAGCTCATTCCTTAGATACACACACACTTTGTCGAGAGCGACAGCATAGAAGAAATCCGATTCCGGGGCGCGCGCGTTGCATCCGCTCACCGCTTAAGCCGTCTCAAATTCGGATCCAATCTTTTCCCTTCTTTTTTGCCGTCTCGCGCTTTCTGACACTAACCACACCCCTACTTCAAAAAAGGAGTAGCGAAAAGAAAACATGAAATCTAATCTCAAATTTGGCATTGCTCTTTTCCAATGCTCGTTGATGAAGAGCATAGAATGCAACTATTAAACTTTTTTTTCCCACCTACATTTACCTAAATCTCTTTGTGTAAAAATATCCAAGGAATCGGGCGTCCTTATTTCGACCCAACAATGAAACCTTTTTCGTCTCTCCCTTTTTCTCCTACATATCCCTAAAGTACCACCAGAGACCACAAATTGCTTCCGTCTTTGAAGAGTATTCACCCTTCCCAAGTTCATGGAGCGTCCCAGCTATTTTACATTCGCAAATGCGCCCAAGCGCAATTCGGCATCGCTATTTTTATGATATCCCCCCCCCCCCCCCCCAAATGGTCGTTATGTTCAGATCTCTAAAAGTTCTCGATTGTCTAAATGTTTTGATGACGCATTTGAAATACACTAGCTATGGCTTCCCCAAAAAAAACGACTCCTTGAGTTTTCGTCCCTGAAAGACTCGAGCAATTTTTGGATTACCAAAACATCAAAATAGACGTTCTGTCGGATTTTCTAACGTTTTGTCTCAATTTTTTACTTGTTTTTTTTTCTTTCTTTCTTTCCAGAAACGCTTAATTAACCTCGTTGAATCGGGCTATTCCCAGGAAAAGAAATGAAAGCAAATTTTCCCATACAAATTGCCTTGATTTCGTCTATTCATCAACGCCGATGAATAACCTGCTCTCTGGTGTTGATTTCTTTACATAAAAACTTTTAATTTTTGAGCTTTGAAGCGAAATTACATTGCTGGGAAACTCTAGCCTTTTTTGCCTTTCAAAGCTTGCGAACAGCTCATAGGGCAAATTGGAGAAGCCATTAACGCTCCCCGCTCATGTATTATTCCAGCCCATTGCTGCTGAAACCCTTCGAAGATATTCCTTTGACTTTTTCTTCTAGAGGGGAAAACTATTCTACGAATGTTTCATCATCTGAAAAAAAAAGTCGCAATGATTTCTATCAAATCCTAATTGAATTAGAAAAAGAGCGAGCAAGAAAGGAAATCATTTTTTTGGGGCCGGGGGGGGGCTGGGGTGAGTTTTGGGGAGTGGCCACACAAAAAATCCCCTAGAGACCTCTGGGACCGGCGGAGGCTCTCCGGGGTTCCCCAATATCTCGAGGCGTCTCCCCTTCTTTCTTTCGGCCGACATCCGGGCCAATCTACCCCTCTCCTATTCTTGGCATAAGCCAAAAAGCTCCACACTTTGGTTTGGCTGTCACCTTTGTTGCTGTGTGGAAAGGCACTTGAACGAGGAAGAAAAGGAGCCAGCCAGTCGAAGACACCCAACTGCCAATAGGCTTTACCCACTTTTAATGTGAATTTATGTTCTATCCGTTTCCCACGCTGATCAAAATACTTTTTCGCTCGGTTGCTAAGCGTTTCCTAGCATTTTGCTCTCCTCTCAAAAAGCAATGTGTGTAGCGAGGAAAAACTTGCGAATAAAAGCCATCTTTGCTTAGCGACAAGGTGTTTCTTCCCTGATTCGATAGCATCATATTTTATTGCCTACATAGTTGCAATTGATTCTCTAATCCGTTTCCATTGTTCCTCCTATTTATGGGTCGTTGGTGTCAGATTAACATTGAACTTCCGTGATTTGTGAAGTTCATAATCTGATTTCTAATTTCAATCACCAATGGCTCTACCATTTCCTAATTCTTTCCTTTTCTTCTAGAAAGTAGCAAAATTTTGCCAATTTCTAGATTCTCTCCTCTAAAAGTCTTATACGTATATGAGCCAAGATATCGAATATCAATGAGGCATGCTAGTTAGTCAATTTTTGCTCTATGCCTCATTTCTCTTTCTCATCGGAACTTCAAAATATGCCTTCATCGGGTTGTTTTTCACAAAGTATTGATTCGGGAAGCCATATCCCACATGTTCCCATGTTTTCATCAAAACTTTGTTTAAAATCATCATCCGACTTTCAATGAGGTCAGAAAGTTTTCTCCTTTTCAAATCATCACCCAGGTTTACTAGTAAAAATGTGTTGATCAAAATAGAATGTTTTTCTGTTGGCCTGGCGTGGTATTGAGCTGTGTACACTCATGTATGCAAACAAGATTTGACTATGAGTGCGAGGGGTCTACATAAAGCGCCGAAACGGAAAAAAGGTTCTTGTCTATCCAACCTTTCATGGTTTCAATTGTCTTTTGTTTTCAATTACATTTAAAAATCACTTACGATGGCAATACTTCCAAATTTGTCTCCAATGGCCACAGATTGATAGTCGAGCATCGTCAATGATGTTACATATCTCGGTGTTGTGTCATCGCAGAAGACCACCAGTTGATTATCCTAAAAATATAACGATTTTCAAAAGAAAACTTTTTAAATTTTAAAATCATTTTGTCAGCACTTTTCATTTTACTTCAACATGATTTATGTTTTCCCATTTTGAAACTCTTACAAAACTCCCGGAACAACTTTTATAAAACCTATCAATAATTTTTATCCCAAAAATCCCCAAGTTTCCGCACTTTTTGATGCCGAACCTTCATTACCTACTAATTTTCGGTGCGCCAAAAAGCGTAAAAATAGACCCAAACCCATTATTAGTAATGAAAAAGCGGCGTTGCCGAGTAGCAAATCAGTTTACAAAAGGCTGCCACTGTCCCCTCGCAAAACACTCATAAAATTTTTGGGTCTTGGAACAGTTTTATCAGCTATTTTGCGTTCGTCCTTGCATGGCATGCGCAAAACAGTCACAAGTGCTCACAAGAATTTCTGTTATTCCATCCCCAGTGTATAAATTTTAAATGCAACTAATAGGATTTGTGTGTGGAAAATTGAAGAGACAACCCTCGGTACGGGGAAAGGGGGAAGACGGGGCTGTGATGAAGGATTATAAATGAGTGCGAGAAAAGAGTAGCTTCTCCTCCTCAGAAGGGACTCCCCTCACCCCCACACGGCGAAGAGGGCATAGGTATTGGCTTCCGCTGTGTCTCCTCCACCCCTCACTCCGCCATTTGCCCCTTGCCTTGAGCGGCAGGAAAAAGCTGCTGCAAGAGCTTAGATGGTCAATGCTTGCGGAGTCCATTCCCCACATTGTCTCGTTCAAAACATGCTTACCTTGCCCGACACTCATCTCATCCCCATCATCTAACACCAATCATTCATCATCCCCACGTATTCATTAAAGCTGAGGGCCGGGGCATTTACGCTTTTGCCTCTTCTATTGCTTGTATGTCCCCACTAATGAATTTATCCGAGGGAGACCCCAAATGTAAAAAGGCGACGGAGTCCTCATTTTGACAAATATTTTTCATAACCCACTTCTTCCTGCTCTCGATATTTTAATTGAAAGTTAATAAATTTTTCCTAACACTTTTGAATTCCTGAAATCCATCAAGATTCAAGTAATTCAAATCGTCTATGATTTTCTTCATGGCTTTACAAATCTATGCACACTGAGGATTTAATGAATTGAATTTCTTAATTCCATCTCAGGTGTCGCAAACTATTTACTAGGATTTCATATTTCCTTTTCTTCTTCCGGGTTGGGCGACAGTCGTTTTGCAAAGAGTGTCCCTTTCTTTCATTGCTCTTTCAAGGTAGTCTTTTTTGGGAGCAAAAGCGACGGGGGGGAGGAGAGGGGGCAATGGCAGGGGTGGTTATTCAACCTTAAAATGCAATCTGGAAACCCCCAATCAAAAGAAATAACAACTTGCACTTCCTTTTTCCATTTCCATCGAATTGAAAGTATTTACCATTTTTCGAAAAACTTTAACTTTGCAAATGCAATTTATTCCTGTCAGCGTTTTTCATTTGTTTAGCTGTGCAAAGGAGTTTCCTTTTAGAACCTAACACATAAAACCAACATGTCGCGAATCGCTTTTTCCAGAAAATTACATAATTTTCGATCCCCTGTTTTGTTGTCGAGTTAGTCATGGCTTTTCCCAAAAACTTACCCTTCTTTTGTAGCGAATGAAGTGAACGCTCTCTTGAACATCCCACGCCACTATTCTTTGTCCCATCGATGTCATGCCGGCGATCGCGACGGGAAAATGCTAAAAATAGAATCATTAGCCTCAAAAATCAAAGACATTCTATGAATAGTCCTAATTAGAGTGACGTAATTTACAATTTTGATGCAAAAATAGCCACCCAAAAATCTTTCCATATTTTCCCTAGCAGCAAAAAATTGTAGGCATTCCTCCTTCCAAATAGCCACATCTCATTATAAGTAGTGTTTGAATTGACTCTAGAGGGGGCGAGGAGAAAAAAAAACCCATCAGCTATTTTGCGCCCTGCTCTCAATCAACCACCAGTGTGACGGGAAGTACCATCTCTATTCATGTAAAGTATTGATTAATATGACCCATAATTTCTTGTTTTTAAAAACAAGTAATTTTCTCTCGTCAATAATTAGCTATTACAAATGCTCCCCAAAGAAGAAATCGCTAACTTCAAAAAACGAAACATCTGTTTGGATTTCACCTGCAAAACTTTCTCGGTCCACTAAAAGTGGCGCTAGCAAATCATCAATTTTTCCTCTCTTTTCTGAATGTTTAATATATTCGACACTCAAAAAAGAAATTTCTCCCTTTTCTCACATTATCGAATAATGGACGAGTCTCGGGGGTTCCGCTTCTAAATGAAATTAACGCAACTGGCCGGCATTCTCCCCACGGCCGCCATCGGGCCTCAGATGGCCTACAACGAGACGACTAGAGTTTAAATAAACACTCTTCTAGCAAAGTACTTTTTTTTCTCATCAATAATTCTCAATCTCTAATGCAGCCGCGTTTGAATCTTTCTATGAATGAAAATGTTTTTCATTGTTCTCTTCTCCTTACGGCCAATTAGTCGATTTCATCGCGAGAAAGCTCGCCTTTTTCTCGTATAATTTTCAATACACGACAAACAAGTTCAAAAGCTTACTCACCCACGCCCTCCTCTCAAATATCCCCACATCGTCTCCCAAGCAATTATGCTCATTTCTCACATTTTCGCCTCACTCTGCCTAAGCTCAAGCGGCCAATCCACCCTTGGGCAAACAATCGTTTTTAATATTGTGCTACAAGTTTTTGAACTTTCTAAAAATACACGATCAATTCAGGTTTTGACCTTCGATTAGCTGATCACCGCCTGGCCTCAGGATGGATTTCTCTAACCTGAATGAGGCCTCAATTTTGCTAACGAGTACGATAGCAAATGATCAGTATTCCAATGGATCTATTCAATGCTCTTTTTATGAATGGAGCCGAAAAACGAATGCAGCCGGATTCCTAAGAATATTCTCAACAATCTCTGTGCTCACAGTTCTTGTTGTGGTGGTCGTTCTCGGAAACGCTCTCGTTATTGCAGCTGTTTTGCTGCGAAGACGATTGCGATCAGCCACTGGCTTGCTAATCTTATCGCTAGCATTTGCTGATCTATTAGTAAGAAATTTTTCATATTCAAAAGAAAACAAAAGTTTTTAGGTGGGTACCGTGATCCTTCCGTTCAGCATAGCAAATGAGGTGCTCAATGAATATTGGATTTTTGGGCAAACATGGTGTACGATGTGGTTAACAATGGACATTTGGATGTGTACGGCATCCATTTACAATCTTGTTGCGATTTCCATCGATCGATACATCGCTATTATCAAACCGTTGAACTATCCAATGTTGGTGACGAAATTTCGAGCGAGATGTATCGTGGCTTTTGTTTGGATATCTTCTTTTCTAATCTGTTCCCCGTCATTCATGTTGGCTTCGACTGATAAGAAAAACGACGATTGCAAATGCACACCAGCTGATGCGGGAAGAGCTTACATCATATTCAGCGCAAGCAGCAGCTTCTATATTCCCATGATTGTCGTTGTTTTCGTTTACATGAGAATCTATATCGCTGCAAGAGCTGCAACAAAGAGCATCTATAGTGGAATGATGCAAGTAACCCAAAGTGCCAACAAGAATGCCAGAAGTTATTTGATGAGTCATCCCACTGCCATCAATAAAGAGTCCCTACCAATGCTCAGAGTTCATCGCGGGTCGAATGTGACGACTTTTAAGACGTCTGTATGTGATAAAACCAGGTAATAAACCTTTAAAGAGAAAGTTTAACTAAAAAGAAATTTAGAAATGGTGCATCCGGTTCTCCGTGCATGGTGGCGAAAAATCACACTAACTCAAAGGATGGCTTGCCCACTTACGAGCAAACAAAGAACGAATGCACAACACCCGAGAGAAAATCCACAACCGGCTCACAGGGTGCTTTAATGTGTGCAAAGGCGATTCCGGAAAGATCGAGCACCGAGTCCGAGCCAAGTCCCATTGGGTAATCAAAAGTACACAAATGAAAAGTCAAGCTAATTTCTAGGTCGCCGACTAAATGTAGCAAAGGATTGTTGGAATGTGAAGAGGAAGAAGAGCCTAAAAAGCCTACCGGTTGGAAAGCGAAAAACCCCTTGGCACGATTGATGAGAAGAGCGCCAAAGAATAAGGTAAACCCATCTCAATGACCAAAAATATTTCCAAAATTTAGACCGCGGGTGCCTACGAAAAGCGGCTTTCATTGGAGATCAAAGCTGCAAAGACGGTAGCCATTGTCACCGGCTGTTTCATCCTTTGCTGGCTTGGTTTCGCCTTAGTCTACGGTCTCAGCCTGCAAACATCTCGAGTGATGTGGAGTATTCTATTCTGGCTTGGCTACTTAAACTCCGCCCTCAATCCGGTCATCTACACGGTGTTCAATCGAGAGTTTCGAATTTGTTTCAAGCGACTCCTCACTTGTCATCACCTCAACCACACGACCAACAACATAAAAACGGTAATAATTAGGCAGAATATCAAATCAGCTGAACACCTTAAAATTGAAAGGTCATTGCTTAAAAAACCATTTTAGTACACCAACAACACAAATAACAACTCCTACAACAGTGTTGCACGACCGGTCGCTGGAGGACCAAATAGTGTTGTGCGAAATCAACGAAACTCCTCTCCGCCCCATTTATATGCCTACACTGCATCTCCAAATCCCAGTGGTGACGCAAATAAAGATCTCTAGTTCTTCGTAAATTTTCCAATTTTGCTTCATCTCACTTGTTACAGTTATTTATCTAATTGAAACGGTGTCCATTATTATACACGTATCATTCCTTTAATATTCAAACATTCTCATTGCGGGTAGCTAATCGATTTGAAAGACTTAACCGATTCCGTTTTCTAGTCACAATTTTTGCTGCTACTTGGAATAAATTTCTAAACGATTGGCCAGAAAAGGCGGAGGAGGAATGCTTACAAGACACAAACTAAACAGATTACAATTTTTTTTGGGGATTTTTCAACAACTATTTTCAACACTACAACAGCTTTACCTTATTCTCGCATTTCGCCAGAAGTTTCCTCTTTCCAAATTCGTAGATTCGAAGGCGATTGCCGAGTGCAATAAGAGCCATTCCACGGAAGTCATGAACAGCCGTCACAGGCTAGAATTTGATTCATTAAAATTGATTCACCTTTATTAGTCTTTTAGCTCTGCAAAAAAAAGTTTTTACTATTTATACCTCTTCAGTTGGGGTTCGATGAACGAGATCAAATTTGTCGCCAGAGTTGCTCAACAAGAACGTGTAGACGCAACCACCACGGTGTGAGTACGGACGTAATCGCACCTAAAAGCACTCCAGATAGGTCCAGCTATTAAATATGTAGGTATCAATGTCCAAGAGGTAAAGCTTACGCTGATCGCGCATCCGACAAGCACCATGAGAGTGTCGGGTTGAGCATGGAATTGAATCAACGTCATGCTAAAACAAAAGTTCTACAAATAAAGCTTAAATTAGTCACCATTTTGCCGCTTCATCTTGTGGTAGTTCAAAAAATGAGTGAATGTCTCCCGTTTTCGCGTTTAGTAGACGAACAACTGAAGCCCATCTCGCTAAAACGAAAATATTTAGAAATCATAACGCTACATTTTTACTTGGAGCTCCTTTGACCGTTCCAAAAACGCTTTCATCAAGTTTTGTGTTTCGCATTCCTTCGGCAATCTCCCTAGCAAGTTCCAGCTCTTGTTCATCAGTGGCAAGACTTTCAATATCCTAAAGACAACATTTTGGCGGTATATTTTTATTGCTTACATTGGCCATATCGTTTCGTTTCTTGTTCTTCATTTGTTCTGTGTAAGTGGCGTGATCAGTTTCAATCATCATAATTGTGTTCGCTGATGGGTGGACAACCATCCTATAAGCAAGAATTGAGTATACAATAACATCGATAAATATACCGTCGAGGTGTCAATGCAAGTTTGTGAATGACTTCATTGAACGCCCCTCCGAGTTTTTCCACAGCGATAATCCTAAAAACAATAATTAAATCGGATCAGTTTTCCCTGAATTGATCCATTAGCAACGGGTTTCTTTTTTGTTAGAAGGGTATTAGGAACCAACAAAGAGTGCAGCTTTGTCGGCACACGCATCTTCTATTATTTTACGCATAATCACCCTATTTCTAGTGTGAGCAGTCCGTTGCAGCAAACTTTGACTACAACGGCCGCTATATGCGATGCAATATTTGTTGAATCGAATTTTGCTCACCGCAGTGTATTTTCAGTAATAGCAACAACGCCTTCAGCGCACTGTTCACTCGCAAATGAAGAGGCAAATTCCAGCGATGGATAGGAGAGTGGGGTCAAGTGGAACCGATTTTGATAATGATAAAGGAGCCACGATCGGGATGATGTGCAGAGAACCTTAACATAGTTATGAAAAATAGAATGATAAGTTTTCTTACCGCATCTTTGTTTAGCACACGAACACGGAAGAGACGAACAGGTCTAGTGCCAAGGAATCTAAAAGGCAAACTCTTAAAAGTATTCAATAACAAAGCTACCTTGTTCTTGTGTCCATCAAATCACCGGTAACTGAATCAACCGTTGTTCGTAATAGGCATCCGTTCTAAATTTAAAATTAAGGATCAAATGGTTTAAAAACCTGCAAGCCAATATTAAGGTGAATTGTGCTAACACCCTTTCCATCTTCACTCGATGATTCCAATAAAAGAAGAGACTCAGGTGGTGAAGGTAAAGCTTGGAAACTAAAAATTCAGGTAAATAGACACTACAGACACTCCAAAGTACCTCAATGGAGCAAGTGTGTCCGAAGGATCCAAAGATATCACACGAACAGTAGAATCGCTCACTCCGACGGTGAGAAAACGAGAGCGAATCTATAAATGTTAAATAGTTGGTTGCGAAAGTTGTCGTTAACCTCTCCCTCTGGAACTTCGGACATACTCATGCAGAGAATCTCCCCTGGCAATTGACGGCGTTCGGTGAATTCATTCAGTTGTCCAGTCTAAAAAAGCAAAACTTTGAATCAATCAATGAAGAATTCGAATCAAGAATAGTTGATTCAAATGCAAACTCACCATGTCAAGTTCGAAATAAACAATCTCTCCTCCCGACAGCCCGATCGCAACCTGTCGGCGATTCAATGCACACTTCACAATCGTTCTTCTACCGGGCGCCTAAATGATCATCTTGGTCTTAATTGCTTGGACATTTCTTACTCGCCACTCATTCACTCGCCGATCAGATCGAATATGACGAATGCCGTCTGGATACACCTAGAAATTCAACAATAAGCTGCCAAAATATTTTTAAGAACCTGGAGCATGCTGTCATCACCAATCAAAAGCACATCCAATTGTCGGCTGAGTGGCGACAAATCTAAATTTCTTTTAATATTCAAACTTGGCTCGTTACTTACCCAGAATCCGTCGCTTCTTCTACAGTTTCACCGATAGCAAGCACCAGTGTAGCGTTCAAAAAAGATACCACGATGTGCGCATCAAATTTGTCTGAATTTAATGTAGTTGTAAGAAAGATGAAACTTCGAACCATCAACATTGCGCTTCACTGTCCACACAGCATTCGGATTTCCGGGAAGCTCAGAAACGGCCATCTCTGACACTTCGAGACCATTGCGAAGAACTTTCAACTTTGATCCAGCACCACGACCACACATTGCATAGATTTGCGGAGCATCTTCTCGAGCCAGATCGGCAATCTAAAAACATGAGGAAACATTTGTTAACAAGCTAAGTTGAAAATTTCAACTTACATGTGTATTGATTAGTGGACAAAGTGATGGAATCGTATCGACTGGAACAAGATTTTGCAGACTCCGAGGCTAAACATCTTTAAATTAGACAAAAGATTTTAGAAATACCGCAAAGAAGAAAGTGTCTCCCTCTTCCAGTTCCATTCGAGAAGAGTATTCGGGCTCATCGTCATTGTCTCCAAGGTTGGCAATTTGATACAATTGACTAAAGGAACAATTTACAACGAACAAAGTGATGCAACTTACTGATCTCCAAATTCGGCAGCCACAAACAGGAATCCAGTTTTTAAGATGCACATCGCGTTCGCCACAGGAACAGTGTCAAAGTATTTAATCTTCATCTCCGTCACAAGGTCTTCATCGGTTTCCAAAGTGACCTAAAGTGAAAATGAAGTAATGTTTAAATGTTTAGTACACAGAACCCAAATCAATAAAAGCTCTAGCTTGAACCTTAAAAACATCTCCTTGTTCGGATTGCACCAAAAAAGAAGAACAACAATTTGGTCTTGTGAGTGGCCGAACAGACAATCATCAGTGTGCGATCAGCGTCATCAAGGTCGTTCTGAAATACTTTAAGGTAAACTTGAAATTTGTGTTTAAATTGTTGCAACTATGATTAAATTCGTATCCTTCTAATCAACATCCACAACTGACCCTTCTCCTAGGAATTGGACATTTGATATCCGGTTGATCTCCAAGATTTTTGTATACCAAGTAGTTCTCGCAGCAAACAATCACACCCGATGGTCCTTCTTGTCCTCCGGGAACTAAAACAAAAAAATAAAATACAATATTGGAACTTTCCTGTTATACCACCCCAAGAAAACCATTCACCTGGGCCCTCTTTTCTGTTAAACCACCTCATTTACATCAATCTTTGCATGGGGTGGTATAACAGGATAGTACCCAATCATTTAGCGAATCATTTCGTTATTGTAATGCATTTTGGTCAAAACTACCTGCAATTAAATGATTTCCAAGATCAGTCAACGGTTCTGCATACTTCCGCACCACATGATTCAAACCGAGATCCAACTCGTAGAAAGTCAAGTGTTGTTGTGTCTTCTTCAGGTTCTCTCCGGTCGGATCATTATCGATTTCCTACAAAAAATAATAATGACATCATTTTAAAAAGAATCTACCTCATAGTCAAACTCGAGACAGGCAAATGTCGGGTTTTCAAAGCCGACATCAACGCCAACCATTCCCTGGCACAACGTGTAAGTCTTGTGTGCTTCTAAAGGAGAACTGATCGTCAGTCGCGCCTCAACGTCTCGATTCAAGATGTAGACCAACTTTTTGTCGTTCAGCGGCACCTAAACACGCCATTCTAATACAAAAATAGTAAGTTAATGTTCAAGTAAAACTTATAATTTTTAGTTTAATCACAATTAGACGATTTAAACTAACCAATCATAATAGCACGGCCTCTCGGATCGGCTGCAAGATATTGTCCGGGCACAACTCGACGACATCCCGTTTTCCCGTAAGTTTCCTAAAATCAGGCAAGTTTAACAAATTTTTGTGTGCTTACAAATGTTAATTGTTGCTTGTTATAAACCGCTAAGCTTATCAAAACATTAACTCACTAGATGAATTCGTTCAAATAAATTCCTTTCTTGTTTGTACTCGAGAATCGCGATTCGTCCAGAATCCGAGCCAACCGCCACGTAATCTAAACAAAAAACATAAGAATCCAATTAATATTGAAAAACCTTTATTAGATCCAGTCAATCTGAATGCGTAAAGACTGCGAATGACTCCAAACACATCTTGTGTGCAAAGTGTCTAAAATTTTTGCATTAAATTAAACGGATTTTTGAACCTGAATCTTTCCCGATTTAGGATCACAAAAAATGAGTTGCAGAGTGGTTCCACGAGCGACGCACACTTCCTAGAGTTAATAAATTAGTGTGTTTGAATGGAAACCTTTAAAATAAAGATGCTAAAATTTAAGTCTTTATTCATTAGATTGTTGCCTCAGAAGGTTTATAAATTTATCAAGTAAGTATTTCATTCCTTAACTGCTTTATTTTTAAATCCAACTTTGAATTAGAAGATCACCAAGTATCCAACCTCATTTTAATCTTCTCAAAAGCCAAAATCAAACCTGTTGTTTAGAAGCACCAGTGAAAGATCCGTGTACAGCTTGATTGATTGACGTTTGTCCTTGTAGAGTCAAGTGGTAAAGATGCATGTTGTCTTCTTTTTTAGCGCTTCACACACGATGAGCAATCGGGCATCTAACGGACACGAGATATATTTCGCTTGGTTAAGAGAGATTTCGCTTAGAGTGTTTGAAAACTCAAGGAAAACTAAATTTGACTTGATTATCAAAGCTGAGCAAAGAAAGAAATCGAAAGCGTTCAGAAAGGGGAGCGGGGAACGCTGGGGCTACTTCACTCGATAATACATGAAGCAAATGTCTGTCTAACTCAAATACTTGAACAAATTCACAAAAAAACTAGATAATAGATAGATACAAAGGAATAGAATCGAGACGAGCCGAGCGCAAAAAAACGGAGCATTGTTGTTTTTCATCGTTTCAAAAACCGCATTTGACGCACCGCAAAAACCGCAAAACGCGAATGGGTATATTCGGATGCCTCCACCAAAAAACTACCCTTTCGACTACCGACTGAGAGTGCGCATGTTGTACGGCTCGGAAAAAGTGCCCGTGATATCTTAAAGGGGTAAAATGATGGGTTATTTGACAACACACATGTTTAATCCAAAGCTTGTAAGCAAAAAAAATTGAAAATCTTGAGTCTTTTCAAGTTTCTAAAGGTTTCCAAATGAAGGAGTTGACTGAATTTCATGAAAAACACGCAAAAACCTCGAGCCATTCAATTTTTCCCTTACAAACCTATCAACCTCAATAAACTCAACTTTAACAACAATAAAAGAAAACTTTAACACAAAAGACTCGTTCGAAAATGAGCACTACAAAAATTTAAATGCTCGAATTTTTGGGGAAATGTGGCGTTTGCGCTCCAAAATGCGACCGTCATTTGTACTGTCGCGTTTTGTCACGCGCATCAAACTACGACTTGGCGCTTGATTTTCGCTTGTCGATAGCCTTATTTGGGTTGAAACATTGCATAACTTTTCGGTAAGTTTTCTTCGCATTAATCTGTTAGACTTGGGGAAAATGAGCTGGAACTTTGGCAGTTTCTTTTAAGAAAAAATTCGCCAGAAAGCTAGCTCGCCAGAATTAGCCTATCAAATGTGATTTGAATTTAATGTTTTTCTATGTTTATATGATGATTTCGGTTCCCCTCATTTCACCTAACGCCATTTTGTCTAAAATCTGTTTCGCCTAACGCCATTTTGTCTAAAACCTGTTTCACCTAGCGCCATTTCGCCTAAAATCTGTTTTGCCTAACGCCATTTTGTCTAAAACCCGTTTTGCCTAACGCCATTTCGCCTAAAACCCGTTTTGCCTAACGCCATTTCGCCTAAAACCCGTTTTGCCTAACGCCATTTCGCCTAAAACCCGTTTTGCCTAACGCCATTTTGTCTAAAACCCGTTTTGCCTAACGCCATTTTGCCATTTCGCCTAAAACCATTATTAAGCAGATCATGCTCCAACTTTGGCACCCAACAAAGTCTTTGTCACCGTTATTTGCATTTCAATAATCCTACTGTAAATACTGTAATAGTACCCCACCCCCATAATGACGGTGCGGAGTGTTGCTTGGTCTAGTTTTGAATGAGTTTTTCTCGACACTGGTGGTTTATGCTACAATGCGCGCGTAGGTATCAAAAAAATAGCTGAAATTCAGGGCTATTTTTTGATACCAAAGACACATTTTTTGAAAGTACGGGTGCTTTGCAAAAAATGAAATACTAAAAAACTTTTGCGCCTACGCGACTGTACGAGGGAGTGGGGTACTATTACAGTATTTACGGTACGTATTTTCTTGTTGAAATTGCTAAAACTTTAGGTTGATTTATGGTTTTTCTTGTGGTTTCTAGGATCTTCTAGGATAATTGTTGGTTATCTCATTGTTATCTTTTGCTTGTTAATTTGTTTACATTCACGGATTTGGTGTTGATAAAGTTTATTTTTATGCTAGTAGTTAAAGAAAAGAAATGTTAGAGAAGTTATGTCTACAAAGCGTACTTAAGTTTTTTACTCGACGACAAGTTGATACGCTTTTTAATCGACGTTCACGTCTTTTGCCAAATCTTTGTAACTTTGCCTTGCTTTGTCGTTAATTTACATTTGCATTTAAAGTTTTAGGCGAAATGGGTTTTAGGCAAAATGGCTTAAGCGTAATGAGCGGTTCCTTAATTTCTACGTTTATTTGGATTTTGCAAGCCTTTTACAGTATTCAATTGAACCAAAAATAATCTGAAAAACCTAGCTTCTATACATATTACTCTTTTTAAAATCTAATCCACGATTACCCAACCTTCTTTCAAATATAACTCTTGTATTGTAAGCTTTTTGGAAAAATTGTTGCAATTTTGAAGATATTCGTGCTTTATTTTTAAAGTATTTAATGAAAACCTCAATTTACAGTATATTCTTCCGAAATGACATCAAATGCCCCATTGGAGTTCGAGGTTGTCCCGGAGATCGGCCTCAAACACTCCACTATTCATTTCATTCTTGGAACTCCACTCAATGATGTGATGGCTCTTCTACAACAGAACTCACGACTCATCCCCAATGTCGACTTTCTTTACTCGAAAAAGGTTTGTTCGTTTTGTTTTGAGCTCAATGTTCGGTTCTATTAGACTCTCTATCAGTCAGCATTGGTTTTAAATTGTTCGTTTTGTTTTGAGCTCAAAGTTCGGTTCTATTAGACTCTCTATCAGTCAGCATTGGTTTTAAATTGGTCGTTTTGTTTTGAGCTCAAAGTTCGGTTCTATTAGACTCTCTATCAGTCAGCATTGCTGTTAAAGTTGAATGCCACCGTACTCCAATTGATTTACTGTGCTGAGCCTGAGCCTGAGCCTGAGCAATTACCGTAAATACTCTAGCCGTTTTAGAAAATTTAAACAAGAAAACTGAGTCACTAGATTAGATTGGTTAGAACAGATTAGTTGGAATTCTTTCAGAATCCATTTTTTGATGACATCCAAATTCGACTCGTCAAATCTGGCATCAATCTCTTTTTTGATGGTCGAACTCAACTTTTGAAGGTTTGAAAGCAAAAAAATTAGCATTACAAACTCAAAATTATTCAGTTGCTCGAAGTGGACGCGTTGAGCTCGATTGTGCTCAAGTACAAGTATGTTTTGAAATTAATATATTTATTTTTTATAAGTTTTGACATTCTTTTGACAGATTTGACAAATTTGACAGATTACGGTGGTTTTTGACAAAAGATAAAGCCTCATTTTAGTGGCAAAATCTTCTCGGAACCCTCGGCTGAAGCGACAATGGAACGTGTTGGCACTTTTTTCGCGAGTACTCATCCAGGAGGTTAGTTCAAGAGGATACCAAGTCAAATGGATACCTGAACTTTTCACTAGATAATTTTTAACTTCTGCTGCTTCAAAAGTTTACCTTTTCAGCGTATGACGAACGACAAAAGATGTATGTCCAATCGTGGCGAGGGCTCTCATTTTGCTTCCCCACAACGAACAGCTCAAATGTCGAGATTACGGTAAGAGTGTCAACTTTTCCACTTATTGTAATCTTTATTTTAGCCCGGTTTCAGTCCCAGTTTACATAGTCTTCGCTACGATGCAAGTTCTCAGCCAAAACTCACAAAAATGAGCATCTTCAAGGGGACAATTGGTGGAAATAAGGAGTGAGTGTAAAGTTAAGCTATAAAAACTAAGACATACTGTAGCTATTCTCTGTGACATACTGTAACTATTCTCTGTGACATACTGTAGCTATTCTCTGTGACATACTGTAGCTATTGTTTGAGACATACTGTAGCTATGCTCTGTGACATACTGTGACGAAAGTAAAGCATACTGTAGCAAAAGCGAACCATACTATAGAGACATTTACTGTAGCTGTTAGACTATGAAAAAACAGTATTCTGCTACGTAAACTTAAAAAGAATGAAAGAAATTTAGTTTTACTTTTCCGTTTCCGTACTGTAAACGATTTTGATAATAAAGAAGTGACAAGAAAAAGTAGATTTCATTTTCTAAAGCTCAACTTTTCAGAGAAGACGAATTGATTGTCCCACTAGCTTCATATTGTGGCCAAAATCGAACAATCCTTGCCGATGTGCTTGTCGATATGGGAAGAGTTGTCGGATGCTCATTCAACTTTTTAACTCAAAGTTTATAAACAAAATTTTATTTCAAAGTTTCAATCAGATGGAGAGGCGGCTCCCGATCGAACCTCGCAAGCCGATTTGGAGTTGATCGAGGTGACAAGAGAGATTCGATTTGGAGACTCTTCAGCGGTAGGGATTATCTAAAAGTTAAGAACTTGAAGACATTTTGTTAGAGGCTTTGACATTTACAGTAAGACTTAGCTTTTCTAGTTCCTTGCCCTACAGTAAGACAGATCTTTTCACACAGTAAGATCTGGTACTCAAATAAAGATACTCAAGTACAGTAAGACCTTGTTACCATCTACTATATATAAAGGGACTTTTGTCTGTCCGTCCGTCTCTCTGCTTATCTGTCTGTCCGTCCGTCTGTCTGCTTGTCTGTCTGTCCGTTTGTCTGTCTGTCTGTCTGTTCGTCTGTCTGTTCGTCTGTCTGTCTGTGCGCGCTGCTCCTCAGCCCCCAGAAGACCTTTTGCGATGATTTTTGCGCCGTTGAATAGAGAATTACATATAGAGAAATACGTAGTTGTTCAACGTGCTTTTGGATTTTTTAAAAAGCACAATTCGAGTTGTCACGCGGAGATCGAACCCGGATTGTATGGGCGATAGACCGGCGCGCTATCCACTGCTCCATGGCGACAAAAGTCGTCCATCCCCAAAACATCCAGAAAAACGGCCGGTAGTATAATAAGACAGTAAGATAAGCAGTAAGACAAGCAGTAAGACAAGCAATAAGCCTCATACTCACAGTACAGTAAGTCCTAAGGCTCGTACATAGAGGCTAGTTACAGTAGGGTCTATTTATCATTTAGCGTAAGTCTTGTCTAAAGCAGTACAGTACCCCATACATAGATAGATAGATAGACAATAGGTAATCTTGTAAACATTAAGTTACTCATATCTATTTCATATTTTTTTCGTAAATTTCAGTCGGTAATGTGTGCGCTTGGCGCTCCGTCGCGTGTTTTCTACAAATCCGAGGACAAAATGATCATTCATCGATCGGTGGGAAAAGATGGACGGAATGAACCAGATTTCTTCTTTAATTACTTCTCGATGGGAGTGGTGAGTTCAATTGTTTCAATTGTTTCTTTAAAGTTAAGATTAAGTTTAAGATTGTACGTTTTTTTTTTGAATCAACAAAGCTTTCCACTGCTCACTAAATTCCCCTAAAAAAACAAAAACAAAAAAAAATCCCCAAATTCAATCCGAAAAATCCCTTGTTGTCCCCAATGGGAATTCTTGATTTTCGCAAATTCTTATGGATGTACCCCATTTGTGAATGTCACTTGTAGATTTTTACTCTTTCACTTCTCTAATCCAATCTGGGAATTTCTTTTGAGAGGTCATTGTGCAAGTGAGAGATCCCTAGAGAGATTCGAAGAAAACAAAGAAAAAGAAGAAGAAAAGCTTTTGAAAGATAATATATTAGTAAAAGTTTTGGAAACAATACTAAAACTGAGAAAATTTGAGAAAAACGAAAGAGAAAGAACTGGTTGTACCAAGAACTGGTTGTACTAAGAGCTGGTTGAACCAAGAACTGGTTGAACTAAGAACTGTTTGAACTGGTTGTACCCTAGAGAAAGAACTTGTTGTACCCTTGGCTTAGCACTAGTTTTATTGTTTGAATCAAGACTCTCAATCTTTTGCACCTTATCATATCGTTAACCAATCACAATTGACCCGGTGCTCCGTCGCGAGTTTTCTACAATTTTGACAACATTTTTACTTTTACTTTTACTTTAAACGAATGGTTTACTTGCACGGCTAAAATACGGATTCGAGCAAAATGAACTAAGATTTGTTCGTTTCATGATTTTGCTGCATCCTGTAATTAGATGCTACTATCACAGTAGACTTTTGTAGTTAAAGGCTATTTAGGGTATAAAAATGTACAAAATGTTATATAAATTTATAGAAATTTATATAAATTTCTATCAAAATCCTTTCAATTTCCACTAGTCCCCTTTTTTTGATTCAACTGAATCAAGGAAAGGAAAAAAAGCACTCAAAAAACCTCTCACAGATCTTTGCAACGAGGAGATCTATTTGTTTACAAACATTCGCAAATTTTTCGGTACTTTTTTGATTCTTAGAGAAGCTCTAATGTACTTTTGATGTTTTCTTTTGATTGTACAAGTTTTACAAGTGTACCAGTGATTGTACAAGTGTACAAGTGATTGTACAAGTGTACAAGATCTCGAGATTCAAAGTACAGTAAGACCTCGTTATCTTAGATGATTTCAATCTAGGATAACTAGATCTTAAAACTTCAAATCTAACTTCAAAACTCCATTCAATAGATTAATTTATCTAATTACAGTACTTAAAGCAGATCTAAAGTACTTAAAATCAAATTTGTTGAATAAAAGTCACAAGTATCGTTCAGAATAACTTCTAAAAAAGCTAGGAAGTTGATTGTAAGAAGTTACAGTAGACTACAGTATACCCATTGAGGTATACTGTAGACTACTGTAGTCTACCGTACTGGGAAAGCTAGAGCTACAGTGATTGACTAGGGTGTGTTCTTTCAGAGTAATCGCTTTCTAAAGCCCGTTCCAAAGGTGTCAGCCACGCTCCCGAATGGCGAAGTGGCTTACGTTCTTGACTCTAAATCGAACAGCGGCAGTTTAGGCAAAAAGTTCGACCCCGGCTCCGGTCAAATTCATTCCCCTTTTTCATTAAAACTTTTGTTTCTTTGCTAGATCGATTCAGAGAGTTTTAGTTAACAATTATCACATTTTTAGCTTTCAAAGAAGTAAAACTGTAATAAAAAGTAAGCAAACTATGAAAAACTGAAAGAAAAACACTTTTAGAATAGCATTACTTGAGATTTACATGAACTCTTGAACTAAACTTGAACTCTTTCACAAGTAAAAGATTACTACGCGGACTTATTCAAGTAATTACTTCGAGAGGAACACACTTTAACGACTGTCCTTACAATAAACGCTAATTCAAGTAATAAGAGTGTTTCTCATCGAAAAATCATTGACTTTCAGAAGAAGAAAAAACATATTTATCCATAGATTAAGGGTGAACTGGGAAGGAGCTCCCGCTAGGTCGGCTCTCTTTTATTTGTCTGGCTGAGTAATGTGAGATTATCCCCTTACCAAATCCGACAGTGCACAAAAGAACAAGAGAACCGGCTATGGGAAAGGGCTTGTATTTCTTTCAAATAAAAGATCGAAGACTCTGTAAAAGACTCTGTAAAAGCGGCACTGTATGACTGCAGTATTCCTTAATAGTTTTCCTTAGTATTCTACAGTATTCCTTAATAGTCTACAGTATTCCTTAATAGTTTAATGATTGAATATACTTTCAATACTTCCTTAATAACATTTCAACTTAAAGAAATGAATGAAATCTCAAGAAGTGCAAGATTTTCAGTTTAAATCCAACTTACCGTGCTTCTAATAAACCTTTGAACAAAGAGCTATCGTTTAAAATAGTTCTTAACAATTGGAAAATGATTGGAATTGGAAAATGATTGAAATTGGAAGAAAGAAACGATTGAAAAATGCTTCTATGACGAGCCTAGTCCTTCTAGTCCTTCTAGTCCTTCTATTAGAAGACTTAGAATAGATGAATCAATAACCTAGTTGGGGAGAAAGAGTCAATAATCTAGCGGGATTGAACCGTTTGCTCCCGTTGTAAACCGTTGCTCCCGTTTGCTCCCGTTTTGCTGGCTCGAATGTGATCGTGAATTTTTCCATTACGCCTTTCAATTGTTGAAAGAAGTAAATATCCAATGGTTCAACGAATTTCTGGATTTTTGCAGGCGGAAAGGCTTTCCTTTAAACCCCGCTTAAACTCGCCTTTTCAATCATTAAATAACATTGTACAAATTCAAAAAAAGCAAAAAGTTTGACTGCTAGTGGATCCAAACCAAGATCAAAGAGTTCCGAGCTCAAGCACACTAACCACTAGGCTACGAGCTGACTACGAGCTACGAGCTGACTTTTGGGATGGCGAAAGGAAAGCCTTTCCGTCTGCCAAAAATCCAGAAATTCGAGAAAAGCCTTCATTGTTTCGAAATTCAAATGGCTGTAACTTTGTGCGTTTTGCTGATTAGCGGTTTTTGAAAACAAACAAACAAACAAACAAACAAACAAACAGTTTCTGGACGCTTTACAAAACAAACAAACAGCTTTACACCAATGAGAATCCTCTCAAATCCCACTTGTTTTGTCTTTTCCCTGAACCCAATTTACTTCGAAAATCTCGAACCTCAACAAAATGTGGCGAGCGGAGAACACTCGATTATGCATAGAGCTCGAGCTCTCTTTTTGCCACAACAAGCTATTGATAGAGATTTTCATTTCCTTGTAAACAATCAACAAAAAGTCAAAGGAAACATGTTCTTTGAAGGCAAACATGTTCTTTGAAATGTACTTTGTACTGATGTGCTTTGTACTCATGTACCTTGTACTAATGTACTTTGTACTAATGTACTTTGTACTCATGTACCTTGTACTAATGTACTTTGTACTAATGTACCCTTGTACTAATGTGCTTTGTACTCATGTACCTTGTACTAATGTACCTTGTACTAATGTACTTTGTACTCATGTACTTTGTACTCATGTACTTTGTACTCAAATCTGTTCACTCTTTCTAGCGCACTCAATTCTTCAGTTTACTTGCAGCTTTGTGTCAGAATGAAAGAAGATGAAGAGAGAAAAACGAAGAATTCAGTGCTCCAGGAAAGCTGTGTTTAGATGAGCACTAAAGTGCAAATGATTTTGAAGAATTTGCTGAAGTTTGGGGTTTGGTGACTGCTAACTTTTAAATTCTATTTTGATTCGTAGTTAACTCTCCCTGAAGGGAGGGAGATCAAGTGTCTTGTGGTATAATGGTTAGCACAGTTGCCTGGTAAGCGAAAGGTGGCGGGTTCGAGTCCGGGCGGGGCACGAGTTTCCCCTTTTTGATCCGATTTGAAACTCTTTCCCTAGTTAGACAACGCGACGATCCTATAGAGTCTATTAGAGTCTATTAGAGTCTACTAGAGTCTGCTAGAGTCTATTAAGTGCGTCCCGGCGGTTCGAGTCCTAGCGGGGCACAAGTTTTTGATTTCTCCTAGTTCCAACGTCGTTAATACTCCAGAAATTTCATTAATACTTTATTAAAAGCAAGCAAAGTTTTAAAGTTCTTAAAAATCTCAAATTCAAACCCGTAATTGTAAAGAAATCGGCGACAAATTCGAAAGAAATTGTAAAAAATTGTAAAAATTCATAGAAAATTCATAAAGATTTAAGAAATGAGATCACAATTCACAATCAACAGCTCATTGGAAGGGAAAAAAAGAATTGGTGCTTATTCTTGGAGTCTACTTTATGCTCTTCAATGGAAACGAACCCTTTCTAGTGCATAGAGCTTTTTTTGTAGAGCTTGTAGAAAAGCTTGCAGAGATTGCAGAGCTATTGCAGAGCCTATTGTAGAGCTATTGCAGAGCTCTATTGCAAGCTCTATTGCAAGCTCTATTGCAGAGCTCTATTGCAGAGCTCTATTGCAAGAAAAACGAAGACTTCAGTGCTCCAGAGAGGACGCTTTAAGCAATTTAAGAACTTATTAAATACCAAAGAAAGAAGATGAAGCTTTTGGCGGTGGTGGGGGAAGGGTTGAAGTGGGTGAGAGCGGTTCGGAGACTTGAGAGGACGGGCTGAGACTCATCGGGTGCGACATTGTCAACGGGGTTCTTGAGTGTTCTCGAGTCACATAGGTGCCCTGAAAAAGTTGGAGTTATTTAGAGTTTGGAGTTATTGGAGTTATTGCTATTTATAACCTATTTATAGGGTTTATTGTCTTTTATTTGATGCAGGTAAATGGCTATTCTATTGCCTTTCTTTTTAACGTTTTTTTAAACTTTTTCTTTTTTAGGCTTTTTCTTTCAAGAAAATGCCAAAAATTGAAGATTTCTTTGAAGGCTTTTAGTTTTATAATCTTTTTTAAACATTATGAAACGATTTGGAAGATAAGGTGACACTAAATTACCGTAAATAATCTAATAGTACCCCACCGCCCTCGTACAGTCGTGTAGTCGCAAAAGTTTTTTAGTTTTTTAGTATTTCATTTTTTTCAAAGCACCCGTACGCTTAAAAAAGGCGTCTTTGGTATCAAAAAATAGCTGAAATTCAGGGCTATTTTTTGATACCTAAGCGAGGATTCTAGCTTAAACCAGTGTCGAGAAAAACGCGTTTAAAGCTCGACCACGCAACGCTCCGCTTTGAACGAGTTTTTCTCAACACTGGTTTAAGCTAGAATCCTCGCTTAGGTATCAAAAAAATAGCCCTGAATTTCAGCTATTTTTTGAAACCAAAACGAACATTGTAGCATAAACCAGTGTCGAGAAAAACTCGTCTAAAGCTAGACTACGCAACACTCCGCGTCATTATGGGGGTTGGGCTACTATTACAGTGTTTACAGTAGGATTATTGAAATGCAAATAACTGAAAACTCACTTTATAATGTCTCTCTCTTGTGTAATACATTGCAGTCATGATTAAACAGAGAAGAATTGCTGCTGAAACGATTGCCGCTAGCAAAATGAGCAATTCGCTGCTTTGTGTCAAGCCATAACGAGCGCCGAATAGAACGGCACAATCGCTGACCTAGAAATTTTGATTATTGATTGATAAGTGCACGAGAAAAGGTGTGTTTTCGTGCTAGAGAAAGATGAATTGATTCATGCTCTAGTAAAGGTGAATATTCGGATTTTCATGTTTCATTTTCATGCTTTTAAGTCTTTCTGTTTGTCTCTTTGACTTTGATCTCTCTTTTATCGTACTTTAAACTCTCTTTGATCGTACTTTGTGCTTGAATCTTGTAAACATTCCTTTCTAGCGTCTCTAATTGTCATTTGAAAGGATCTAATGAACTAGAAAGGATAAAATTCACTAGAAATCTTGCTTTTAAGGCTTTTAAGGTGTACTTTTAAGCACAAAGTACATTCAACCACGAGTACATTCAACCATTTGTGAAAGGCTTTCTGTTTACTGTAGAAGTGATGATTTTGGAGTTAAAAGCACAGAGATTAGTCTCATTCCTTGCCTTTTTTTCTTTCGAACAAGTGATTTCAAGTGTCTGCAAGTGTCCAATTCAATTTTGCTGGGGAAAATCTGTTATTAAAACTCACCTCAGCCACATTCAAAAGTGGTTGTCCTTTGAGGAGAGCCGGTCCATTGCATTGAGTCTCATCATAGTGCAAGAGATGACGCAATGGGTATCTGGAAAGGAATTGAATTGAACTCGATTACTGTACTGCTTTAGACTTTACTGGTTTACTGGTTTATTGTACAAATGTCTGAATTGTCTGTACGAATGTACAAAAGTGCTAAACACTAGACAAGCTTCCAAATCTATCTTCTCTTCTTCTCTAAATTCAAATCTATCTTCTAAAGCTAATTTAGACAATTAGCAAATAGCTCCAATTGTAGACTACAATGAAATGAATAGCTACAATCGATCCTGAAAGCCCCCAAGGACGAATTTATAGCACTTGAGGCCATTTGAGGCCCAGCTACAAAGCAAGAGAAATCTCTAGGACTTGAAATGTTCTTTGTCCGCGCTCACAATCGCTCTCGATCTGGCACATGCCCTGGATAGATAGGTGTTCCGTTTTCGAATCCTTCGTCTATCTTCCGAACCTAGTTTTCGAAAGGAAGTTGCCTGACTGGCAGGTGCTCTTTCTGCGGGCGTGTAATCGCTCCCCATCTGGCATACGTAGCCGATAGATAGGTACCGGAAAAAGCTCATCCAAAGTGAAAAACCCGAATTGAAACGGTCGGCGGTCGAAATTTCAAACATTCGTTTGTTTTGTGCTCTTTGTACGGCCGTCTAATCGCTCTCTATCTGACATACGTCGCGGATAGATAGCTACCGGAAAAAGCCAAATGGAAACGGTTGGCCATCGAAATTTCAAACATTCGCTTGCTTTAAAGGAATTATTTTGTGCAAATTTGACTCGTTGACCAAGGTTGTTTCAAAGAATTCTTTCCTCAAATTTCTATATTTTTGCTACAATTTCTGATTTCTGTGAAGCATTTTGTTACTTTAAGTTTAAAAGTTACTTTAAAAGCAGTTAAATCATTTTGAAATGGAAAACATTTGGGAAAAGGAATCAAGTACAGTCAACTTTCTCTATAAAGGAATGAAATTTTGGTCCCGACCGACGCTAAAGCTATAGAAAACGGCACTTTATATAACGAAAACATTTTTTCGTTCCTTTCATTACGTATAGAGAGAGTCGACTGTAATTTTAATAAAACTAGAGATGGACGAATCTGTAGAGAAAAGGAACCAAATTTGTAGAGAAAGGGAACCAAATCTGTAGAGAAAGGGAACCAAATTTGTAGAGAAAAGGAAAGCAACCAAATCCGTATAGCCTAGTTTACAGGCCTAGTTTACCTGGCCTAGGTTACAGGTCTAGTTTACCTAGCCTAGCCAAATCTGTAACGAAAAGGAGCCAAATCTGTAAAAACGTAGCATTTATTATCCACCTATTTGTAAAGTTAATTTGATTACTTTAGCATTACGAATACGAATCTTATAGTAATTGTTCTCTTCCAACACTCTTTGGAAATTCTTCCCGAAAAAAAATCTATTTCTCTCCAACCTCATTTTGTCTTGAAATCTATCCATTCCCAGCCAAACACATAAGACTATATCACAAAAATTCCCCTCAAATTCCCCGGTCATATTCCCCAACCCAATATTTTCTACCTTGAACCAAGGGATTTGGATACAGCCTATACCCAACAGTAATCTATACATTTGTAAATCTCTTGTAACCTTGTTTGATCGGTAAATCGCTAAATATTAGAGTCTTTGGATGGCTATTTGGCTATTTGGATGAAGATTTCTGTATTATGCAATCAAGGTCATTTCATCAAAAGGGCAAAAGAGAAACAGCTGGCGCCAGAAGTGAAATTGAAAATTGGTAGTGTCATTGTTTTCCCAAATTCTCGAAGATCATCAAGATAATTGGTTTTGTTTCTTGAAATATCCAAAAATTGGAATTGGAAATTGTTGGAAAGGCTATTCAGCTTTTTAAACAGCTATTCAGCTATTCAGCTATTCAAATTTGACTTGTACTTGTTCAAATAAATAGGTTAGAATGGAAAAACAGCTTGTTTAGGTTAGCTGTACTTTGCTGTACTTTGTACTCTGTACATTGTACTCTGTACTTTGTACTCTGTACATTGCACTCTGTACATTGCACTCTGTACATTGTATTCTGTACATTGTATTCTGTACATTGTACTCTGTACATTGTATTCTGTACTCTTCGTGACTCAGTCTGTACTTTGGCTTCTGCTTATGCCTTATGGCTTCAGCTCTAACTTGCTTCAAGTTCCAGGCTTGAACTCTAGCTCGCTTCAAGTGCCAGGCTTGAACTCTAGCTCGCTTCAAGTGCCAGGCTTGAACTCTAGCTCGCTTCAAGTGCCAGGCTTGAACTCTAGCTCGCTTCAAGTTCCAGGCTTGAAGTCTAGCTCGCTTCAAGTGTGCTAGGTGCGTTTGTGCAAAAGCACAAAGTACAAAGCTTACAAGTTTCTTTCTTCTTTCTTCTTCCTTCCTTTCTTCTTCCTTCCTTTCTTCTTTCTTTCCTTTCTTCTTTCTCTCTAGAACTGAACTTCTTTCTACTCAAGCATTAAGTAAAAAGTCCCAAGCCGAACTCGCAATCAAAAGACCCGAAATAGACTGAAATTGGTTGGTTAAATGGGCTAAATGGAAAGCGAGCATAGAAAGAGAATGGAATCTATTTGCATATATTGACAAGACAAGTCTAGTACCTACCCTGCCCCCAGCCGGATTATTGAAGATTACACGAACACCCATCGATGACTTTCTAGAGAAAGAGAAGAAAACAAATAAACAAGACCAAAAAGACAAAAAGACAAAAAGCCACCACCTGGCCTGTGGGGTATTGGACTGAAATGGCTGACTGCCTTGTAATTGGCTGAGATTATGTGTGGATGGGTAAAGAAAACAGAAAAATGCAAGAGATCAACTGTTTTTAGGTCAAATTTTAAAAACATAGCAAGAAAAAGAACTTTTGACTGATCTTGGACGATTCTTGAGGTGGTCCAGTGATCAGAAGTGATAGTTTTTGAGGGTTTGGGAAATGGGATTGCTTGCTGATAGCCATGCTATGCTGTCTGCACTTCTTGTACAAGTGCAGACATCATTTCTTACTAATGGACCTGTGCTTTAGGTTTAAAATGAACATTTAGGTTTAAAATTCCGATGTCTAAGGGTTAAGACCAGGGATTTTCCAACCGGAAGCCGGAGCCTGGGTCTTGGTAAGCCTAGTGAATCAGACTAGGTCCTGGTAAACCCAGTAAGCCAGCCAGAACCCCCAGTAAGCCAGTAAGATAGTAAGAGAATACTATCAGCTCTATATCGAAAACTTTCTTTTTTCACCCCACCTTTCTCTCATGTGTTGTTGTAAGTGTTGAATCGAACAGCTGCAATCCCACGGGTTTCCGTGTAAATGGACCTGAGAAATGGGATGTTAAGAATGATTCTGATGTTAAGAATGGACTTTATCTCTAGAATTTTACTAGATTTTATCTATAGAATCAAATTTAAGCTAATAAACAGCTGATAAACAGCTAATAAACAACTGATAAACAACTGATAAACACATCTGGCTTACTGTTTCTCAAGATTCACCTTTTTGATATCATTGACAAAAACAATGCCCGCGTGACTCAATGCACTCAGACGATTCCTCGAAATGTCCAACTCTTTTACCTGAATATCTTTTAGAAAATAAATTCTTTTATGAAAAAAGCCGATGGCACTACGGGGGTCGAACCCGGACCGTGTGGGCTGTAGAAATGCGCGCTCTCCACTGCGCCACGACGACTGTCCGTCGCCACAAAAAAAACCAGCAAGAAAAACCTACCGGTTGACATTTTTCGGCTGCTGAAGCTGTTAGACGAGTTTTTCTAGCTGGAGGCTAGAAAAAGGGCTTTTTCTGGGCCCGTCGAAGAGGAGTTGTGGCGCAGTGGGAGTGCTTTGGTCTACAACTCACACAACCCGGGTTCGACTCCCGGTAGTGCAATACGAGTTTTTTTTTATCCAATCTGACAGGGATTCGACCTCTCGCTTAGGCGAATGCTTTACCAATGAGCTACATTTAAAAAACCCAATGCCACTATAAAGCTTTTTATGCAAACCTTTGATAAAATTGATCCGATGTTATCTGGTAGATTGCTGAATTGATTGCCGGAGACATTGAAGAACTCCAAACGGTTGTACTCGGCGGGTAACTGGATAGGCCACCAATCGATGTGATTGAAGCCCATATGAAGCCGTCTAGATATAGATATTACACTAAATATTCAATCAAATAGTTATTTAGATATCTAAGCTTATATTTAGGCTATCCAATTCATTTTGAGCTTTTAAACTTGCCTTTTTGTTATTTTTGTTAGAACAACGTGCTCTACAGCAAGATTAAACTTATTATTTCTTTTACAAGAAGCTTTGTTGCAATTGGAGCAAATTTTTGAATCAAAAAGCGAAAGAATTAGCGGCAAGAGGAGTCGAACCCGCGGCCTCTTTCTTCCGTTCGTTTGGAAAACGCGCGTGTTAACCACTCGGCCACGCTCAACGGTCGTCGGTTGAGAGAGGCCGCGGGTTTGTCTCCTCTTAATGGTCGTCAGTCCCAATGGTCGTCGTGGCGCAGTGCGAGTGCTCTCGTCTCTAGCCCACACGACCCGGGTTCGACTCTCCCCCCCCCCGGACTTTTAGTTTTTTACAAATTTCAAAATATTTTGCATATCTACATGAAATTCTAAGCCAAACTAAATATAAATCACTTGAAACGATTCTCTAGGAGTTGAGGAATAGACAAATAAACAGACAGACAGACAGACAGACAGATAGACAGACAGACAGATAGACAAACTTTCTGGCGCACTTCTTACCCTTTCTCACAGCTTTGATGCTAAATGAAGGATTCAGTGCGCCAGAAAGTTTGCGTTTAGCTGAGCAAAAAAGTACAACGTCCAAAGTTCAATCTCACTTCAAATTCCTCAACGAATGCGTGATCTCCGGTGGGAAAGTTCGGAGAAAATTGCCGCTAAATCCCAATTCCTTGATCGTTTCCTGTGCATGGCCTAGCCAATTCGAGTCAAAATCGTTTAAATGATTGTGCGAGAGGTCAAGGAATTCCACTTTTGTGTCACTAAACTCTATGAAAAGTCGAAAATCATTTCCACTCACCGAAAGGCCTCTTCATGTATCGGATTTTTGCCGATGCCTAAAAGATTATGTGAAAGATCGAGATGAGTGATGTTGTTTGCACAAAGAACGCAAGGGGGAAGGTCGCCGATCGCGTTGTTTGATAAGTCCAATATCTGAATTTCTTCTTTGTTAAATGGAAAGTTGTTAGTTAGTGTTAGATAGTTGTAGGTGTAGTTCTAGTTTTAGTTCTGGTTCTTGTTCTTGTTCTTGTTCTTGTTCTTGTTCTTGTTCTTGTTCTAGTTCTTGTTCTTGTTCTTGTTCTTGTTCTAGTTCTAGTTCAGGTTCTAGTTCTAGTTCTGGTTCTAGTTCTAGTTCTGGTTCTAGTTCTAGTTCTAGTTCTAGTTCTAGTTCTTGTTCTTGTTCTTGTTCTAGTTCTAGTTCTAGTTCTGGTTCTAGTTCTAGTTCTAGTTCTAGTTCTAGTTCTAGTTCTAGTTCTGGTTCTGGTTCTAGTTCTAGTTCTAGTTCTAGTTCTGGTTCTGGTTCTAGTTCTAGTTCTAGTTCTAGTTCTTGTTCTTGTTCTAGTTCTAGTTCTAGTTCTGGTTCTGGTTCTAGTTCTAGTTCTAGTTCTTGTTCTTGTTCTAGTTCTAGTTCTAGTTCTGGTTCTGGTTCTAGTTCTAGTTCTAGTTCTTGTTCTTGTTCTTGTTCTTGTTCTAGTTCTAGTTCTAGTTCTAGTTCTGGTTCTGGTTCTAGTTCTAGTTCTAGTTCTAGTTCTAGTTCTAGTTCTAGTTCTGGTTCTGGTTCTAGTTCTAGTTCTAGTTCTAGTTCTAGTTCTAGTTCTAGTTCTGGTTCTAGTTCTAGTTCTAGTTCTAGTTCTGGTTCTAGTTCTAGTTAAATGACTGCTAAGTTGATCTCTGATAGATTATTAGACGGTAGACAGTACCGTCTAATAATCAGACAGTAAGTAGATTTAAAACCTTAAACCTAGTACAGTTTAAAGTTTAGCTCATGTAGTAGCTCCCTAAACCATTCTTCATAAACAAAACTGTACTTTGTGCTCCCTAACAATCCTCTAGCGCACTAGAATTGATTGTCCAGTGTGCTAGATAGCGAACGATTATAGACATTATAAATACTTCTTATAGATATTATAGATATTATAGATATTATAGATATTATAGATATTATAGATATTATAGATATCATAGATCCTTCAGCTTCAACTTCCTTTACCTGTAAGTGTGGTAAAGCCTCCAATTCAGTCGATGGAACGTGTCGCAAATTATTGCCACCCATTCCCAGATTTCTCAGCAAAGGGACACGATTTAGGCTAAAATTTACATTAATTAGTTGTAATTAGCATTTAAAAACACTTTCTAATCATAATTTACATGAAAAGAAGTCAATTTTGCTCAAAATTTGCTCAAAGTTGCTTTTGTCGAAAAAAATTTGCTATTGCAAGCAAAATTCGAGATTGTAAAATGACTAAAATGACAATTTCTCACTCACAAAAAAAGCTCTTTTGAAAATGTTTGAACTCTGAGAAAAGTTAGTCACCCATTTTTTGATGTAAAATATTCCCTAGAGGTTTTTTTTTTTTAGGGAAACTGACTCAAATCCACTTTTCCGCCTGGACGCTCACTACCCGTTCTTCTCTCTTTTTTCAGTCACTTGTTAGCCTTTTCTTTTCTCTGTTAGACTAACAAGTTTCTTGAAAAAGTTGATTTTGAATCTAGCTATTACTTAGAGGATTTAGGCTTTATTTTGGAAAAATTAGAGTTGAAAGAGCTGTCTAGAGCTGTCTAGAGTTGCTAGAGTTGTCAGCATCGCTAGAGTCACGGAGTTGCTAGAGTTGCTAGAGTTTGCTAGAGTAGCTAGAGTAGCTAGAGTTGCCAAAGTTGCTAGAGTTGCTAGAGTCGCTAGAGTTGCTCGAGTCACAGAGTTGCTAGAGTTGCTAGAGTTGCCAGGGTTGCTAGAGTTGCTAGAGTTGCTAGAGTCACAGAGTTGCTAGAGTTGTCAGCATCGCTAGAATCACAGAGTTGCTAGAGTTGCCAGCATTGCTAGAGTTGCTAGAGTTGCTAGACTTGCCCAAAAGTTGTAAGCTTTTGCGAAATCGCGTTGAATTTCGAAAAAGTTGTAACCTCCCCCTTGCTGGCACACAAAAATTCTTCAAGAAAACGAAGAATTGAGTGTGTTTTTCTTTGTTGCAAAAATGCGCCTCAAAAATAAGCCAAAAATGCGCCTCTTCACCTCAAATTGGCGATCGTATTGATCGAACAATCGTTTAAAAACAACTCCTCCAATTGTGGCACATCGGTGAAGAGATCGTTTACGTGTTTCGTCGGTAAACGATTCCCATCCAAACGAAGGGATTTCAAATTTCGAAGTCCGTGCAAAAGATTTGTGGGCAAGTCCTAAAAGATCGATCTATAGATCTATAGAAAGAAAGAGCAGCGTTTGTCCGTCTGTACGGGCTTTTTCTCAGCTTTTTCTCAGCTTTTTCAATTGTTGTTTTGATCAATAAAGCTAAAAATTCTTTAGAAACCCTTAGAATCTAATATAGTTTTGCCATTTAAAACAAAAAACAACAAATTCGAAAATCCAAGTGGCACTATGTGGGGTCGAACCCGGGTTGTGTGGGCTGTAGCCAAAAGCACTTCCGCTGCGCCACGACGGCTAGCCTCGGCACCCCCCAAAAAAGCCTAGAAAAACCAGCCATGAGGCGTTTTTCAGCTGGTTAAACAGTTAGGCGGGTTTTTCTAGCTTCTTTTTCAGGGACCGAAGGATAGTCGTTGTGGCGCAGTGGCAGTGCGCTGATCTACAGCTCCAAACAACCCAAGTTCGACCTACCGTGGTGCCACAGAAACTTTTGATTTTAAATGGCATAATTAAATAATGAAAGTCAGAAACGTCAGAAATAATGAAAGACAAATTAAATCTGATACCTGCATCGAATTATTTGCCAATGACAGCGTTTTGAGGGATTTCAAATAGGTGAAAACGCCAGTTGGGAGAATGTTCAACTTGTTGCTTGATAAATCAAGTGTGCGTAGATTCGGGAGACCGGCAAAGTTGCCCATTGTGGCGTGATCGATCTGGAATCGTGATCGTGATCGTTCCTGATCGACATTGATCTTGAGCTTTGAGCTTGAACTTGTAAACGCACCCTTTCTAGCGCACTGAATTCTTCACTTTTCCTACAAAAACGCTTCGTTTTCTGAAGAAAACGAAGAATTTAATGCCCCAGAAAGGGTGCGTTTACAAAAGTGAGCAAAATGAGGGTCAGCTTACATTATTTTGCCTTAAATCGAGCAATTCGAGATTCGGCAAGCGAACACTCCTCGACATTGACGGGATTTGGCAACTGACGAGGCGAAGGGCTTTCAGCTCTCTAAAAACATTCAGTTATCCAAAGATCTAAAGATATTCAGCTTTTCAGCTCTCTAAAGTTATCGAAATCTACTATATAAAAGAGCAGTGTCTGTTCGTCTGTTTTTTTCGACCGTGCTTTGACCAATAATGCTAAAACTTCTTTAGAAAACCTTATAATATAATATAGTTATGGAATTTAAAATCAAAATTGAAAAGTTCGAGATCGAGTGGCACTATGGGGGGTCGAACCCGGACCCTCCGGGCTGTAGAAATGCGCGCTACCCACTGCGCCACGACGACTGTCTGACGCCCCCAAAAAACTAGCTAGATTGCTGATTGAGCCGGTGAGTTTTTCGAGCTGGAGGCTAGAAGGGTTTTCGAGCTGGAGGCTAGAAGAAAAAGGGTTTTTTCTAGAGGCCAGACGGAGGCGTTGTGGCGCAGTGGAAGCGCGCCGGTCTAGAGCTCGCACGACCCGGGTTCGATCCCCCGTGGTGCCGCTCAAGTTTAGCTTTTTCATACCTGAATCGATTCAAATTATCGTTCCATTTGATTTTGTTGATTGGTCGCCAAGCTGGCGCAAAAACGTCGATCGTTTCGATGGAAATTGGCAAATGGATAAGGATCTCACCAAAACGGCTGTCATTTAGACCACCCTAAAAGTTCTGAATATTTAGCAGGTTAGAGCTCTAGCGAGAAAGCGGCGCAGCTGACTAGAGCTTAGAGTAGTCGAGTCAGCAAACTACTGTATAGTCAGCAAACTACTGTATAGTCAGCAAACTACTGTATTCTCTTTACTGTACCTAATACTGTACCCTAAAAGTTCAGAATTTAAATCAGTACACTTCTGGGTCTTCTGGGTCGATATTATTTTAATATACTACTGTAGATTTGGGCTTTAGCGGCTTTCTAGTTCTCTGCATTGAATTCTGAAAATTTTTCTTCTAAAAATCCCTTGATATCAAAGGGAAAATGGAAGAATCACGTGCACCAGAAAGTGCGTGTTTACGTGCGAGTACAAAGTACAAGTTTGGACTGAATATTGAGAAGGTTGGGCTTAGAGTAGTCGAGTCAGCAAACTACTGCATTGTACTACTGTATTGTACTATTGTATTGTACTACTGTATAGTCAGCAAACTACTGTATTCTCTTTACTTTACCTAACACTTACTTTATGACAATAAACCGCTATTGTGGTTTGATTTTTGTGCGCCGCTTTCTCGCATTCACATTCGATTGGGCACTCGAGTAGCTGGGGTTTTCGAGTCACCACTAGGGGCACCAAAAGCCCTAGGAATAGAAAGAAATTCATAGAAATCGAATCGAATCGAATAGAGTTACTGTAGGCGATCGATCTAAAAGTGAAATCGAAATTAAACGATCGAAATCTACCGAAAATGGAAATGAAATGAAATCGAAATAAATACTACAAATTATTTGTATGCCAATTGTACAATATTCAAATCATAGAGCCAATCATAGAGCCAAGAGCTAAAGAGCCAACACCGGTCAATCGGCCTTTTTCGATCACGTAAAAAGATAATCTCTAAACGATTGTTGGACAGGGAAATGGGTAAATCACACTGAGATTTCCGGCTAGTTGAGGGGGATATTTTGGGCGCTGGTTTTGGCGCTGGTTAGTTAGGAAATACTAGAGGGGAACTGGCTGGGGGAAAGGGGAGGGAAAGCCACGCCCATTCTTCCATTCTTCCATTCTTTCTTCACTTTCCACTAAGGGCGGGGTTTCTTTTGATTTTTGAGGCAAATATATTGAATTTATTGAATTGAGTGGCTTGATTTTGAGTAGAATAGATGAAGAAGAATAGAATGGAAGAACTGGAATAGAATGGATAATAGAAAATCGTGATCTGATAGCTGGTAGGCTATTGGATATCGATCGATTGCTATTGGGTAACTTTGTGGCAAACTCTTGTTGTTAGCAAGATTTTCTGGACTAGATAAGGGATCCAGAGCTCTCGAAAAAGTGAAATTTATCAAAAATGTGCTCAATAAATAACTCTAAAGACGTATTAATGCAGAAAAAGACGAAAAAAGGCAACTTTTGAAGACTCTAGGCCATGTCCTAGAACTCTAGGACCTCGACAAAACTTTGAACTTAAATATCTTGGCTTTGGGTTGTCAAATTTAAATTCTCTTAATATTATTAGATTTTTCAAGTCTTTCTCTATCGATTAGTATAAAAAATATTTAAATTAAACCACTCAAAGTCAAGGAATTTAAGCTCAAAGTTGGTAATGGCAAAGGGGCGCGTATAAAAGGTGGGACTAGCTCCGCCCCCTTTGCCATCGTCAACTTGAGCTTAAATTTCTTGGCTTTGGTTGGTTCAATTTAGATATTTTTTGCACCAATCGATAGAGAAAGACTTGGCGCATCTAATGATATTAAAAATATTTAAATTGGACAACGCAACACTAAGATATTTGAGTTCAAAGTTGGATTGCCAATTGCAAAACTTTGAGCTCAAATTTCTTGGCTTTGGCTTGTCCAATTTAAATATTTTTGATATCATTAGATGCGCCAAGTCTTTCTCTATCGATTGATATCAAAAATATTTAAATTGAACAGCTCAACACCAAGAAATTTGAGCTCAAAGTTTTGCTATTTGCAATCCAACTTTGAACTCAAATATCTTAGTGTTAGAGCTGTCCAATTTAAATATTTTTTTGCACCAATCGATAGAGAAAGACTTGGCGCATCTAATGATATCAAAAATATTTAAATTGGACAAGCCAAAGCCAAGAAATTTGAGCTCAAAGTTTTAGCAATGGCAAATAGGGGTTTATCTTTTGCCATGGTTTATCTATGGCAAAAGATGAACTTTACAATGGCTTAAAGATTGTAAAAATGGCAATAGCAACTATAAATTAGCTATAAATTTAGTAAATAACTATAAAAAGCATAGAAATAATAGAAAAATGCTGAATAATCGTGTCATTTTCTCTCCGCGTCCATGTCATTTTTCTTTTTCTTTTTTCACAAGAGAATTGTCACCAAATTAGCATAACGATATGTCATTTGAGACAAAAAAAAAACGATCGGCTCTTTCTTCTCGACGGTTCCCTTTCTTGTCGTCGGTTTTCTCTCTCTCGTGACACTCTCTTCGTCGCTACTCGTTGGTGGCTAAAATGTTGGTGGCTCGAGAATGGATTGGAGCCTCTCCTTGATCGGAGTAGTTCCCCGTTGGCCTATCGAGTAGTTCTAGTTAGCCTATCGAGTAGTTCTAGTTAGCCTATCGAGTAGTTCTAGTTAGCCTATCGAGTAGTTCTAGTTAGCCTATCGAGTAGTTCTAGTTAGCCTATCGAGTAGTTCTAGTTAGCCTATCAAGTAGTTCCTGTTGACCCACGTGATCCACGCGGAGCAGTTCCGATTGATCGCCACTGTTCCGCTGAGCAGTTCCGATTCTGGATCGCCACTCCGTGTGGCTCCACAGAACTTCATGTACTCACGAGTCTCACCGGGTTTCATAGTTTCCTCTTTCATAGTTTGATAGTTGGACTGCGCACTAAAATGTGCAGTGCGTGAGAGGGTACCGATGGGGCAATGATTGTTAGATATTGATTCGGCATATAGCACAATCACTAATCTAGCGAGAAAATACAATAAATAGAATCAATCGTTGGTTCAGTGTTTCAAAGCCAAACGAGAAAGAATACAAAGTGGGCTCCATCCCTTTTTATCACATAAACGACCTTTAGAGGAAAGAGAAGCGAATCAGATATTCAAAATCAAAGCATCAAAGAAGATTTCACAGTAAAGAGCTACTTTTCTGGAGAAGAATTGAAAAAGAGATTTACATTGTAAAAGTAGACTTGTACATTGTAAAAAGTGACTTGTACATGTAAAAACAGACTTGTACATGTAAAAACAGACTTGTACATGTAAAAAGTAGACTTGTACATTGAAAAACAGACTTGTACATGTAAAAAATAGACTTGTACATTGTAAAAATAGGCTTGTACATGTAAAAACAGACTTGTACATGTAAAAATAGACATGTACATGTAAAAGTAGACTTGTACATTGTAAAAAGTGACTTGTACATGTAAAAATAGACTTGTACATGTAAAAGTAGACTTGTACATTGTAAAAAAGTGACTTGTACATGTAAAAATAGACTTGTACATGTAAAAGTAGACTTGTACATGTAAAAATAGGCTTGTACATGTAAAAATAGGCTTGTACATGTAAAAATAGACTTGTACATGTAAAAATAGGCTTGTACATGTAAAAACAGACTTGTACATGTAAAAATAGACTTGTACATGTAAAAATAGGTTCCTGGCCTTTCTAGATCTCTCTTGAGAAAGAAGATCGTTAGAAAAATGAAAGATCTTGCTAGATCTTGCTAGATCTCTTTAGAAAAATAAAGATTTCAGTATACTAGAAAGCATTTACAAGCATTTACAAGTTTTGAACACAAAACCCATCAACCAAACCAAACCAAACCAAACCAAACCAAAGCAAATCCACCAGTAACACCAAAATGGCAATACCAAATAGAAAACAAATAGAAAACAAGTAGACCAATTAGTACTTTAACCAAATCTTCTTCCAGTAATCTTCTGTTTTCCATTTTTTATTCAAAAAAAAATCCGTTATATAGGCTATTTTCAGTTGCGAGAACGAATTTTTGCTGAATTTTGCTGAATATTTCGATGTGTTTGTGTGCAAATGTGTATAGAAAAGACTAACATAGACACAAAAGATCTCTTTCCCCTTTCTGACCAAAGAGAATCGAAATAGACCATGCTGAGAATCGAAATAGTTCATTTTGAACTAGATCTATACAATGAGAGATAAATGCAATGAAAAGGCAACTAGTTTAATCTAGTTTAATCTAGTTTAATCTTGTTTAATCTTGTTTAATCTAGTTTAATCTAGTTTAATCTAGTTTAATCTAAGTTTTCGAATGAATTCCAAGCATTCATTTCTATCTAAAGTCACTAAGTAAACTTAGTGACTAACTCTTGCTAATTGAGGATCGAAATGTGATCCGATCTTCATCCTCAGCTTTCCCCTCAACTACCGGAATTCCTTCCCCATTCCTTTGCCTTCCCCATCATCCTATTTGAGTCCTTTCTTTAGATTTCATTACAAATTCGTACTTAGTAACTCAATATAAAGCTTTTTTGGGAGAAAGGAATGAATGAAAATTGAAAGAAGAAAGAATGAAAGAAGGTCGTGGGAATTTCATTGCTTTTTCACCGATTGAATTCAGGATTTGATTGGAAATTTTAAAAAAAAAATTGGAATTAGATAAATGAACAAAAGGAATGAAGATTTAAGATCTCTGAAGATTAAGATTTCATTAGATTAAGATTAATTAGATTAAGATTTATAGATTAATAGAGAATAGTTAGATCAAATTATAGCTTAAGAATTGAAACTCATTCGAATTTCGGTACTATTGAAATTGTAGACTGAAAAGCTAAGTGCGGGAAAAGGATCATGGGATTAGGTAGGCTTACTATAGGCTCGGTTGTAGGCTAGTGTAGGCTCGGTTGTAGGCTACTGTAGGCTCGGTTGTAGGCTACTGTAGGCTCGGTTGTAGGCTACTGTAGGCTCGGTTGTAGGCTACTGTAGGCTTAGCCTCTACGTTTCTATGGGTTACGATAAGATTACGATTCGATTATTGTAGGATTACTTTGGAGTACTGTAGGATTACTTGCCTACTGTTTGCTGTACACTGTTGCCCTGTTGGGTTACTATATAACTAGAACTACGGTCGGATTACTGTGGGACAACGGTAAGACTCTAGAATTACTGTAGGGCTGTGGTAGGATTACGGTAGGATGCTAGGATTACTGTAGGACTACGGTAGGACGCTAGGATTACTGTACGACTACGGTAGGACTATGGTAAGACGCTGGGATTACTGTAGGATTACGGTAGGATTACGGTAGGATGCTAGGATTACTGTAGGACTATGGTAAGTCTCTAGGATTACTGTAGAACTACGGCAAGTGTCTAGAATTACTGTAGAACTTGGTAAGACACTAGTACCGTATCCCTACAGTAATCCTAGAATCGGTAAGCGCTAGGATTATTAGAATCACTTTAGAAATACTATAGGATTACTATAGATTCCCGGAGACTACGGTAGGTTACTGTAGATTACTGAAGGGCTGCTGGAGGCTACTGTAATCTAAAAACAAATGTCATTACAACGACACAAAGCTGACACAAAGCTGTAGGCTTTGTTTAAACCTAATAATTTTACGGATTAGATAAAGGCCTTATCATAACATATGTTCTTCAAAAAAAAAAAGCTTTCAAATAAAAGAAAAGCACTTGATCGAGATCTCTTCGAATAACCCTGAGGGACAAGAAAGGACATATGGTTGGGTCAAGAGATGATCATATATTGGGGGAAAGGGGAAGGGGGGAAGGGGAAAGAGGAAGGGGAAAGGGGAAGTGGGGAAGTAGGAAAAGGGGGAAAGGGGGAAAGGGGGAAAGGGAAGAGTGCGAGAAGTGGGTCTCATCACCGACTAGAAGTGGGTTATGAGAAGGAACTAAGAAAACAGACAGACCATGGATTGATAGAGGGCAAGGCTTGCTGAAGATCGATAGCTTTTATCGGGGCTTTATCGAGGCTTTTATCGATACCTAGAAACTTCTTTCATATAGAAACAGAATAGAATCTAGGGTAGAGTGCTTCTCACAAATTGTGCGTTTTCTAAAACAAACTTGCAAAAGCTACAGTAATCAAACTGGCTAGGCCAGGCCTACAAAAGCCTTTAGGGCCCAGCCTGGACCTGGCCTATATGTCCTAGGCTCCAGTTGAAATATCTACTATATATAAAAGAGCAATCTGTCTGCTCGTCCATCCTTCCATCCGGGCTTTTTCCAAGCTGCGTTTTGACCAATAAAGCTAAAATTTCTTTAAAAAACCTTAGAATATATTGTAGTTATGCTATTTAAAATAAAAATCAAGAAAGCGAAAGTTGGGTGGCACTTCGGGGAAACGAACCCGGGTCGTGTGAGTTGTAGATCAGCGCACTGCCACTGCGCCACAACGACCATGCGTCGATCCCAGAAAAAAGAAGCTAGAAAAACAAGCCTAACAGTTTAACCAGCTAAAAACCGGGTAGGCGGGTTTTTGTAGCATTTTTTGAGGGCCGACAAATCGTCGACATGGCGCAGTGGGAGTGCGCTTGGCTACGGCTCACATGACCCGGGTTCGAGCCCGGCTAGTAGCGCTCACATTTTTTTTGAAAACTAAACTTGTAAATGCTTTCTAGTATACTGAAATCTTCATCTTTCTAGGTCAACCAGGATCGTGTGGGGGATCGTGTAGACAAGCGCGTTCCCGCGTCACCACTGGACTAAAATAGATATCCATTGTATAGGAGAGCACCTATCCATTGTATTGGAGTAAAGACGCTATTGTACAAGCTGAACCGTAGAATAGAAGAGTTGGATCTAGTGAAACTCACAGAGAACCCGGATATGAGTGATGAACGGGTGTCAGGAAAGGGGGGAAAGGGTACCCTATATGGGTTCAGTCACAAGTTGACAGGTGGCCTCACTGGACTTCACCCCATTCCCCTATTTGACCGGAAAAGGGAAATGAAAGCAAAGACAAAGACCATCTATGTCTAGGGCTTCCCCTGTGGATCAGCCTCTTTCCCCACTCATGCATATGGTTCAAATTTTGAGTAGCGAGCTTTTTGAGGCCGAGAATTCAAATTAGAAGCAATAGAAAGAGCTTTTAGCAATAGCAATAGCCATAGAAAACCCTTTCCAGTCATTCATGTAATATTTAGCTAAACATATGCATTGTTAACCTTTTTGTTGTTGTTAAACGTTAAGCAGAAAGTCATAATTGGTTTTAAAAGGCTAGAAGTTGCTTTAAAAGAAAAACAGAAACAAAAAGCTGTATGAGGAATCGCATCCTGATCGTGTGGGTCGTAGTCTAATGTGTTATCCACTAGGCCGCCAAGGGACCTGCTCAGCAGACTTTTTAAAGCGTTTTAAAGCATTCGCATCCATTTAGGCCTTTGATTAAAGCCTTAAAGCCATTTGACATTGATAAGTAGAGTTATTTTGGCTCAGGCTCAGGCTCAGGCTCAGGCTAAGGCTCAGGCTCAGGCTCAGGCTCAGGCTCAGGCTCAGGCCAGGCTCAGGCTCAGGCTCAGGCTCAGGCTCAGGCTCAGGCTAAGGCTTAGGCTCAGGCTCAGGCTCAGGCTTAGGCTTAGGCCTGGCTGTAAAATAGCTATTCTAGCTGTAGAGTAGCTATTTTAACTATTCTAAAGAATTACAACCGCCAAAAGTTCAACAACCCATCTTTCCCAGAACAATTCACACTTTCTCGTTGAAAAAGCAATCAATCATGCAATCTAGCCTCACTAATAGAAGCTTAAAAAGAGAAATTTCCCAAGAAAGCCCAGGTTGGCACGATTCGGGCTAAGAAAGGTTGGGCTAAGAGGTCAAACGCGCAATTTATCACCGCACAACTGACGCTT